GTAAAAAATACTAACAATCGACGAAGCGACGTTAAGTGCCGGATCTATCCTCAGAGAATGCGAGCTTGACCCACTTCGGCTTTTGTGCTGAGCTAGAATCGTGCATGCTGCATTGTTCATGCAGGCCGTAGTGGAAACACAAGAGCCCCTCCTCCCCCTCGCCGGAGAACACGAACTCCAGCCGAACGCTGATGCCGCGTTCGGTTATGTCGGCCGAGCGCTGCGTCATTGTATTTGTTGTCCCCATCCGTGTAGTTGTTAGGTTAACCGCTTGGGGCGTCACGGTCTGTCCTCCTCCCCAATAGACCGAAATGATGGTGAGGGTGTAAGAAAGGAATATCTCACAACCCCGATAACGGGTGTATCTTTAAACCCCTGAATGCTGAAGGTGAATGAAAGGGTGCACACATACACCCCTAAAAAAGGTGCATGAGTGCACCTTGTTTCGGGGGTGCACATGAACACCCCTACGGATGTAGTATATGAAGCAGCAATTACACCTCCTATGGGTGTACCCATTACACTCTTTGTTCTTAGAGTGAAGGTACTGCTCCAATCTACAGCAATCCTCACTCACAGCAAAGTGGGAACCCGTTGGGAGCATGCACTACATGATCATTTTACATTTTCCCGTCTCAGCGACTTCTTAGTGCACTGAACTGCCTTATAATGCCCTAAGTGCAAATAAACTGCAAAGGCGTCTTTAGTGCCGGCGCAGCTGCGAGCGCGAAGCATTTGAAAGCATCTTCTCTGGGCGAGCTGTCATGCAAACAACGCATTCTGCGGAGCCACGCTCTCAAAGCCGTGCCTTCGCGTGCACTGAACACAATTCGTGCGATGGAATATACAGTAAAAAGGTAGCAGCGTGCCTGCAAAGTAAATGTGGTGACTCAACCTGAGGTAGGGTGCTCCCGATTTGGAGTCAACACGCCTACAAGCGACCTGTTTCTAGATCGTGCGTCGTTTCTAAAATGCCCTTTTCAGTAAGTGGAACCTCTTTGGTCCATGTTCATATGCAACAGTATCCTCGTACCTTTAGTCGCAGACATCAGTCGACACCGATGAGGGCAGCGTGTACGCTTTGACGGCGAACACGTGCGGCTCGCTCTGCTGGAGAGACGACGTAGCTGTCGACGCCCACAAGTTTGCGGACGTGTCATCAGAAAAGACAGGTAAAGCCTTTAAATTGTTTTGCCAAATGCCATGGTCAGATGGCGGAAAATGCCATCGTTGCGTCATTCCTCCGGTGAGCGCAGGGTTGATCAACGCGTTGGCGCGGTTCTCCGAATTCGATCTAACAAAGATGGCCGACCGGTTGTACCAGAGCCGGCTCTGGGTTGTACGCGCCGTTTCTCTTCTGTCCATTCGCCTCGGTAAGTCTGTAGCTGTCCGCTTGGAGTACTTTTGTCGCAGTCAGCGGGCCTCTGAACTTCTGGGTTTTTGTTGGGACGCCGGTGTGCTCTGGAATGCAGCGCATGACCACTATAATCTCCAACGCTCAGCCCTTCCGCTGCGAAGTGATGGTTGTCGAAGCACTGCTTCAACTTTCCTAGCTGGCTCATTATGTTTTCTTTTTAAGCCGTCTCTTGAAGTCGCACAGGTGACGAAATGTCCCTACAGCGTGCAATTCGCGTAACGAGTGTCGATGAAACGATTGTGTCGACGAAACGTGTGTCCATGAAACATATGTCCGGGGGGAGGGCTTGGGGGGGGGGGGGGGGGGGGTATTATGGAAGCTTCAGTAACCCCTCCTTTCCTATAAAATCTAAAAGTTAAGATTTCAGTGTTATAAAAAAAATGCAACCCTCTTCCCCCTAAGCACAAATAGTGTAGTACAAACTGAATATCTTGACAGTGGTTTTTGTCGTAACCTAGAAGCAGAGACCCATTGTCATAAATAAGCCCTGAAAAGTTGACCGGTAAACCCCCCTTCTCTTGCTGCCGACCAACTAAAGTTGGTCGGGCGGGCGAGGCTTACAGCCGACAGAGACCCATATACAGGCATAATCAAGTTTATTCCTCCCCCCCCCCCCCCTCTTCTTTAAAAAAAAAGTGTACCTTTTTTTTTAGAATTACTGATTTTGTGATTATCTGACCAAACTTAGTTGTAGAGTGTCATCTTTTTACCCTTTGTTTGCCGTTCTAATGTCGAGATCGAGACCGAGTTTTTCGGATAAATCAGAATTGGTGAAAACTTTACTGGCGAGGGCTGGGCAGTATGGCTACAAAAATGTATCGCGATAGTATCTTATAGCCACTTAGGAGTTTTTGTATCTCTGTATCGAGATACATTTAAAAAAATATATCTAACTCAGTAGTAAAATACATTTACGATGTGTCAATTGTATTGCACTACCCTGCTAGGCTTAGGTACCTCAATGCATTTGTTGTCAAAAATTCAACGTTGGGTTTTTGCAATATACTAAAAAAAAATTTTTTTTTTTTTTGGTGCGAGGGGCCCCGGAAATTATAATATGAACCTGCCGCATAACTCTCTTCAAGGGGGAAAACGTGATTATCTCAAAATTTAGAAAAAAAAAGGGTTTGAAGAAAAATTATTTGCAAGAAGAGCAGTACAAGCTCCTCTCGCAGAACCTCTTCACTCTTTCCACTTCGCCAAAGCAAACGTTGGAAAGGAGAAAACCACCAATCATGGACAATAGAGGTCCGTATGGAAAGGGCTTCTCTTAAACAGATTCCGTGAGACAGATCAGGCAACGTTGTCTAATGGCCCCACTCTGGATGAATATAAGACAACAGTTTTAACGCGATAGCGTTAAGGAGCTCGTGGCACGCCGGTTTAAGTGGCGCGCCAAAAAAGCTGGCGTGAAGCGAAAACCCCGATTGGTCGATTGGGTCACGACGTCACAGCCACATGACCTAGGTTCATCCGTCTGGAGGAGTGTACAGTTTCCATCCATTGCAAAGGAGCAGAAAGTTTCCGTCCATCGCCGAGTGTACCCAGTGGCGCTGCGATCCTGCCGTCATCGTTCATCTGTGGAGAATGTGTACCCCGCCGCAGGGCCGCTGCTTGGCTGCCGGGAGAGAACACGTGTGCGATGGGTGCGGTGCCACCTACCAGTGCGGGGCACATTCCTGAGCCGTCTTCAACGAGCGCAGATGCTGCATCTACAGTCGCGATAATTCAAACTCGGATATTTCGTACTTCCGGTTAATTCAAACAGATCTGAAGATTTTGGTTGTCCCGCTAGGTGTTTTTTTTTATGTATTTGTAAGCCGCTTAATTCGAACGGCGTTTTCGCTTAATTCATACTTTTTTTGTTCCCGCGGTCCCGTTGAGTGCGCTTCTTTCCGAGCACCGGTGTACCGCAGAGAAGCAATACCCGCGGAGCTTGTTTTTGCGAGTGTTGCTTCTCCGCAGTGCACCGGTGCTCGGAAAGAAGCGCACTCAACGGGGCTCAAGCAGGCACACATTAGCAGAAAACGGCATTCACATTATGTGCTTCAAGACTAGCAATGATGACCAAGACGACATCGAGGATGAGGAACAGCCCACTGGCATCATGCTTTCTGGCCTTGAAGAACATAATGTGAAAGCCGAGCTGGCGGAATATGCTAGTCTTGACGACGGTGTGTTTGTCGTGATGATTCATCAGGGGACATAAGGAAGTAATGCCAGCACAGTGCAGCAGTGAGAGTGAAGATGATGATGAAGAAAGGGATGACCCACTACCAACTGTCACAGCCGCAGAGGCCTTTGAGCACATCGCTCAGCTCCGGAAGTTTCTGTCTGCACAGGAAGAGTCCTGTAAGAGCTACTTGCGCTGGCTGGTATTGAAAATTTTGTTTTGAGATCTCATGTACTGACTAAACAGTCCGCAATCGACAACTTTTTTGCCGGATGAATAATTTTAACGTCACAGCTCTTTCACCAATGTGTTATGCCTGTACTTGCTTATAATTAGGCCTATGTAGAGGAAACTGGCAAAAATCAGCTTTGTTACATGGATAGGTAGCTATCCATGTAACAAACCATAATGTTGTCTAGTATCATATTTAGATGAATTTCTGATAATTCATAACTTCTGGTAATTCAAACTAAAATCTGTGACTTCCTGGAGTTTGAATTAATGAGAGTCTACTGTATGTCTGCTCCTGCATGGCAATGCGGTCAGCTGACCACGCAAGACTGAAGCCAAGAAGGCGGAGACGAAGGCTGGGCGTGCAGAAACAATGCACCACAAGCGGGTGGAGGATTCGATAACGTGTTCCGCTCTTAAAGGCGAAGCTTAAGCGTCCTCCGACTTTTGGTCACCCTACGGCAAAACAGAGTTCCTCTTTAGCAGGTGCCTTTTGTTAAGCATGGCGAGCAGTCAGTGGCTTCCACCATATGTGCGCATCACTGCAAGCAACAATTGCTTTCGTTTTTTTTTTTTCACCAGCAGCATTTGGGATGGTAGCTGTGAATAGATGAAAAGCTTGTAAGGGGAGAAGTATAAACTGACACAAAGAAAAGAACACAATCACCAGCATTCATGTTTGTCACAAACTACACCCTTCACACCTACCACCAGTTGGGGGGAAAAATGTATTTCTGTACGTATCTGTATTCCGGGATACTACTTTGCCATTTTTGCACAAGTACCTCAGGGGATATCCCGTGACATAGAAGAAAAATGCGTCTCAGTATCTCTATCCTAGTCTTAATATAGGTAGTACATGTATCTCAGTATTTGTATTCCTAAATATTTTTTGGAGCATCCCTGCCCAGCCCTGGATACAGGTCAATACACAGCTGTATCTGTTTTATGTCTCTCCCCTCTGAATAAGTCAAATTGTGTGGTCCGTCTTATCAATGCGATGGTTCTTGAATGCATGTTCAATTCTCGAACTGTTCACCTCAGTCTGGGAGTGATGCCTTGCACAAAATGAACCATTTAAGCATTATAAAGTTTTGCAAAACTTCATGCCTCTGAAGGGGTTCCAGAGTTATAGAAGCTTTGGAGGAATCTTGCACCAGAAAAACAATATAACGCAGGTTGTTCATGACACACGTTTTATTAACAGTTAAAACACCATACCATAGGCTCCTTTGCCAATCCATTCAGGGTTCTGGCAAAGCACTTCATCTCATCTGAGGGAAACTTTGCACCCACAAAATCACTTCTTAGTGCCGTCTGAAAGCATTGCACAGCTGGAAACTTCACTCAAAGATATCTTAATGACAGCATCCTCAAATAAACCTCTTGCTATTGCAATGAGTCAGATATAAACTTACGGGTCAATTAATTTAATTGGGACACCCCTTCCTTGGGCCACATTAAACAGTTACTTAAATGTACACGCTCTCAATTAACACAAAGATGCAGTTAGATGCTTTCAAAATTTCGGCAGGCATCCGACTACTACCTGGGCGAAAAGTTAGAAATAAAAATTTCCTTTAGAGTGGACGACGGTCATCTTGTCTTAACTGAAGGACCTGCGATGGACACTGTTGCAAAATATAATGTAACAAAAACTAAAAGTTGGGGAGAGACTCCTGGTTTTGCAGTTTTGTTGAAACGCTTTCTGGTAGTTCCAAGGAAAAGAGGCACAACGACACACTCGGCCGTAAAGGAGTGAAGTTTTTTTTACTTTTAGCAATGTTTAATCTTTATTATGTGCATTCTGAAATTTTGAAAGCATCTGGCCATTAGATACATCTTGGAAAGATTGCGGTAGCTGGTTTAAGCAACTGATCAGTGTGGATCACTGAATGGTGGCACAATAAAACAAACCCCCATGTCCCTCGTCAAGCTACCTCGAAAAGCCACGAGCACAAAGCGGACGTTTTGGAAGCCAAGCCCCGCCTACTACGTTCACCCCTAAGCCGACGGTGCGGCGGAATCTCCGTGCTCCTTAGACAGGTCACGCGCCCATCTTTTGCCACATCGTGAGATGCTCTTGCACAGAGAATAGGGTCGGGCAGGCATGTAGCTCTCACCCCACTGTCGGCTTAGAAGTCAACGGAGTATACAGTCGCGCGATGGGAGCATGGCGGGAAAGTGCGAGCTTGCGCTCGCAGCCACGAGCAAATGAATCCGACGTCCACAAACAAGTCTTGCTCTTTCGTGGTGATGAAACGCCCAAACGAATCCCAGAAGCCATCTGGAGTTGTCCCTATATGCTTCCGGGGTTCGACGGCAACTTCCCCGGCCACCGCGGGTCGCCCGGTCGCACCCTGCGCGGCACGTTACGGGCCCAAGAAGCTTCGACGGGCCCACCAAAACTTCCGTCGCACACGCGGGGCGTATTTACAGAGAGGAGTTTGGCTACGATATGGGAAGGTGGTTGTTATGTACAAAATTCCTAGTGGTACACACACGCACACGGCCCGCTTGCCCAAGCGCTCCGGGGGCAAGTGGCGCTGACGTGGCCCCCGCGTCGAGTCCCAACCAAACGCTCGGCACGAGACGGCGGTCATTCCCAGGTCCCGGGCGAGGGACCCCCAGTGGTCATGCCGTGTCCTCTGACGACTCCATGTTGGAGCCGAGTCTGTCGTACCTGCGCCAGAGGGATGCGTGGCCATTGATTGGAGTGGGGAAGGGATTCACATCTCTCTCGATCGAAAGCTGAGAAACTGTCCTTCTTTTGGTGTTGGTGCAGTAAAATGGTGGAGAAGCCTACGTGTCTCGGAAAAACTTACTGTATTTACTCGCATAATGAACGCACCCCCTACAGTGGAAATCAATATTTTGACTTTTTTTTTTTCTTACAAAATGAACACACTTTGAACTTTCGGCTCCGCCAGTCTTGAACTGCGTCCAACTTAGCTAGCTGGCTAGCCACCAAGCCCACCAAGCCAATTTCATTTTGCCGCCAAGCAGCCAGGTCAAGTCAAGCCAAGCCAAGCCGCTCTTGTAATGGCTGCAATTGCGTGGTTGCGGAAGTGATCAACCGTGAAATCGAGCGGCGCGCACGCCTAGCAAAGCTAGGGTCGAAGAATTGCCCAGCCCCGGATGTGCTTCGTCGATAAGATACATTGATATCAACAAACACACGGTCGTTTGTGATCCGCTTTCAGACAGTGATATCATGAAAGTGGTTAAACCTAAGAATGGTAGCGTCGCTCTCCGGGCTGAGTGAGCTTCAAAGGGCGCTTTTTCTTCGGCAAAAGGCACGCCAAAAGCGTTTTAAACAAGGTTCGCAATTTATAGAGCATGGTTACTGTAATGCGCCCATGATCAGCCATGGGTGCGCCTTCGTCAGTGGAGACGTGCCATGGTACCCTGCCATGTCATATTGGTACCTAAAATGACATTTGTGCAAAGTGTGTAAATGAGAAAAGTTTACTCTGCGTAATGAACGCACACCCCAAATATGCATCAATTTTTTGAGAAAAAAAAAAGTGTGTTCAATATGCGAGTAAATACGGTATGCTTGCATCAGTGAGTGATTGGGGTATCCGACAATAGCAGTCTAAGAACGCTTCACTTAGAGGCAGGGACGATCAAGAAACTTTGGGAACTCGGGGAACCCGTAGAGGTACTCTAGGGAACACCGGGGTTCTGAGGAACCTAGTAGCTTGAAAAGCTATCGATTGGAGCAGAGCTTCTTGAACTGGGTTCTTGTAACCCAGGGGTTCCCGGAGTACCCTTATAGGTTCCACAAGCTCCCAAATTTCCTCGACCGCACCCCTCCCTTAAGTAAGTGTCTTCTCAGTTTATGGACCATCTAAGCAGACCTGAGCCACCTATTTATGCGTAACTAAGGTCTGTAGGATCCTGAACTGTTTTACTGCATCTATGCCAGGCCCAGAGGGGGGGAGGGGGGGGGGTTCCTCGGCTACGACAAACCACTGCGACGGTGAAAGGATGCGGATCACTCTTTTCATCGCCGCTGCCACTGTCGCAAACTGCCGCCCGAAAAAAAGGTGCCCATACTTCCGTTTGCATGCGCCACCAAATGATGAGGTCGAGTGCACTGCTGACGCAAGTAGCTACTCCTGCAAAGTTGCAAAGGTACATAGAAAGTTTTTGTCTGCATCAATTGACAAAGCAACACGTGATAACACTTTAAGGCCAAGAAAAGGCATAATGATGCACGAGTGTGGCATGTCCGCGATTTGTGGTATCGGCTCTGATGGATGTCATGCGAGTTTGTAAAGGGAATCTGCTTCTTTTTGTAGAAATATTTTTTGCGACCCATTTCTTCACCTTGGGCGGGCATTCGTCCGAGAGAGAAGAGTTTCGTTTTTTGTGAGTAATTGTAAGTAGAGTTCCCCGTCTTCGAGGTTTATTTTTCTTGCGAATCTGGGGCACAAATTCTGTGTTCTTCAGTGTTGGACAAAGAGTACCCATTTATCGAGGCTCATGTCAAAGAAAATGGGTCACAGGCGTGGAATTCCCTAACCCCAACTGAACATGCTCACTATCCGAATACCTGGAAATCGTACAGAAAGAGGAGAAAACAAACTAAAGAATGTGGTACCAAAAAAGAAAAAAGAAGTTTCGTGGAGCTTAGTTTTTTTTAAAGGGTAACTGTGAAGAAAAAAAAGTGTATTTTTAAACAGCCTAATTGGGACAAGCATGTCACAAAACAAATTTTCTTCCAAAAGCAAAATTTTTTACAGCAATATTTATTGCACGAGACTCATTTTAGTTTGCGGCTATTTCGTTCGTTTTAAATCGCGCGCCACAAAGTTGGTATTATACGTCACGGAGTGACGTATAACAGCCACTCCGCGCGCGTCGAAAGAGCGGGAGTTTTTAAATGTGGAAAAGTTGTGACTCCGACTAAATTACATCCTGCGGCGTAAATATTGCTAGAAAAAATTTTTTTTTTCGCAGAAGATTTGTTTTTGTGACATGCTTGTCTTAAATAGGCTGTTTAAAAAACACCTTTTTTTTTTGCAGTTACCCTTTAAAGTTTTTTCTGATTTTGATGAAACCAGCCCAGGGATCAATTTAATTCTTTAAGTTTATCGGTGTTTACTGAAAACACAGAACCCTAGTCGCAAGCCCCGATTAAAAGAGCACAACCTGCTCTGGGCAGCCACCCACTCACCTGGCACACTGGTCGACAATGATGCGGGCGAGGTCCTTGATGCGCTCGTAGGGGGTGTCGCTGTCCAGCAGCTCTTGGAGCAGTACCAGTCCGCCCTCCTCCTGAACCAGTGGGCAGTACTTGTCCGCTGGAAGGAAGGCATCGGCAATGTTTCACAGACATTGGATCAAACTATTAGACAAGTGCCAACACTCGACTCTTCGGTACTCGAACTGGGTTTCTGGTAACCCAGGGGTTCCCTGAGCTCCAACATTTTCTCGGCAGTCCCAGCTTCTAAGGCAGGTGTCCTGCCAGTTAAAGCTCTATAAAAGGTCTGTAGGATTCAGCACAGCTTTTTTGTGCCAATGCTACTGCCGGGAGGGGTCCTTCAGCTATCGCTAGAAAGAGGTAGGTGCTTGTCCAGATGAAATACTAGTTTGAGAATACCTGTTTTGGTATGTCGATCGAACAATCAAGTCGGATACAGTAGACTCTTGGCAATTCAATGTCACTTTACTCGAACCGTCGGTTAATTTGTTGCATCAGAACAGTCTTGGAAGACGAATAGACAACGATGGGGAACACAATTGTGCATTAGTTCGAAGGCTGCACCCCCGAACCTGGTTGTAATTTCGAAGATTTTCTTGTATCTCCCAGGGGCTCGGAAACTTGGAGGTTGTGAAAAACCAGCAGCCGAAGTTACTTTACGGGAGACTCGGCGTCGAGATTGTACTGATCACACCACTAAGCAATCGACTCCGCTTTAAATTATCCTTTGCCGCTGTCGCACCACATTACTGCACTGCTCTCTCTCTCTCTTTTTGAGGAAAGATGAGAAGCAGTTCAGCCGGGGAGGCCATTTTAGTTTTGGTATTGCGGACCCTTGACAACCTAATTCTAGAGGTGGCCAAACATTAAAATTTCTAATATGAATCAAATATCATAAACTTAAAATTCATATTCGATTCGTGAGCTACGTCTCTGGTAATATTTGAATATTCGACATGCTACGGATATTTGAAAGTAACCGAGTGTTTAAGAATGTATTTGTAAGCCCTAGTTTTTCTTTCAGTTTTGGTCACAGCAGCATAGCAACCTTGTGCTTAGCTAGAGTTCCTTCCTGACTATTTAACCTGCAATTCAACTGATGCAACTACTATATACTTGCGAATCCGGATTTGTGCTATTTCACGCACCCGTGTTATGGCTGATGGAGATGACTGCAGCGAACTGTAGGTTGCTTTAAATATCCAAATCTGACAAAGCTCTGCTTCAAATAGTTGGCAATATCTGCCACTTCAGTGCCAAGCGAGAGTGCCTTTTTGGCTGGAGATGTCCCTGCCCAAAGGGAATGCTTCCTACATAACCATGTGCAACGGTTGGTTTGCTGCATGACGACTTGTGATGTTTTTGTGGACAATCAGTCCTTTTGTTCTTCTGGCATTCAAGGTGCATCTTTTTTTTCTCTTGTCAACACAGGTCTGGTGTTCTAACATACCGTATTTACTCGCATAATGAACGCACTCGCGTAATGAACGCACCCGCACCCCCCAAGTCGGCTCTCAAAATTTCGACTTTTTTTTTCACTCGCATAATAAACGCACCCCCAACTCGGACGTCAAAATTTTGACTCCCTCCCCCCACGGGCGCGAAATGAACGCACTTTTCTATCCTGGTGCAGCGAGGTCGCGAATGCATGGGCAGTGTGGGCGAACAAAACGCCTTGCAAAAGGCGTTAACAAATTCGCAAAGATCCAACCGAAGCAAAAAAAAAAATGGAAAGGAGCTCTTTTTTTTTTTTTTTTTTTTTTTTGCACAGCACAGTTTGGATTTTAGGGTTCGCGCGCCGCCGCGCGCAAGGAGGTAAGAAGAGAAGCGGAGAAGCGCTCTAAGCGAACGAAACAACTTGCGAAAGGCGGCAAAAAGAAAAAAAAAGACCCACGGAACTAAGAGAAAACAAAAACAAAAAGCTTTTTTTTTTTTTTTTTTTTTTTTTTTTTTTTACAGCGCAGTTGGGTTACGGGGGATCGCGCGCAAGGAGGTAAGAAAGAGGAGCGGAGAAGCCCCCTGAGCAAACGAAACAGCTTGCGAAAGGCGGCAAAAGAAGGAAAAAAAAAAAGCAAGAAACCCCACGGAACTGAAAAAAAAAAACAAAAGAAAAAGAGGAGCATTTTTTTCTTCTTTCTTTTTGCACAGCGCAGTTTGGTTGGGGGTTCATGCGTCGCGCGCCGCGCGCAAGGAGATAAGAAAGATAGGCGGAGAGCCCTCGTCTAAGCAACGTCTAAGCAAACAAAACAGCTTGCGAAAGGCGACAAAAAAAAACAAGGAACTAAGGGGAAAAGAAAACAAAGAGGAGTTGTTTTTCTTTTTTTTTTTTTGCATAGCTTAGTTTGGTTACGGGGTCGGGCGCCGCCCGCAAAGAGATAAGAAGTTACCTCGATTTTTCAGGATAAAAGGTCCGTTCATTATGCGAGTAAATACGGTACGGACGCAAAAATTTTACTTCGCGTAATGAACGCCCCCCCTAACTTTGCATCGATTTTTTGGAAAAAAAAGTGCGTTCATTCTGCGAGTAAATACGGTATGTAAGTAAAAATGTAGTTGCAAATAAATGCATCTGGCTTTAACTATTCAATATTTGATTTGATATTCAAATCTAACTATTCATAATAGATTCATATTTGAAAAAGCTCATATTTACACACCCCTACCTAATTTGCAACCAAAGAGCCAAAAACCAATATATATTTTTCTGTATTATGTGACTGCAATGGCCTAGTGTGATGATGGGCAGTAAATCTACAATTACACTGTCAGCAAAAATAAATATTTAAAAAAGTAAATTGATAAGAAAGTAATCAAGTTGCTAATTGCCTCAGATTTGCACCCAAGCACTCAGGCAAAGGCATGAATACAAGAACCTATTAAAGAAAAAAAAATTATCTGTTCACTTTGGTTAACCAGTGCTAAAAAATAAACACTTTACATTTACAGGGCATATACCGTAGAATACGGTGCATCCGCCCATTCCACACTAAGCGCCCACCCCCAACATTTGAAACATCTGAAAAAATAAGCACAGTACATATAAATGTGAAAATGAAGACCTCACATGCGCCCATTTTCTTCTTTTTTTGTGTGTTTTTTTTTTGTGATTATCTTTAAATGTTTAGTGGGCACGAACGACCTTCGCAGTCACACCTGGAAGCGAAGTGCGACCCCTTCTCCAACATTCCGGAGGGCATGACTCCCGCTGACAACCTTGAGCCACAATTATCTGTTCTCGCTAGACAGGGTGAATGGCTTTCACACATACTGTCGACAAAAGAGGAGAACAAGCTGTCATAGATAACTGCTCAATTGAGGTGCTAAAAAGGAAAGACATTCTCCTCCAGGCGTCTGGTGCTTTTCCAATTACTTCTTCATCGCATCGAGTAGGCGTGCAAGGAGAAACCAACGGCCGCGGTAATCACTGCTAAGTCAAAAGAGGGGGATGGGCCGCCAACGATAACTGCCCAATTATGGGATTCTGAGGTCCTTCTTGTCCGGGCTGAGATGGGCTGGATATCCTCCGGGCGTTCGTGTCCTCTTAGATTCAACGGAACAATTAACCTGTGCGTGCGTTTGTGTATGCTCGTAGGCGGTGCTTGAACGTTTGGGGATGGCCTTTTCGGGGTCTTCTCGACGTCGAATCCCGGAAGATAGGCCACATCTCTAGCGTCCCTGAGGGAATGGCTGCCACAACAAGCCTGAGGAATCGGCAGAGCAATTATCCTCTGTGTGTGTTTGTGCGTGCTCCTGGGCGGTGCCTAACAATTTGGAGAACAGCGTCTCGGCTGCATGGGATCCTAACCTAGGGACGTAGGGAAAGGGGACCTTATAAAAAGGGATGTTTACACGCTCTATTTGTGTTCTCATGTTGTTCTCATGCCAAACGGTACATAGGATGTAAATAAACAGTTTGAGAGGGGACACCCTGGCTCGCTACCAGCTCTACTTGAGGTCCTGGTCGACGCGTGGCTCCAGCAGAGATCGACTTAGTGGGCAAAGTCTTTACAGTGCTTGCTTGGTATTTTATGGCAGCTGGTATTGGTGTACTTTCAGATGCTGGTTTTCACAAAATGTATGAGGCTAATGTTCCTTTTCCTCTTTGGCATTTCTCTAACAAAAAATAAATGCACCGATTTAAAAAAGAAAATGGTCTCTTCACCGCAGTCCAAACCGACATGTATTTCACATTTGTGCATTGGAACATGTACAGATGCCAGGCTCTGGTTCTAGTGTCACCGCTTCGTATTCACCTGTTCCGATTCAAGTATTTAGAGCAGTGGTTTTCAAATCGGGTTCCACGAAGCCATTATCGGGGTCTGCGAAGCCCTTGCCTCAACCCTCAACCCCCCACCTATCTATTTTAAAAAAGAAAATATGTTTTGTTGACCTTGGCTAGGTGGCGCAGGCTACTGCCCGTTATAAAGGGTAGAGCCGTTACCATCCATCTATCCATCCATTCATCCTTTTACTTCATGTTTCCCACTTCTCCTGTCTATAACATTTTATTTCCTTTATTAGAGGAAATAAACTTGATGGTGAAACAGTTTATTTCCTTTATTTGTATCTCTCAATTAGAAATTGTAATTGTCTATAATAGTAAAGGATGCCCTTTTCACACCGAAATTGTAATGGTCTATAACAGTAAAGGATGCCCTTTTCACACCGAAATTAGTAGGTGTCTTATTTTGTACTCCCTTCCTTCCCCTTCCCTTCCGTTCCCCCCTTCCCCCTCCTCTCCTCTCTGCTCTGCTCTCCTCCCCTCTCTCCTCTCCCCTCTCCCCACTCTCCTCTACCCTCTTTCTCCTCTCCCCTCCCCTCTCCTCTCCTTCCCACCCCCTCTCCCTCCCCCTCCCTCCCTTCCTTTCTTTCTTTCTTTCTTTCTTTGTGGCTGTAAACTGAGGGCGATTCCCTCAGTTTACAGCCACAAAACAGCCGCTGTGATAGCGTTGCGAGCTTAGTAGCCGCCTTTTTGGTTGTTTCGGTTTTGCCCTGTAGACTCGATACCACGTCCTACCCAATAAACAAGCTGGATTGAGGCTATCGCCGGGTTTTCAGGTTTCGCTATAGCCTGCCCATTCTTCTAGTTCTTCTCCGTGGTCCGTGTTTTTCAAGTGCGACCGCAAGAAGAGCGGCCGTCTGCCTTTCTTGTGTTCTTTGAGCCTGAAGGTTTTCTGCCAATAAGCTTAGTATTAAAGCGAACTTGGTGGTCTCCAAACAGTGCCAAAAGCACCAACTTCAACTTCGCAGTTTGTGTCAACAAAGGCGATGACAAAGCGCGGCACTGTGATCACACAGATCAACAAACAAGTAAGAAGTGAACAATATAAAGCAGAAGTTGCACGAGAACTTAATATTGACGTCAAGCAAGTGGAAAGCGGCCAATACGCAGCGGAATATGCACGGAAATTTTATATATTGGGCTGAAATCTATTTCTCGGACCGCTTGATTATTGGGACATTTTCGGGGTCCCCTTCGAGTCTGAAAGATTGGTCGGCGACTGTACACTTCTGTGGTGTACTTAGATTGTGTATGTCTCAGAATCAAAATGCCTCATTCGTGCACCTCACTAACCTCAGAATCTGACAAATCGCCCACTTCCTTTGATTGGACTCCTTCGGCTGTGCGGAAGAAGGCACTTTATGTATTGCCGTCGAAAACGAAAGGAGGAGATCCCATCAGGGGGACATCGCCCCTCAATGAAGACAGACGAGCGAGCCCTGATGTTCCATACTGTAGAACTATACCATACTGTAGTATCAAAAACTAATAAATAAACAGACAAATACTCACGGTAGACCTGGGTGAGGTTGGCCAGGGCCCAGACGGCCCAGTGCTGGGCCTGCGGTGTGTGGCGGACCCCCAGCAGGCGCAGGATGGGTTCAAAGGAGCTGGAACGGCACGACAGAGCAGATGAGCAGTCGGCGAATCAACTAAACCAGAGGTCTCCAAACCCCGGCCTGCATAAGTCTTCCAACTGGCTCACGGCAGGCCGCAGTCCTTGCAATGAAGCCCGGCCCGCGGCCCGTTTTCAGCAGACCCGCTGCTACCGGTGCAAAAAGTGTGCGTAAAAAAACCGTGCAGTGACGCGCTTTAAATGGGCAATCAAAGACACCAGTAAGAACAAATGAAACTGCATCATAACGCAGGTCTTCTCGCCATATTTTTCATTGAACATTGTCATCACGAGCCACCATTCTTAGTCACCTGCTTCGTGTATGTGTAACTATGTTACAATTCCCTTGCATTCTCATGTACAGCCATACAGCCTCCAGATTTTTTTAACAACATTGCGCAAACGCCGATTGGCCAGCAGATCAGCGCCTTACTGCGACGTGAACCAGCACGTTAGCGAGACTACGCGCGTGTGGCAGAAGGCAGACGTCTAGCCTCATGCCTTGCTGTTTTACGCCGCGATAAAGCACTGATCTACCGGCCGGCCGACGTTCATGCAATATTGTTAGAAACTCTGGAGGCTGTACATTGTCGCAACTATTGCATATTGTTAGCGTTAGTTTTATCATTTTCATTAGTCTTTTGCACTGCACGAGTGTGCCAAAATTTCCATGCATCTTGATTTAGGGCTGGCAAGTTTTCTTGGTCACAACTGTAGTGTAATGCCGTAATTAGCCAAATATTACTTTTAAAATGGAAGTACATGTATTCATCCACCTTAGGACTTTTGAACACTTGCTCTGACATTCATTTTTGTGTTTGGATGCTCATCTAGGTTTACTTATTTAATTTCTTTCGCTTTTCGTTAGTCCCTGCTTTTTCGGCCTTGGACACCGCAACAAATCCCTAGTCCAGCCCCTTAGCCAAAACATTTGGAGACCCCTGAAGTAATTAATGATCCGGCATGCAACAGAAGGAGGCACATGTGCGAGACATGCTTGTGTCTGTAGTGCAGAGAAAAAAATTATATTCGCCATAATGTTGGTGCATATTCCTCGCATTTCAGTTAAATGCGGCAGAGTGATCACATCGGCACAGTTTAGCGCAATAACTGTAATACAGTGTAGACCGCATATAACGTATGACGCGGGAGTTGCGAAAATCCGCACTATAAGCGGTACCGCGTTATAACCAAAACATCAATTTTTCAGGCCAAAATACATGCCATGAGACAACCTACCTTTGTAAAAGAATTTATTTTATGTTAGATGAAAAATAAAGCTTAGTTTGAGGATAGTCTTTATTTCACCAGACTAGTACACATCTCTCTCAAGTGTGTCACACATTTTGAAAGAAATGAGCGGCTTTTGCCTGGCGCAGCCTTTTAACGGCGTCGCGGGTTGAGGACGGACGTTGCGAGCGTTCAGGATTGCTAACCCTAATCACTTTTCTCCGGAGATGAAAACGCGTGAAAATTTGCATCCTTCATACGGTACGCGCCAGTAATACCTTGAACTTGAGCACAGGCATGAAATGCTCCAAATAAGAAATCCGGGCGATGTTCGAAAACACAAATGCTTAGAAAGCACCACTTTAGCCGAAGTAAACAAACACGACGACACGGGCGTTTCTGCCGTCTTGAGAGCGCCGCCACATTGCCGCACGAGTAGGTGGATCTTCCCTTCTAGTACGTGCTGGGTTATCATAGCGACACACAACGAAAATTCACAGTCAAGCATAGCGCTTTTACGCGGAACGATGAGATGAACGCCACAACCGACGCCATGTTTGCGGACAGAAGCCGCTGGCCCGCGATTGGCATGCAACGCGCGCGAACACTTCTCGACCTGCGATTGGTCTGTCGTTTCGGTTGTTTGTTTCCAACGCAGCGGAGGGACGCACGCACATGAACGACACGTGCGTGCGTCCTTCCGTCGCTATGGCAAATGAAGCCTCTCTCTTCGCTTCTCCGAGCAACCTCCTTGCCCCGCGAGTGCCGTTTGCGGCTCGCGCCGTTATCTAGTGTCACCCAGGGAAGCGTGCTCGCTGCTCCGGTCGTCGGCGCGGTCGGCGGGCTGTGCCAGAAACCGCACTATAACCGGTATTTCCCTTCGCGCGCCTGCATTTTAAGCGGTATGTAATTACATGGAGTTCTATGGGAGGCGAACCGGTGGTTTAAAAAAACCGCGTTATACCCGGTCCTGCACTATAAGCGGTTACGTTGTAAGTGGTTTATACTGTATCATGATTTTAAAACGAATAGAACTAAAATGAGGTTTAGCCCCTTGACTGCCGATGATAAGGTGACTCGTCACGTTGACTTCTGACCACAACTGCCAATGATTAGATAACTCGTCGTGACGTTCTCTGACAAATAGAGAGCCCTTCCACAATGTTTTCTTTCTGAAAACGTTATTTTGCCCAATCTTTGGTGCTCCGAGCAAATTTTCGTAAATTTCTAGCTTGTTTCAGTATTAATATAGCAAATTTAGTGCAACTTTAACAGATGGAAAACAATGCTGAATTTCAGAGAAGGCTACCTCCCCATGCTCAGCCACAAGGAAGGAGGCTGAACAAAAGTCGATTTCTGGTTCAGCCACGTCTGGGGCAAACAAGCAGAACGCCATTTCTTCGCTTTATTCTGAGTGATGTGACCATGAATGCTTCCTGTCGACTGAACCGAGCATTCAGACGATAAAAGTGCAACAGATGCAACCAATGCTGTGCAGCTGATGCAGTGAAACAGGCTCAAAACTCTTAACAAATCATGAAGAGACCGTCTGTAGCTTGGAATTGAAGTTTCCGGCGTTTTACTTCGAGAAAGAATTAGCATGGCATATAGATATGTCCATAAGATAAACTAACGCACTCACACTGCGTGGTCACTGAAGAATTTAAGAATGTGGGTTATCCGCACTTGTTTTGCCCGAATAGAAAAAGAAAGCCTCGAAACAATATGAGCTTTCAAATACTATTCTATAGTTCTGATGCATTCTTGGTAACAATAACCGGCAGCTAAATAGAGTCACAGGCTACAGTCGTTGGATCAAGTACCGGTCCCAACAGAGCAGAAAATGTTTTAAAGGGCAACTCCGCTCAATTCCGAAAAATTTAGGCTTACATGTGATTCCATTTCACAAAGCACTACTAAACAGCTCTACGTCCTCGGATTCGCGAAATGTGGAATATTATTTATGTAATCTTAGTTTAAACATCAGCCGATACCCAAACCGAAACTTCGGTTGCGTCAGGCAACATTGGTCTTGTGCCATCAGAGTCATGGCCAAGTCACATCGAACCATATGGTCTTGTGACGTTCGTGGGGGCGAGGTACAGGACACGCGACGCAAACAGGTTGCTTCGCATGGCGTAGACGGTGATGGCCCGGGGGAGAGGGGGAAGGGGAAAAGCCGAAAGAGGAGAGGGGGAGCAGAAAAAGAGACCGATAACCGCGCAGGGCAGCGCAAACTAGCGCATCCATGTCACGGTGATCACGTGGACGCCGTTCAGCCAACACCGGGAGAAGAAACTCATGACGTCATCGTTCAATTTCGCTCTGAGAAGTAAAAACAAACAAAACGTGCGAATGACGTAGTCATGCCTCCAACGTAGTGGCTCAACGTTGGCTGCTCCAACTCCGTCGCATTGACTGCGCTGACAATTGCGCCTCACGTCGCACGCTGGAGTTGGCAGATTTCGGTGACTTGGCTGATTTGAAAGTTTGCTGGCCAGTTTATTAAATATATAGACGGAATTAGATCGTAATATTTGACATGGGGTCTTTCTATATGACACTGAAGAGGGCTACATAGTTTTCTAAATATCAAAAATTAAGCGGAGTTGCTCTTTAAAAGGTCAGAGTAACAATTCTTCTGTGAAAGCTCCTCCGCGGCAAGAAGCAGGGCCTCGCCAATATCAGGGAAATAAAACAACGCAAAAGGAGACGGGTACAAGGAATCCACAGGCACAGCACCGACCGCCGAACGTCGCCTTGTTTTCAGCCCCGAGCCAGCGTATCCTTTGTACCGGCTTCCGCATCCTTTCTGCGCTGTTTGCTTTTCCTCGTAAGGTGCGCAAACTCGCTTTCTGAGACAAGAGCCGCCCAGCAGCCCACCGGTAGTTGATGTTCCTCTTGGCAAGCAGGGCCCAGCGTTCGATGGCCCGGCCCATGCGGGCCAGTACCTGGTCCCTGCGCACGGCCCGGATGCCGTGGCGCTCCCACTGCTCCGCCCCGTCCGACACCAGGTGGGCCAGGATGCCCGCCGCATTGTAGCTCACCTCGATGCCGTCGCTCGTGCTGTCCAGCAGGTCGCTGAAACGGAGGAAGGGAGAGCGGACGGCCGGAGAGTTCACGCTAGAGATCCGGAGCATGAGTTCTCAAACTACGTTCCTAGCAAGCTGGGGGCTCCCCGAGCTCCGAAATTTCCACGGCTGCCTCTTTCCCCATGTAAAGTGTTTCCCCGTTTAAGCGCTAGTATTTTAACTAGGGGTGTGCGAATATTGGAAACTTTGAATACTTAGCGAATAATGCTAGCTATTCGATTCGATTCGCTTCACACTTTCGCTGTTCGAACTATTTAAGTTCTTTGAATACTTCGAAAACTATGAATAATGCGGAACTCGCTGATTAGTGTCAACTCGCAGTCGAGTTCCCCGATTTGTTTTTGGGCTGCGCAGTATGGTTTCGAGCTTGGCAAACCCAAAAAAGCAAACCTAAATGACTTTTTTTTTTTCTTTTTTTTTTTTAGGAAGCACTGGAAAGTTATTTGCACACAGTAGCGCGATCCGTCCTCTGCTTGCCATGATGCCTGGATTGCAGAGTTGGCGAAGTGGTCATGGCACAAATGCTGTGATAGATTGGATGAAGAAATACGCTTTGCAACTGCACATGAGTCGCCGCGACAGACCACACAACGTTTCATGCATCCGCCCGAGACGTCGTGTATTCCTTCCTGTCCACAGGATTAGTGTCGTGATGTAGGCAAGTTGGTTCATGGTAAATGGAAATAAACAGCGCGCAAAAAGGACTTAAGTCCTTGTCTATTATTGCGCGCTGTTTATTTCCGTTTGTCCTGTCCACATTATTTTTTAATGTAGCACAACCATACGTATATTTGCGATTTCGTACCTACAGTCACTAGAGAAGCCAAGGTGCTATGGATTCGGACATAGATTTATGGCTGACCTCGGCTATCAGCGATAACTGGCTTGTGTTATTTTCCGCTTGATTTTCCAGTTCATCAGTTTGCCAGTATTCCTTTTGCTATTTATTTCTACCCGTTTTTACTGGCATAAGTGAGGCTTGCTCCCTCCGCCAAAAAAACAAACAAAACATATTCTTACTTTATTTCTTTTGTGGCGCCCTCTACGGACAGAACTATTGCACATGGAAAGAGAAGGTGCATAGTCAGAGCGGCTGCACAGCGCAATCGCATAATCTCCAACTATGCTGTGGCCTGCCGACCCACCTCCGCTTGCGTACTTCCGTTTACGTTCACGTGGTTGCGTTCACGCGCGTGAAAAAAAGATTGCATAAAGTCGAGACGTAATCTTCTACATTGTATTGTGGCTTGCCAACCCGCCACCCCTTATGTATTTTCATTTACGCTCACATGGCTCCGTTCGCCCGCGACGCAATCTCTGACTGCGTTGTGGCTTGCCAACCTGCCTTTACTTTTGTACTTTCATTTACGTTCTCTAACTTCACTCATTGAATGGTGTTTTACTGACTGATCTTTTTCTAATGCAAAAGCATTAACTGTCTCATAGAGAGAGCTGAGGTCATCAGTTGGAAGCACAAAACAGCAGATAGTTCCCGCGCGCCTTCAGTTCCATTGGTTGGCGCATGTCGACAGGGCTCCCATTGGCCGCTGTGCCATAACCTCCGAAATCCCGAAGCGCGCGTGCGCTGGTACACAGCAGACGACAAAGGAAGCGGACGAGCAACTTGCATGCTTTCGCATTCAGAACTCATAAGAAATGCTTAGGTGTGCCTCAAGCTTTTTGTTTTTTGATCAGTCACATGTGTGACATTTTTCTTATTGCAATAAAAGTAACCTTTTCGTAAATGTTTGCTGAAAAAAAAAATTCCAGCTGTGTTTTTTGATTGAACATTCTTGTTTAATTCACATCAAAAAGAAAATATTTGTTTTCAAAAATGTTCTTACTCGAAACTACTATTAGTATTCGAAAATATTCGATTTGTAACCTTTATTACTCGATTCGATTCGCTTCGAAAGATTTTGATATTCGCACACCTCTAATTTTAACGGATCTGAGCCACCCAATGCATGACAATGAGCCAATCACTCGTCGGAACTATTGTTTAAAGGGCTTGAGGGCTTCTGCATCGCTTTACTGCGTCGATGCCAAGACAGAGAAGGGTTCCTCGGCTGTTAATCAAAACAGGTCTCTAGAGATTGAAAAGACCGAGATACCCTCATCTCGAGGAAAAGGGCAGCCATCTTCCCAGGTATTTCGGTTGCCCCGGAACAATGCAGCACCGTGTACAAACCAAATTTTGTACGCAATGTCCTCGTGGCTGATGCGGAAGGTAGGTTCCCCTTTTGAGTGGACAATACAGACCACGCTGGAGTTTGAGGAAGAAGCTCAGTGATTGGGCGACAAACTGGGTATGAATGCGCCCTGGTTTCGGTTGTAATTGCGCCATCACAGATCAAGAAGTGAGGGTGAAGCCCACCAAAAACCATAATCACAATTAAAAAGAACAGCATTCGTTGCACCTTTACGACTGAGCACATTACAGAGTGCAAAATGGCTGAAACTGGGCTGACTACTTTTACTCTCAAATTGTCTGGTGCTGACAGTGAGAAAAACATAGATGGGCCATTTGTCAAATTTGCAATATTTACCCTTTTTTGGTCGGGAGGTTCCGACAGTGTGGCGTTAACGATGCTTTCTGCATTCTATAAGCTCCTTCTACTCACAATAACGAAGCCCCCATTTTACAAAGAGGACTGTGTCTACAATTTCACAAATGTGAACTAAGCACTAGGTGATGATTATCAAAGCAAAAACGGAGCCGCGTTTCTGCGGTGCCTTGCTGCAGACTACGTCGAAACACTCTCGCATTTCGACGCCGATAAATGGAGGCAAACCTCAATCTTTTACTTGGCCCTCGGTTGTAGCAGAATAAGCTTACCTTGCTTCTCTCTTTCTAGTCAAACGCGGTTCTTTCTTTTCCGGTGTCTCATTGGCAAAACAAACAGACTGAGCCTGTGTTGATAGCTGCTTCTGTTCAGTACTGTCCTCTTCAGCATACTTCTTTCTCAAACACTTCCATCAAGCATACAACTTCTATCATGGACACCTTTCAAAAGTGTGCCCCCTGTGTGAAGCTGTAGAATCGCTGCTCAATGGCGGACATGAGCTCGAGGACATGGGCGTACCAACCAGGGGGGGGCAAGGGGGGCGCTTGCCCCCTCCAGTTCTCAGAGTGGGGGGGCAAAACACGTCTTTTTCCCCCCTGAAACAGTCACGACTGGGCAAGGCAAACACTGGCTGGCGGCGCCCAAGGAATACCAAAAGCATGCCCCCCACCCCTCCTGGCCCTGAGGGGGCGGGGGTCTGGTTTACCCCCCCCTACTCAAAAACAGGTACGCCACTGCTCGAGGACCTTGCACTCAATTGCCCTTCGGCTGCACGAGCCCTCGCACAGCCGGAGCAGAAGCCGCGACGACTCGCTCGCGCTACTTGCACGTCCTGCAGTGTCGGTTTGTTAAAGAAATCTTATCGTATTTAATAAACGCTGCCTCACACGCTTCACAACTGGCACGGTGGTCGAGCATCGGGCTCGCAGTCTTGGGGTCTTGGGTTCGGTTCTCAGGAACCTTCATAGTTTTGTTATTTCTTCTTAACTTCTTTTCGTCTGCTTTCATCTGCACTCAGCTGCCATTCATCCTCTATGCTATACACCGCATTGTAGCTCTTCTTTCATCTCAGGATGTATCTGCAGTATGGCAAACACGTTCTTGAAAGCCACGTGGCTCAAAACACGTGCCACCAATATCTGTGCAAAGCCAATGAAACTGCACTAAAAGCCGAAACGTTGAATGCCCCTCATGTGGGTGAAACAGATGAGGCGCAGAGATATTCTGTGGTATGCGGTTGCACGCGTGGGCTCTGATAAGAGCACCGCACTTCAAGGGGTTGAGTTCTCAACCATTAGCTTCAACTGGATGGCACAGCAGGGCACGAGGGCCAACCAATTATGTAAAGGGCAAAGTCAACTTCATTCGTCCGGCCACAAAACCATTCTTTATTGCATGCCGGGCATGTGCAGTGATCGTTGAAATTCATATTTTCAGAAATGTTGCCATCTTCTGTATGTGACAGCTTTGAAGGCCCAGAAATTGCAATGCAATAAAGAATGCACAGTTATTACAATAGCTTTATAGAAGTTTGAGGATGTTGCATACCATGAACGTAACATCCAGGAAAATGAAACAACCAAAAAATTAATGACCTTGTACTGCATCCTTCATAATAATGATTCCTCGAGGTAGTGAATTCCTTTGATAGATCCATTGTGATAACGATTTTTCATGATAATTGCCTGAATAACCTGAAGAACACACATCCTTCTGAGAGCCAGAACGTTGAGCTTTATGACAAAAACCAGAAAACCTGAAAATGCCACAGCTGTAAAGCAGGTTTCAGAGGGGTATTGAGGAACTGTACATGCATTCAAACGTCGACATTCCACTTCGCATGTCCGTCTGCCCACGTGCAGCAAATTGCAGCACCAAACAACTCTTCTCCTGCATGCAGGCCAATTGCAAGTAATTTTTTACCTGCATCAACTCAACTCCTTTGCACTGCATACCACTGAGTCCAAACGTCTACACCGGTTGCCAGACGATAACATAATAAACTCGTCTGCTGCCAAAAAGCGAGTCCACAATCGTGACCTAGGAGCTTCTGTAGCCGAGCCTTTTTCTTGTGACTCCCAAAATGCTTGGAAACCACTTCTTATCAAAAAAAAAATCACAACTTCTCCACATGGTGAATGGTGTTGATTGGGACGAAGCTCTGGTGGTGCTGATGATACTGATTTTATTGTTCATAGGTAGTGCTGATGGTGCTGATTTTTTCTTTCTTGCTCATAGAGTTCCGGGTTGCGTTTCGACTTCATTATTACTGCTTTAAGGTCGGCGAAATGCAGAGCCAGTGGTTCTTCTAGCGGATCAGCTTGATCCGCTAGAAGCCGTGAGAATGCATCTCCACTGCTTAAGTCAATGGTCCATGTCAGAAAGAGAATGTGTGATATGGAATGCGGTTATATACGCATGTGAGCACTTGACCGCAGCGCCCTCTCGTCTATAAACGTTCAGCCAATGCATGCAAAGATTGACGCGATTATATACGCATTTAACCGCAGCGCCCTCTCCTGTATAGACGTTGAGCGGCTACATGCAACGTTTCATCCATGACAGACAGATGGGATGGCAGTCGATGTGAGCACGGATGTTGGACGGATGGACAAGGCTACACCCTAGGAAGCTTTGCCCCTATAGTAGTAACCCCAGCTCTTGAGTTACTACCACATCTCACAGCCCCTGCTTGTCTCGCAGCCGTGGCCGAGTGGTTAAGGCGATGGACTAGAAATCCACTGGGGTCTCCCCGCACAGGTTCAAATCCTGTCGACTGCGCAAACATTTTTTCTTTTTTTAAGAAAACAGATGGGATGGCAATGTGAGCATGGATGCCAGACAAGGCTAGACCCTAAGGAGTTTTGCCCCTAAAACCTTTTAGGTAAACCCCCTCAAACTCCCGTGGAAAGACGAGTGCAGTAATATGTATGCACGAATGCTTCATGTGGCTGGGTCAAAGTGGAGCAAATGACGTCACTTTGGAAGGCTGCCTATGGGTGCAGAATTCTAAAATGTTATCTAGCTCTAGGCAAATCCTAAAGCTGGGGAGCTGAGGATCTGCTGTGCCAAAGGACATCCCCAAGCTCCTAAGTGCGATTGAAGCCAAAATGGTTCCCAGATTCTAAGGCAAAAATTTTGGACGGTTTTTATGTGCCAAATACAATTGAAGGGCACTTGACACGCCCCAGCGGCAGACTGAGGATTAATTTTGACCTCTCAGGGATCTTTTAACTCGCAATCAAAATCTCAATTACTCGGCAACCTCCTCTGCAATAAGCCTCCGTAAGACAGCGGGCACCTTGGCCAAGATTCGAACACGGCAACTGGGGATCCGTAAGCCAGCACTTTGCCTCGGGACCACCGAGGCGTCTCCAGATTCCAAGCTGATGCAAGTGGGACTCACCTGAACACCTGTAGGTAGTCGTCCTTCATCAGCCGTGGTCGCAGCTCCTTCACCTCAGCCACATTGCCCTGGATACAGTGCACGACACTTATATCGTCGGTGACTATCAAATTTAAGGATTCTCACAGAATTTAGCACCTGTTCCCAGGATTAGACACTGCATCACTTGCACCGACTCCAAGCACAAAACACAACCGTAAATGTGCTGGCATGTGGAAGGGATGAAATAGTTTGATGCAACACCTGAATGCATGGTGAACTTAAAAATAAAACATGAAATACGCTTCTTACTTTACACTTATCAATGCTTCCTCCTCCACTCCCTACGCTACCCTCCTAGTTGGGAAGAAAATGCTAAGGGCGTTTCCTCATTAGACAAAGTTCTGACGATGCTTACAAGGATGTCAGATAACCGTGTCAGTAACCTTCATTACCTTTGAGCCTCACCAACTTCTTTAAGAAAGACATGTTGGTACACAAGATTGCCCACGAAGAAAAACATTATACCGGCTTCATCATGCTGACAAAGACCAGGGAGCACACAATGTGTCCCGCACAAACCATACTGCGTGTAGTTTTTGCTATATTTTTAATTTTGTTTATTCTATATATCTATTTTTATTTTAATATTGTTACTATATTTTATTTTTAATTATTTCTAATTATTCACTACTTTTTGTAGTATTTTTAAAAAATATTTTCATCCAGAACCTGCTGCTCTTACCGGCACATTTGCATTAAAATAAAATCATTTACCCTTTCAGACCAGCACTGCTAGTAGCTCAGCGACTATAGTATCCAGTCACCACTGCAGCGACCCAGATTTAAGCCCCACCGATGCTCAAACTTTATATATGAGCCTTATATGCCATCTTAATGTCTGTAATGCTTCCAGGGTGACATTCGTTCGTGAAGCTCACTGTGACCATCTTTCATGACGCTCGTTAGACGCTCATTCATGACAATATTCTCTTAGAAAACGATTCATAGGACACATTCCGTATTAAGGGGGGACACTACGGACCCAGATAAAAAATTCTGCGAAAAACATTGATTTTGAAAAATTACATATCTACATCCATTAACATCTAGAGAGTATTCCCAGAAATTTTCACTAGTTTACACTGCATAGTTAATCTTTTTATAAATTATTTTCTGTCCATCGAAGCTAAAGAAAAGGTAGGGTTTGGAGCACTTTAAGTGCATTTTTCTCCGTTCCATTTTTTTGGTATAAATTCCATTTTAGTCAATCTATCGTTTGATAATGGCAATACAGGGAAGGCACACTATTCACTTTTCCTGACTGAAATTTAATAAGGAATGCACCTATCGAATTTTTTTGTCACTTTATGTATGTCTTTTATAAAAAGTATTGACATTTTGTTGAAGACACAGAAAACCAAAAAGTTGACCAATTTTGCAGAAGAAAAAATTGATAAAAATAAACAACTTTTTACAAAAATACTTTCCATAGCCACACCGCCTAGGCAATCCACTCGATATCTAGCGAATAAAAATCTTGAATATTGTGATAGTTTTCCGACAATAGGTTAACTGAACAATGTAGGCGTGTTGCTGATAAAAGCTGCCCCAATTTTCTTCCCACTTAACCGACAGACCTGAAATTTTGTTATGCACCCTTTAGCATGGCCACCAGCCTACCCTGTAGATTTCACTAATTTTAAGCCAAGGGTTCAAAAGTTGACCCTCCCACAGGGTGTGTCCCCTTAAAAAAGAAATTTAGTTTTGTCCGTGAACAAACTGCAACGTTTATCGCTGTTTAGCAAACGATTGAGTCAGTATGTCAACCTCCAAACTGCTCATAATGCGGATAAGTGACATACTTAGAAAATCTAGGTACTCAAGAAATAGTTGAGAACATGTGAACATGTGAACACAAGAAATAGTTGAGAACATAACTGAGAACATGTGAACTCTGAAGTCGAGTTAACAAAGAATCTGCTCTACCTATGTTATGTTAGCACCAGTGCTAACATAGCATATCAGCATACAATGCGAGACATGTAAAAGAAAAAGTACTTGGCAGGGCACTTTTCAAAGTGTTAGAGACGTTAAGAAAATAACATTATGGCAAGGTTGCCCTATAAGGCAGTAGAAGTAGCAATTGTTTGCCGTCCCAATTGGGCAAGACTTACAAGAAGGCCCATCATGTTGCGAAGGAGCTCTGGCTTATCAGTGAAGGCCTGCAAAGAACAAACGGGAGACATTATCAGGCTGGAAGCTGTGCTTGCATACAGAACAGAGTTATACGTGACTCCCTGGGTGAAACCCTAGGCATACTTTTTTGGCAATGTTTATACATAATATGTGTCTTATATAATTGATATGGCATTCAATTTAATGAAGCTGTGGAATGATTTTAAAGTTGAAAGAATTTGCATCTTGTACTTTTGACATTGTTTATCTTGTCACAAAGGAAAAAAAAAATTAGGCGTTTACAATTCTCTGTTATGCCGAACTCAGCTCTTGAGGAGGAGGAGGGGAGGAGGAGGGAGGAAAGGTATGCCCCTCCTCAATTTCCCCGCTAAATTTAGCAGAGAAATATTCCCGCTAAATTTAGCGGAGAAACTGAATTGGTGTTGAGGTCACGTGACGTCAATTTCTCCGCTAAATTTAACAGGTAAATGTTTCCACTAGATTTTACGGGACATGACATTCATTCACGTGATGTCATACGTGACATCATGTGTGACGTCACGAGGGTAAAATTTTCCCGCTAAATTTGGTGGAAAATATTTCCGCTAAATTTAGCGAGAAAATTTTCCCACTAAATTTAGTAGAAAAATTTCTCCGATAAATTTAGCGCAAACATTTTCCCGCGTTGAGTGGCGTTACGTGTGACATCATTATGGAAAACATTCCATTATGTAACGCACAGTTACGGCGACGGCGCTCAAGCCGGAAGTGGGCGACTAAGAGCTGCGCTCTAAAACATCTCCTTGTTTCGAAATGCTGCAGTTCCGCCACGTAATCGCGAGGCAAAACATTTCCCGATCTGCAGTCGCAAGCGGCGGCCATGAGAACCACGCGGCGCGACGTCAAAGGGGCACTTATAAAAAAAAAACAGCAAGTTGTGTAACTACCTGCTCAATAAAAGGTAATTTTTCTATAAATCTTGTAGTTACAACATATATATAAATGTGCCAAAAACCTGGTATTCGACAAAATTTTTATTATACATAGTTTCAATGGCGCCATAATCCGAGGTCAACAAAACCGTCAGTTCTATCTGCAACCGTGAGAAGCCGCCGGAAGCCGGACGGCTGTAAAGCTGGATGGCGCAAGCACGTAGTCACATGGTTGCGATCGGGTGAGTTCTCACTGCTCACTGATGACGTCGGAGAGAGCTTCACCGAAACCTCATGCATCCCCTCTCACATCACAGTGCACGTGACTCGGAAGATGGTGAGGGCGTTGAGAGACGCCAAAAACCTCAACCTTTCTCACTTTTTAAAATAAAAACTAGGGCATGCAGGCAAAAGCGGTTTTTTGTTCTTTACTTCAGAAGGGTCGAGACACCAACTTTCCCAATTATTTAAGCAAAGCACCGAAATTGTTGTGCAGCTCCTTTAAGTTTCTCGCAATTTTTTAACCAGAATTTTAATATTTTGCTATTTATCTTTACAAATTTTACATACCATCACAAGTTCACCACTGCCAATTTATATTTTCTAAACATCATCAAATAAAAAAACTTTTGAGCCTTTCCACTCTGGTAAAGAAGGAAGAGCAGCGGAGCTGTTGCTTCTGTTCTCAGCAGTGGCTTTTCAGGCGAGCGATCTGCTCTTCTTTCGCAAAGAAATTTGAAGCGCTCGACGCAGTGGAACTTTAGGCGATAGCGGCCTCCTGGCGGTTGTGGAACCATTCACACTGCTGCGCACTTCACCACTTGTTCTGTTCTTCTTCCTCCAAAGAAATGCTGGTGCCATCTATGAGCGACGGCCGCAACAAGTTGTCTGGTTGCCGAGGCTGGAAAGGTTGCTGCCATCTATGGAGCAACGGCGGCAAGCAGACAACCAGCAAAAACAACACTCTGGACAGCTACTGCCATCTATGAGCAATGGTGGCAACCAGAGTGTTGTGTCGACCACGAGTGTCGACATTTGTTTAGTACCGGTACACGATTGTGGGGAAACAAGCCCTTAACAGCTCCGCTGTAAAAAATTCCCACATACTAATAAAAACAAAAAAAGGGGCCGAAATCGCTGCTGCCACCACGCTGATTCACAAAGAAATGCGTGAGCATTTCGCGCAGCGGTTATACTATATAACAAAGCTTGGTGAACGCAGCCCCTCGGCACTTTTCCGCAGGGTGAACATTCCCCAATCCCCTCTTCTCCCGGGTGCAGGCAGATCAGGTCACTTAGCATGTGCACGAAGGACGTGCATGTGATATGAGGAAAACGACAGAGCCATTTCATTGTTGAGCATACATGTCGTGCATAGAGAGGCAACAATGCCGTGCGCTTATGGCCCGGTGACATGGTAAGACGACTGCACGTGAAGAACGGCGTGGCAGGCAAAAGAACAAAACCGCAGCTTGTGTGTGTCCGCAGGTCTCTAAAGCCGGCGGCAGGAGCTTCCAAGTGTGTCTAAGGCGCACACTTGCACCTCTCGGACGACCTCAATGACGACTTCTAGGACGACCTTGAGGATGACACCTAGGATCATCTCTCGGACGACCTCAAGGACGACTTCTAAGACAACCTCAAAGACGATACCTAGAGATGATAACAAGGGATCAGGACCTCACTATCTAATAATGCGAAGGAAGACTGACTCACGGTGGTTGCCCCCTCTTTTTATTTTTATTTGCCACGACCAATTGGGAGTTTTCCGTCAACATCCACGGACACATTTTTTCCCAGATCCTAGCGCGTAACAATTACACTGTAAAAAAAGCGAGAACCCACTACAAACTCGCATGTCACCGGAACGAAATGCGTAGATCGAGGACACAGCAGATTCATGTGTCATGAAGCAATAACCACGAGGGAACTACCAGGAATTCGCTTATCACATGTACCCGTACCGGATATAGCACCGTTGAGGGTATTCCTATCGGACATTGCGTGATCCATATCTGGCGGGAATGCCGATGTTGCCAATGTTTCGTAATTTTTATGTTATGAATATTCAGCCCAAAAAAGGGGATGGGCGATCTCTCGGATGGCGATCTCAAGGAGCAGGCATTTGTGCGGGATTTTACGATATATGTTTTCCTCGTATGGGTAATAGAAAAGGCTAGTGAAAAAATGAGAGGATAGTGCCATGCAAACAAACAGCAACCAGAAGCCAAGGTTCCTGGCTGCATAGCTACTTACCTGGAGACACTGGAGAAACAGCGCCATGCCTCCACCATCCAGAAACCTCTGGCAGTTGATGGGCGTTTCGTCTACGAAGAGATCAAGCACTCTGAGTGATGGTGGCCATGTCTTGCACTTGAATTAACACCAGGTGAATCGACCAGGTTTACTAGCCTCATATGAAGACTCGGGAAACATGCATGCCGTCTTCCATCTACCGAACACTTATCGTTCTCAACAACAAAGCATCTTCGGTACACTTTTAAGGGGACCTATTGAAAGGGTGCAACAGAATATGGTTCACTCTCCCATAAAAGCAAGCCATATGCTTTTTCCTAAGGGGTACATGTAGAGTCAACTAAGGTACCTGGGTCCTGGGAAACAGCACCCTGTATGATCGCCATTTCGGTTTATAAAATGAGCAATTTCTCCTCGACCTCTCCGTTCTTAGTGAACCAACCTAAATTCGCTCGTGACGGGTAGCTTTATAGAGAAGTTTCTTGTATACCGCGATTTTGTTCTCCACACACTGGCGAAACAAGCGTACGTCTTCGTACTGCCACCACATGCGTCGTCAATAATTGGAGGCATCGAAAATTAATTTTCTTGCCTTTCAATACGCAAGAATAATGATATCTTTGGAAGAGATCCGAGGAGAAGGGCATGATTGATAAGTTGATTGCATACACAGTGCCAAAGACGCTTACCTATATTGGCAAGGAACGCCTTCAGCACGACGATGCTATGTGGCAATGTTGGCACAATTGGCCTAAAACGACCCTATCGAAGCTTCGAAAATATGAAGGGGCCAAAATGGCGACTGCCATAGCAACGGCCACCGATCAACCAATCACCTTGTGAGGTTTTGGTCGTCCATATGTTAGTATCTGTTCGTGTCCGGCTAGCAGGTAGGGAAGGCAAAGGTGCTACTTTCCCAGGTTCCAGCGACTTTAGAGTCACCCATTGCAGTCTATCTAGCTGCAAGCGATGACGACCTCTGGGCTCATAAACACGAGCCACCTGAGGTTATGACTGTTACAAACGTCCCCTTCACTACTGCACGTTTTGAGATCAGGGACTCAAACCTAAAAGAAATTGTGGCTCAGTTACGAATCTAGTGACTGTGAAGCTATGAAATGTGCCAATACTTTTGGGGGTTCAGGTTAATGTAACCTTAGTTCTCGGTTTGGCATTACACTGAAACCAGTTTATTTCAGTTCACAGCTAAGCATTAAAAATGGCTGCTTGAAAGCTACTTCTGTAACAAACAAACTTTTGTTTTAAACAAATAAATATTGCAACTTTCCTGAGCTTCTTCAACCTGTTTTATTCAAAAGCTAAACAGGTTTCACGGAGTAGTAGGTCTAACATGTGCACCATATGAAACAGGAAGCCAGACACTCCACTCACTCCATGTACTGCAGGATGAGTGGGATAAATACACTTTAAATGACCACAGAAATACTATTTTTTAGTGTAGGACACTACTTTGTAAAAACATGGCAACGTAGTTAATTTGTTTTGCAAAGCTATCAGTGTAACCTGCCTCTTCTTGAAAAATTCATGAAATGGTGCATTTCAATTGACAAACAAATGTCAGCCTTTTCACTGAACTGCTTGCCAACCAAAAGTGTAGCCTGTTGCAGGGTAAGTATAGCAGGACAAGCCGCTGCCATAAAGCCGCCCAATCTTTACACCTCATCAGAGGAAACACTGGAGAGGAGGCAAGGGGAGAAGAGGAAACCAGCAGTCATGGTGAGCAAAGACCTTTGTGGAAGGGACTTTTTTCCCCCTCATTTGCTACAATTGCAGTCTCTGCCTTTTGGATATACTTCTACAAGAAGCGGGTATACCACTGGCCTAAGGTTTGAAAGTCTATAATTCCCTCACAGCAAGTAACTAAAAAAAACTGCCGTTGAAGATGATGCAATAGGATTTTTTAATTAATATTTATCTGCATGCTGATAGAAATGCTATGATGATATTGGTTATCAGTTAATTATTTACAGTTTCCATTCAGTTATTATCAGATCCAAATAAAGTTTTATTACTGTTACCTTACCAAAAATCCTTTCCCTCTTACAGCTGTCAGTTTAGTTTTTGTTTCTGGTTCGAGTGGTTGGTTGAGACATTATTCCTACCTCGTCCTTCATCAGTCTTCACAGATTAAAATGACTGGCTGCAACATCTGACCATCCTCACAAAAAGCACACATAAAGGAACCAAAAGAGGCATCCTGCTGTCATGTACACCTTCCGAGTGTTCCCTTACCTGTGACATTCCACATGGTGCTCCAAGCGGCCTCCATCACTTCGTCTGAGGAGCCCCGGAAGAGCCTTGTCTCAATCAGCTGCAGCATGATCTGTGGTAGAACAGATGTCTCAGGGACACCAGACAGGGTGCTCCCAAACAGCCAGCATTGAAGCTGCTGGGTATCCATATCCCGCAACATCTACTGTGCTTGTAAGGCGCAGTTGCACAACCCTGAATTTGTTCACTGTTTTTATGTTACACGAGCCCTATCCAGTTGAGCTAGGTATAACAAAGTCAACAGGAATCCAAAATATATTTGTTAGTAATGGGGACAACAAATGCATTTCACAATTCAATTTATATATTACTATAATTTTTCAGTACAATAGTTGGCCTATAGATTTTCAGCTACCAGTCAAACCCAATTTGATACTGGACATGCTATGGCAAACTTTAGACGCCACAAGAAAATCACTAAGAATTTACCAGTGTGTCGAACCGAAAAAAATACGGGTTCGGTTACGGTTCAGGTTCAGGTAAATTTATTTTGTTCCGGTTCAGTTCCGGTTCGATTAATTCGATCCGCGAACCGGTTCGCGAACAGGTTCGGGGCGCTGAACCGGTTCGCGAACCGGTTCGGAAATTATAAACGACAAATTGCAACATCAAAATAAATTACAAATAAAACATCTGAAATCAGCACATACGAAACGGGATACATCGTAGTGTAAGGCTCAGGGATTTCTACCAGGAATGGTTTCTTTATGTGCACTCAAAGGTTACCTCACCGACGTTTACGCATTCGGACTTCATCTAATTGGGTCCGACGCAGTAGCTGTAAAATCCGCGACCTCCTTACAAACCCACTTACAAGTAGAACTCGCTAACTACCCCGCCACCTCGGCGTGTAAGCAATTGAAGGAACAGTGGGGAGAAAATACAGCTTTCTTTATTTGAACTAGCCTTCGATAACTCAAATTAGACCCTTAAAGAAGTTTTCATTAAACAAGATACGGAATATGAAAACCACTTCACCGAACGCAACGTCAGAAGGACGTAATAGGATAAATATTAAAATAGAAGAGTTCGCTGTCTCACAAATATGTTAGCTTCTAAGTGCCTATACGAAACCGGATGCATTATTATAAAACTCCACAGCCTTTTCTTTTCTCATTCCGATGGAAGCAAGCTTCAAGAACTCGCGCGTTCTAGAAACATGTTATGAAATGAGCACATAGCAGCATTTAGGATTTACGATATTGTAAAAAAATAAAATCCCGTGACGCGATTTTTTTTTTTTGCACAGCCTTTTAATTTTCTTTCTTCCGTCCAAGCCGCGACCAGCGCAATACTGGTTCCTATGTCAAGATTCATGGATGCAGCGTTTATATATTCCTAAGACTGAGTGGAGAAGAAAAATATGTAAGCGAGGTGTGTGTCAGTTGACGGCACTTAAAAAACAAATGGCATTGATAGCACATTCATTGTCAACAGCGCGTGGCCGAACCGTTTTGACATGAGCCGGTAACCGTTATTTTTTTTCCGGTTCAGTTCCGGTTCGGGTTCATCGCGATAACAATATAACGGTTCGGGTTCGGGTTCAGTTCCGGAAAAAATACCGGTTCGGTTCCGGTTTTCGGTTTGGTTCCGGTTCGACACCCTGGAATTTACAAAATGTAATCCCAAAAGCATCTTAAAAACCTTATGAAACCTTATCTTTCTCAAAACTTATCCTTATGAAACATTATCAAAGCTTATCGTATGACACCTTATCAAAACTTTGCCAGCTTATTCTCATTATATCTTATCAAAGCTTATCCTTATGAAACATAATCAAAACCTAATAAAACAAATCAAAACCTTATAAAGCCTGATCAAATCCCTTTGAAAACTTATCAAAACATTATAAAACTGATCAAAACCCTATGAAATCTTATAGAATCTAGTCAAACCTTATCAAAAATCACTTTATGAAACAAAATGAAAACCCAATCGAAATCTTACGAAACCTGATTAAACGTTAGCAAAAACTTATTGAAGCTCTGTGAAACCCAATCAAAACCTTATGATACCTCATCAAAACCATATCAAACCTTATTAAGACTTTACAAAACTTTATGAAGCTTAATCAAAACCTTATGAAACCTGATCAAAATCCTATAAATTCTAATCAGAATGTCTTAAAACCTTATAAAAACCTTGTAACACCAAACCAATACCTTATGAAAGCTTATCAAGACCTTATGAAACTTTATAAAAAAAAAACTCATAAAATGGATCAAGATCTTATAAATCCTGACAAAACTCATAAAACCTATAAAACCTTATAAACCCAAATCAAAACCATAAAAAAACCTGATAAAATCTTATGGAATCTTTAAAACCTACCGTAAAATACCGGGCAAGCGCCCACTCAAAGTTTAGAGATAATCGCGAAAAAATAGGGAATGGGCGCTTGTCCGGTTATCAATTTTACATATAAATGTACTTACTGCGCGTATTTCCTCAGATCTTACAAATTTGGGTGTGGGCGCTTAATGTGGAATGGGCGGATGCACGGTATTCCATGGTAATCCCAACCTTACAGAACGTGATTAAAACCTTATGAAACCTGACCAAATCTTAATGAAACCTTATAAGACATTATGAAGCCTGACTAAATCCTGCTTAAACCATATAAAACCTAATCAAATTCAATTAAGACCTTATAAAACCTGATCAAATCCAAACGATGTCTTATAAAACCTGATCAAAACTTTATGAAACCTGATCAAAGCTTTATGAAACCTGGTCAGATTGTGATAAAATCTTATAAAGCCTAACCGAAACTTTAAAAAACCCAAACAAAGCCTTTTAAAATCTTAATGAAACCTGATCATATTGCTATTTCAAAACCGTGAGACAGCCCAAGTATCAGTCTTCCTGGCACCTCCGTGGGCCAGGAAGCCCAATTTCAAACAAATCGAATTCAGTTCGGTTCTCAAGAAAAGTAAAGTGAGCAGTGTCTCACCGTGATAGCTCCCTTGTCCCCCACGAGCCTCTTCTGCAGACCATCCACCTGGCAGGCCAGGGAGTTAAGCAGGTAGATGCCGATGCGCTGCACAAACTCGTCCTGCTCCTCCTGAGCCACCATGTGTAGCAGCATGTCCACCAGCCGCTCATACTCAAACAGCTGCAACACAGGCATGAAAACAGGGTTATAAGAGGGTCATGAAGCCACGTTTTTTACCCAGGCCAACCAATGCCCAGAATAGAGCTTTGGTCGACAAATGCATAGAAGCCAATTTTGCAAAAAAAAGAAAGACTCATGGGCTTATACTAGAGCAGGGGGTCTCAAACCTCACAATTTCGAGGAACGACAATCTCTCTTGATCAATAGCCGAGGAACCCTTCCAGTCTTCACATTGCCGCAATAAAGCGGTGCAGAAGACTAGAGACTTAGTAAACAATAATGTACAGTCGGCAGCGAAAGTTTGCAAGGCATGGGAGTGCCAGCTGAAATGACTGGCTGCACCTTCTGACCAGCACATTGCCGCTCTCAAAACTCACGTTTTGCACATGTGCTTTCTTTCGTGTTCGCAGTCATGTTTTTTTCACTCGCTTCCGTCCGACACCCATGAGATGACAGGGATTGGTGCAAGGTCCGGCTAAATGTTACCTGTAGCATGCGAGCTTTGTCATCCATCACAGTGGCTGAAGCAGATGCGCGGCATGACGGCCGACAAAGCGGCACATTGCGCCGGTTCCAGTTATCTCATGCGTGTTGGATGGAAGCGAGTAAAAGACATCACTGCAAGCATGAAAGTATGTGCATTCTCAAAGTGTGAATCTCGAGAACGGCCGCGCGCCGTCAGAAGGCGCAACCAATCATTTTGGCTGGCGCTCCTGTGCCCCGCAAACTTTTGCTGCCGACTGTACATAACAAGGAGGGTTTGGGCTAGAGATGCGCATGGATAGGAGGACTAGATATGCTAGAATATAAATTTTAAACTGGAAAAAACACTTAATCATAGGGGCAGACGATCGAGAAAATTAGAGTTTAAAAAACCCAAAAAGGGTACCCTGGGAAACCCCAGGGTTTCTAGGAATCCCATTAAAGAAGTTACGTACTAGAGCACCAGAAAAGCAAAATAGAAAAACATTTGCAACACCCACAGCCACCTGCATCAATGGATGAATAACCACTGACCATGAGGCTCGAGGAACACAACAAAGATGCCTGCAATGAGTCATACTAACCTTTAATACTCTTTTTCACTCATTACAGTCATTCATGTATCACAAATACCCTCAACGTTAATTATAAAAAAAAAAAAAAAAGGTTCCCTTGCAAAAATAATTTCTGCCAATGAACTGACTGAGGTGTGGCTCCTTTTGGCTCCAAATTCCATCAAATACTATTCATAAAAGATGTGTACCATCCACTGCTTCTGACCAGTCTGACTGACACAGACAATTAAGGTGCCATTGAACTTAGACTGAGCCAAGAAACAGTGCCCCATAGCACTGAATACATTGGCAATAGTTCCCCGACATTAATGGCACTTTGAATGTATCTCCAACAGGCATTCTTAATTGCCCGTGCAATGAAAAGACCCTGAAAAGGCAACAAATTACATGAAAGGAAATGCCAAAAATATTGCTCAGATTGAAGTGATTGCAGATGGACAGGCATCAGCATTGGTGGGGTTGCAGTGCCCCAAACAATGACTGCCAGACCCCCTAAATCAGCTAGTTGAAGAGCAGGCTGCGGCTGAACAGGTAGACAGCTGTTCACCTCTTCAGCTGTAGACTGCCCGTTAACTGGAGTCACTAAAAATATCAGTGGTTCTGAGGACCAGCACAACTACCACAACAATTTGAAACAACTGTCAGTTAAGACGTCAGCAGACAGAAATTGAACAGAAAATATAAAGATGCAGCAAATACCAGATATTCATTCCAGGAACCAGTCATGTCTTTGAGATCTGATGTTGGAAATATATCATGTTAAACTGCCCCTTACCATGGCTGCCATTTTATTGACATATTGCAGGGCAAACTCAAACAGTTGAAATGGGTGTTGTCTGGGCTCCTAAAAACTTCTAAAAAAAAAGTTCTTTTTTGCATTGGCCACACTGAAAAGGCGTTCTTCAGCTACTTCTTGAGCTGAGGCAGTGTTTAAGGTCCACTTTAATGCAAATACGATCAGACTCTAGGACAGGGTACCAGTGAAGGTGCAGAGGAAGAAAAGGCTTACCACATCTTGAGGAATCTTGAAATGGATCAATGTGAGACAGCCATTCCTCAGCATCTGCAAAATGTGTGTCCTCACAGTCATGCTCATGATCATGAGAGACTTGAAATGCAGGAATCCCTCCAAGCACAGTAGGTATTCATCATGGGTACAATGATGCCGATACACTGCTGAAGCAAAAAAGCTTGGGCTGGCGAAAATTGCAAGAGTCAATATCTACACAATTTTGTAATATATTTTGTAATATTAAGATCCCTATCTAATCCTTAATTAAGAAATACAGGGGGAAACAGGCAGCACAACATGAATGCCGTTTGCTGTGCACCTAGGCACAGGTATGTGTGCCCAAAATTATCACAAACATGCTGAAAAATACTATTTCAAATTGCCCCTGACAAATATTTATAAAGTAAATTGTAGCTCTCAACTGTGGCTATGATAGCTAATCTTATATCATTCTAATTTGGCATCCTCACAAACTTGGATCACTGCAAACATCAAAGTACCATAAAGTACTACTAATAAAGCACCCACCCAAATTTTGGCAAATATCGAGCGAAACAAAAGTGCAGGTTCTTTTTTGGTCCGAACATCAAAAAAGAAACTACAGTACCAGACAAAGAAAATTACACCTAGGCTGTAATTTAGCCAAAACAACCTGTGGTGAGTATGGTAATTCCTCATGAACCCTAAGTTGATTATCCAACATCTTTTTCCTGCCATAAATTAAATTTTTATAGGTGCCACACATTTTTTTATTACTCATCTGAAGGAAATAAAAAAATTAGCCCATCAAAAATAGAAGCAAGTTTGTGTAAATGTGGACAATGCATTCAGTGATTATGCAACACATGTCAAGTGCATTAGTTTTCATTTGCCAGGAATGTGGTTAAGAAAGTCTAAAAAGAGAAAAACAAAAAGGGGCATGGCGTGGGTGTAGTATCATGACATGATAAATGAAGTCTTCCTTTTCGTTCAGAACTTATCAGGGTAAAGGTAAGAATATTCCAGTGATGAAAGCGGCATTTGACCTTTTGTAGCAGGTTCTGTAGCAGGCGAAATATTGGTTTGGAGCAGCCACTGACGCTTTTGGAGCAGACGCCAACATCTGTTAGCACATCACTTGAGAATGAAAAATTGATTGCATATTTATATGAGTTCATTTATGATACAGTCAAACCCGGATATATCGAATTCAAAGGAGATTGTAAAATAGTTCGATATATCTATAATTTGGTATACAAAAATATGTTAACTTAAGCTCCAGTTGAAATTGCTGCGCATCTCTGCTAATACTGAAGGTCGCGACAAACGAGACCTTCCCAAATAGAGCTTTTAAGAGCCGCTAAATACCGTAGAGCTTAGTTGGTGAAGATCACAGACACCGCCGCATTTACGCTACGGCGTTTGCGGTCGTTTACGTCGGGTCACGACCTCCACACAGCGCCAACAACAAAACACAAAAATAATTTTAAAAATAGAAAAACAAAAAAGAAAGTTTTATAAAAAAAAACTTTCGATTGATAGATTAAAGTTAAATAAGTAACAAAAAAGAAACCTCACCAAATTCAGGCAGCAAAAAAAGAAAAAATACGGGCAAAGCAAAAACAGCGAAAGAAAAAGGTAAACAAAGATAGGAATTAAAAACGTGATTGCTTAACCGCTGTGGTCAAGACACTCAACTTGACAAACTTTTTTTTTATTTTTTATTTTATTTTTTTTTGCGTGCCCTTTTTCTTAATTTTGCCATCCTCCACTTTTTTTTTTCCCCAACTGCTCTTTTGCTGGGTATTCCCGTGTGCGTATGCTGGCTTGGTGGTTTGCCAGCCCTGCGACGCCAGATATGTACTCGCCGCTGGCGTAATCCAATGCAATCCGACCACCGAAGAAGCGACCGCTGGTGCGAGCAGCCGTGCTTCCTTTGCTAGTTCGCTATATCGAGTGTCCCCGCCACGAGAGTTCGATACAGAAAAACAACGCTCCTATAGTATTACATGTGATTTTCAAGGTGATGTTTAGACTGTTCGATATAAACAATAATTCAAAATACCTGAGTGTGATATAAGCGGGGTCGACTGTAGTGATCAAGGGTTCCTCAATGATACTCGAGCATATTGCTTCAGTCTTCTTAAATAAGGCTCTAGTCAGAGTATGTTTCATTTACAATGGGTATCAAAATGGTTCAAAAGGGAATCATAGTACGACACTTTATTGGGATAAATCCTCGCTCCCCTCTCCGTTTTACACACAGTAGCTCGTTTAGCCCGTAAATATAATTTCTGTAAAATGACAGCAACAACCAACATATCCGCTAACACGTCTACAAATAAAAATGTGTCCCGTAACTTTAATGAACCTACCAAACTAAAGACTCTAATATCATTAACTGCAGAAACAACCATCCCAAATATTATAAAAGCCTACACTCGCACTTCAAAGGTAACACTGCTCTTTAGTGGTGTAGGAACCAGAGTTATGTCAAAGTTCGCAGCTCTTTCGATCGACAGCTGCACGGGAACTACCGTGACGACCGTATCTATTCAAATATATATAGACTCGCATTTCTTTCTCTCTCTTTCTCTGCTCTTTTTTTTAGTTAGAAATTAGTTCACAATTTTGACAAAGAAGGTTGACCCGTAATAATCCTGAGCATAATTTGTGTGCCTCTCAAGCTAAGCCAGTCACTCCCTAGGTCAGTGGCTACTCCTAGCACTCCGGTGCAAAGCAGTGAAGCTCGATGCGCGCCACGCTGGTGAGAGGCAAAGGTTGACGTAAGCGGTGCTATTGCCACGGTACTCTGCAGTCACGGAACGATTAATCGAGTGGTCTTATCAGGAGTACAAGACCTTGGCTCTGTTTTATCGCAGTAGCCGCAATCGGCAATGCCACTACTTTGCAAATTTTTCTCGGGACTCGTAGTTCCCGACATCGACGACATCGTCTGGAAATTTAGACGATGTCGGCGATCAATCAGCCAGCGCATCAACCGGCCAGAGCCGTTGATGCGCTGGCCGGTTGATGCACTGGTGCGAAATTCATGGCGTTCGTCATCTCCTTGTACATGTTCTTTAATCGGCTACACCAATCAAGTGCAGCGAATTTCCCGTGACTTGCGCCATTAATATGTTTGTATGTGTACGAGCCTTCGACTGTGCTCCGATCTAAGACAAAACAAACTACTACCTATATAGTGAGTGGAAGACGGTGTGAAATTCATATTTGGACAATTTTTCTTTCCTTCTACTCCTCCGAATACTAGGGTCGACCAATAATAAAATATTAATTTTTTTGCTTCAATCCCATCTTGGAGCAGGTGTGGCACAATTCTTAGCAAAAATGGCATTTTGGCGCAAGATGTAGCAGACTTTTGTTCACGGAACAATTTGGCGCAAATGGCGCAGCACTTCCATCACTGATATACTGGCCAATGACGCCTCTCTGCGCTTGATGTGCACTTTGTATGAAAAGTTTATGATAGGTGCGTCGTTGGTCGTGAGTCTTTCGTCAGTTCTTTGCAGTACTTCATGAATGGATGAGCCACTTCTTCTTAGGGACGTCGTGAACCTGCCAAAGGTTCAAGTCCAGCCATATTTACCCTTTTCAAACTTCTATTGCAAGGTATGACGCAAGTTTAACTAATTTTTCACTATTATGCGCTTGTGCGGCAATGGAAAGTAAGCCGACGCCACCTGGCAGAGGCTACAATACTTGTTAGGCATATTGTTTGATTGTATCACATCATTACACAAACTAAAGCCCATATGTTTGTTCTTATGCTGTGCACGCATTGGCTATCATGTTATGAAATAGAAAGTAACTACTTTAGGTTTTCACAAAATTCATAATTTTGGTGCAGAAGTGTGAGAACATTGTTCGTAAGTCTAACTTCTTCAAATTCTGCTCGAAGTTCAAACTGGTTTTGCCAAACCAGTTTGACAAAAGTTTGTGAGATGCCTATGACCCCGACTTTCTCTCTCTGCATTCCTCATGTGCTCCCTTAGAATATTTACGGCCCATTAATAAAAATTTTGACCGCATCTCCACGGGGTGAATGATGTTGATTGAGGCAAAGCTCTGGTGGTGCTGATGATACAGATTTTATTGTTCAAAGGTAGTGGTGATGGTGCTGATTTTTTTTAGTGCTCATAGGTAGTGCTGAGTTCCAGGTTGCATTTCGACTTCATTATTACTGCTTTATGGTCAGTGAAATGCAGAGCCAGTGGTTCTTCTAGCGGATCAGCTTGGATCCGCTAGAAGCCGCAGGAACGCACCTCCATCGCTAAGTCAACGGTCCATGTCAGAAAGAGAATGTGTGGTATGGAACGTGGTTATATACGCATTTGGGCATTTGACCGCAGCGCCCTCTCGTCTATGAACGTTGAGCCAATGCATGCAAAGTTTAACGCGATTATATACGCATTTGACCGCAGCGCCCTCTCCTGTATATACATTGAGCAGCTACATGCCACGTTTTATCCTTGACAGGAACCCTAGCTCTTGAGTTGCTACCACATCTCGGAGCCCCCTACTCGTCCCTCAGTCGCGGCCAAGTGGTTAAGGCGATGGACTTGAAATCCATTGGGGTCTCCCCGCACAGGTTCGAAACTTGTCGACTGTGCAAACATCTTTTCTTTTTATGTGAGCACGGACGCCGGACGGACGGACGGACGGACGGACGGACAAGGCTAGACCCTAAAGGCCCGTTCACACTCTTGCGACCGAGTACGACCGAGTACGACTGAGAGAGACGAGGATCTCTTAAAACTTCTTAAATATTTTTAGAATGAGGGAACACGCTGGTATTGTGGCGCCATCTATGCGGTGACCCTGGAACTGCATTTCACAAGAGCGAAGGTTTTGCGGGATTTCCGAGGTCAAATGTGCGTAATAACCATAGAAAGGCTCGTTTATAACATTGACAAAAGTTTTTCGAGCCAAGAAAGAAAGGATAATGCGCGAGAAATAAAACAAAATATGCCGGACCGCCGAGTTTACACTGCTTCCCAATAGATGGCGCCAGTGTGTTCTCTGGTTTAAGAAGTTTTAAGGAACCTAGGTTTAAGAGGTCGCAAGAGTGTGAACGGGCCTTAAGGAGCTTTGCCCCTAAAAGCTGTATGAAGCATAAAATAAATAGACATTCTGTTTTCTTTTTGTTTTGGTGGACTGGGTCATGTGTGCCCTCCACTCCGCCATCTTCCTTGGTCGATGGCCATATAATAAACAACAAAAATGACCGTTTTTTAATTCGCATTCTCTCAGAAGTTGGTTCTATGGTCCGTTGCAACTCAAGAACGAAGGGCGAGGGTAAGACAGGCCGGGGAGGAGGAAGCAGACGGAACGCTAAAGAGAGAAGGAGGTTTCCCCCTCTCTTCTCCAGTGTTTCGTCTGCTTCCTCCTCCCCGGCCTGTCTTACCCTCGCCCTTCGTTCTTGGGTAGCAACGGACTATAGTGTGATAAGCCAAGTGTCACATTAGGGGGAAAAAACAGTCTTAATTAACAAACAAAAAAAAGTTATTTTAAGCGTTGCATTTGCTCGGGGTACTTACAGTGGTGTCATTCTTGTGGCAACACATGGCATCCAAGAGGGCTTTGATGATCTTTCTAGAGGTAGAGGAGGAGCCGGATGAGAGAGGGAGGGCTCCGCACGTGTAGCGGAAGCTTACCGTCGGATGCCAATATTGAAGTGGCCTTTCTCCTCGCCTTTCACAATGTAGAAGAGTGACGCACTGGAACAGAAGAGCAGTTCCTGCCTTAGTACTGCAGTGTAGACCGCATATAATGTATGTCGCGGGAGTCGCGAAAATCCGCACTATAAGCGGTACCGCGCTATAACCAAAACATCAATTTTTCAGGCCAAAATATATGCCATCAGACAACTCACCTTTGTAAAAGAATTTATTTTATGTTAGATGAAAAATAAAGCTTAGTTTGAGGAAAGTCTTTATTTCACCAGACTGGTACACTTCTCTCTCAAGTGTGTCACACATTTTGAAAGAAATGAGTGACTTTTGCATGGCGCAGCCTTTTAACGGCGTCGCGGGTTGCGGACGGACGTTGCGAGCGTTCAGGATTGCTAACCCTAATCTCTTTTCTCCGGCGATGAAAACGCGTGAAAATTCGCATCCTTTATATGGTACGCGCCAGTAATACCTTCAACTTGAGCACAGGCATGAAATGCTCCAAATAAAAAATCCGGGCTATGTTCGAAAACACAAATGCTTAGAAAGCACCACTGTAGTCAAGTAAACAAACACAACGACACGGGCGTTTCTGCCGTCTTGAGAGTGCCGCCACAACATTGCCGCACTATTAGGTGGATCTTCCCTTCCAATACGTGCTGGGTTATCATAGCGACACACAACGAAAATTCAGTCAAGGATAGAGCTTTTACGCGAAACGATGAGCTTCCACCACGCTACGGTGGCTCCGTAACCACGCCGACGATCACAACCGAAGCCATGTTCGCGCATAGAAGCAGCCGGCCCGCGACCGGCATGCAACGCGCGCGAACAGTTCTCCTCGACCTGCGATTGGTCTGTCGTTGCGGTTGTTTGTTTCCAATGCAGCGGAGGGACGCACGCACGTGACCGACACGTGCGTGCGTCCCTCCGTCGCTATGGCAATTGAAGCCTCTACGCTTCTCCCCGCTCCTTCGAGCAACCTCCTTGCCCCGCGAGTGCCGCTTGCCAACTTGCGGCTCGCGCCATTATATGTCGTCGCACAGGGAAGCGCGCTCGCTGCGCCGGTCAGTTGGCGCGCTGTTCCAAAAACCGCACTATAACCGGTATTTCCCTTTGCGCGCCTGCATTTTAAGCGGTATGTAAATACATGGAGTTCTATGAGAGGCGAACCGGTGGTTTAAAAAAGCCGCGTTATACCCGGTCCTGCACTATAAGCGGTTACATTATAAGTGGTCTATACCGTACTGTGCTGCTGCTCACAAGTGCATGTCACACATTAGCTTTCCCCAAACTAATTAGATGACAGCAGGATTTAAAACGCATAGTAAAACACCAAGAGACACCTACTAAACAAATTATGGCGAAAATCAGGTAAAGTGAAAATCCTGGGCACTTGATTCATCCAGATCAGTGGCCTGGCGAGGAATTCTTAGAGGGGGTAAGGTTGGCTACAGAGCTGGGCGTGAAGGGTAGTGGGAAGAGGGATCATCCCAGGGAAACCCCCATCTGCCAACGCTGCTCGTACAAATGGCAAAGACATTTACTGTGGCAAAAAAAAAAAAAAAAAAAACTTTTAATGGAAGTTCAAATACTTCTTAGGCCTATTCGATGCAAAGAAAACAACATGAACTACAGTTTTGAAAGCAACCCCACGTGACTCAGTAGCAAATTATCCAGAAATGTTTTTTATGCCACAAATTGCACCTCAATAGGCGTCACCTGTTTCACGGTCACTGATATCGAAAGCAAGAAAGTTAATGAAAACAATGCTGCTCCAAAAACTAAAACAAACCTCAGACAAATTCTCAAATGAAAAGAAAGTCCTGAATAACAGAATAAAAAAAAGCATCTTTTAACCTTGGAAAACATGCTCAGCAGCTGCACAATGCACATCGAGGTTGGTTTCCTCTTTCGTTAAAGGGCTGTTTCAAAGATCATGCAAAAAAGAGGAGGGGCACGAATGGAGTTGGATAAAATGATGGGCTCGTGGAACGAAAGGGAAACGAGTTTCTCGTTTCTTTGTTTAAACACTGAATGCGTTATATGGCTGGCCCCCGGCAATTTCAACTTTCCCATTCCTGTTACGGAAGACCTTTACACGAACGCCGTGTCAGCGTTCAGCTAGACCTCATGTTACCGACTAAACACGAGTTTCATCTGAATTCCGACACAATGCTGGTGTCAAATATGTGCCCAATGCTGGCCTCTGGTAGGTGACTGAAACCGGCAAGTGCCGTGGCCGCCGCGCTTGCACACATCCCTCAGGCGTCGGGTTTCGCCATTGCACCAGTAGCGTTCCTCTCGCTGTCTACCAAGCTGACGAGACTTCGGCCGACGATGATATGTCCGGAAGTTCTGACGATGATTAAGTTTTTGGCATCGCCCTATGATTTAGCTGAGAGTGCTGTAAATAAAGATTTGGTTATTTTTCCCGAACTTTCCACTGTTCCCCCCCCCCCCCCCAAAAAAGGTTGACCTATATTTTAATTGTTTTCTTTTTATTCTCGGTGGGTTCAATACATAGGGGTCAACCTATTTTCATGGTCGACCTATTTTCGGGGAAGTACGGTAGTCCTAGGCCATGGGCTGTGCTACGCTGCCGTTTTGCAATGTCGTCATCGGGCGTGAAGTTGACAACGATGGCTTCTAAACGAGACTTTGTGTAATAATTGCTAGTGCTAGAAAAGCCCGTTTTAAAGCTGGGAGCATGGGCTAGCTCGCAGTTGTCACCTTCGCTACCCTGTCGGGTGAAATATTCCAGGGATCAAGTCACAGCAAAATTCACAGGGTCTCTTATGTTATCCCTAAGATGACTTGAAGCCGAAAGCCCAAGCGCCAATGTATTAAAGACAGACACATGGTTTACTTAATTCACTTTGATTCCTCTTAATTCGCTTTATAGTTTTTCTTAATTTCCTTGCCTCTAATTTGCCCGAGCGGTCACAAAAAAACATGATGGCGAACCTCAGAAGACAGCGTGCTCTCTGATGACATACTTTGGGCGCAGTTTCATTGGCTCACTCGGATCGTGGCGTTGGCTGTGGTCCCGGTGATAGCGAACCTCCAGACAGTGCGCTCCCTGACGACGAAATTTCGGCACTGTTTCATTGGTACCTTTTGCTTTGGTACCTTTCGTGTTACCGACGTGTTTTATGAAGGGCGACTGAACAATGAGACATATAAGGCTTTCGCCTTAATAACTATTGTGGACTGCATCAGCTAGGAAGAGGCACAAATGCCAGTGGAGTCCGGGCATGACTCACCACCCTGTTCGAACCAAATAGCACTGCATCGTTCAAGTTATGCGCTTCACTTAACGCTCAATTCATATACAAAACCAAATGACCATTGCTTTCAAAGAAAATGAGCAGATAAATGCGAGTGTTTTTGGCTGATAAAAGGTGGCAATTCTGAGCATCCCCAAGTCTACCAGGCACTGACTGCAGCACACTTGATATCGACCTCCACTAGTTAAAACTTTGTCTCATAGTACTATTTTAGTATCCCTGCCATGTTTTAATTAACGAGCTTTTACTGTACGAATATTTCTAAAAAAATATGACGTTGCTAAAAGGAGCCTTTACCCTATCGACAATCATGCGGCGTTCATTCTATAACTTGATTTTCCTTGTTCGGCGTGGGATTTTCAGGTTTTCTGTCATGCTGCCTTCCCGGCCAAAGGCAGAGGCATCTCCTGTCGCAGACGATGCCAGAGAGAGGGCGAGAGACGCACCTGCCGGCAATCTGGATGTGCTTGTGCGGCAGGTGCCTGGCCATGGCGGCCATGACCACGTCCAGGGCCAGCCTGGGCTGGCTGCACGCCTCGTAGCGGAACACGTGGAACAGGTCGTTGAGCACCTTCTGGAGCAGCTCCGGCCGGTCCCGGTACACCTGGGCCGCCACCAGCACTTGCTCCTCGCTGGCATCTCCGGCAACCTGCGGAAAAGAGGAGGACGTTGGCACCCGAGTCTGCGCTCCAGAACCAGCCCTGCGCCCCAGGATAACGAGGCCGTAGTGCTAGATCTCAAACCTCACCATGACGAGGTGGGTATTCGTATGGTGCCTGCAATGCATCTCAGACCGGCGTTTTTACTGCGCCCTAAAAAGTGGTCCCTCGATTTCCGCCCGATGACGTCGCAGAAGTGTCCCGTCGTCGCCGGCCGAGATCGTGGCGGTGTCGTGACAGCGGTGACGAATGTGGCAGACCCCCGTTTTGCTGCAGGTCGCTATCCAGCTTGACAGTACATGGAAGCTTCAGCAGCCAGGAGTTTGGACTCCGCAACGACAGCGACACTCGCAACCGCTCGTACGTTTTGCCGGGCTTCTACAGCCAACCGCCGGGAAGGAAACGTCCAATAGCGTGACATTCCGGCTTTTGCGACGTCGTTTGTTGCCAATTCGGGGCAACTTTTGGTGGATGGGTGGAACAGGAGGCTATACTCACCACTTGGGGACGCGTTTGGGACGCCGTAGTATGAATGAAAAAGAAAACCGCGAGGTGAAGAGAAGAAGCCGTTGCTGTAGCGGCAAGTCACGGATGAGCGTAGAAAAATACCGTCCAGTCTGCAAGTCTCGAAGATGAAGTGAAGTGCAAGAACGACAGGACGGAACATTGCCGCCGACAAGCGGCGCGAGAATGAGAATACGCCAAGTGAGATGAATCTTTCATTAATTGGACTTTATCGCGCCGTGCCAGACCTCCCAAATGTCACGCAGATGGCTTTTATTAGCAATTATCCTTTTTCCTAATTACAACATTGCTCAAGAAATTCTGCGTCCGCCCTTTTATTTCGCGTCATCACAGTCAGTACCGAAAGCCAGCGTGGGGCAGAGATTGAACAAGAGTACTATGTCAGCGTTTGGCTGGTAGCCATGTCCAGTTGGCGAGAACACGATTTCCGGCCGAAGGCTAACACAGCACTCATGCGGTGCTTTAGTGTTGCATGCCTTTAAGTGTGTCTTTAATGATGATGATTGAAAATAGCCAGGTCCGAGGTGATGGAGAAGGAGCACCGTTGAGAACACCACTCCAGCGGTTCACGCATGGCACCTGGAACATGCCTTCGACCGGTGTGTTTAGCGTTCCACACTGCTTGTACATCACAAGCGGTCCAGAAGCGGCAGGAAAGGATGTCACAGAAGCCAAATGTCGCAATTCTAGCGGTTGGTGTTAGAAATCCAGGCAAAAAGTATGAGCAAATCCAAGCGTAACTTTCATTGCGGCATCCCAACTCCTGGCTGCTAAAGCTTCCGTGGACAGTCAAGCTGGGGAGCAACCTGCGGCCAAAAAGGCGTCTGCCACATCTACCGCCGCTGCTGTGACCCCACCAGGATCGTCGGGAACCACGTGACACTTTTAGGATGTCGTCACGTGGAAATCGAGAGACCTCCATTTAGGACGCGGTAAAAAAAAAAGTTGGAGACTCGTTCCAGGGTTTGGGGAATGTGTTCCCAGTCGTCACTGTGAGCAGCCCCTGCCAGCGTCTCACCCTGGTTGCCGGGATGTGGTGCCTGTAGCAGGCCTCGTGGGCCGTGTTGAGCAGTCCCAAGAAGTCCAGGGGCCTGCCCACCCGCGGCTGGAGGCCCGGGATGTCCGTCAGCTGGGAGCCCTCCTGGCCCACAGGCGTCGCCCTGTCCACGTGCGTTGCATTGCAGAGTCACTCTGGGGACTCTCTGAACGACTCTAGAACAACTCTCAAAACAACTCTACGGTGACTCTCAATGCAACTCTGGAGTGACTGTCGGAGTAACTATAGTCACTTCGAACTCTGGAGTGACTACGGAGTGACTATTGCAGTGACTCTAGAGTGGCCCTCGGAGTGAGACTGAGAAGGGACTCCGCCATGACTCTCAAAGCAACTCTGAACTCTCGGAATGACCGAAAATTTATAAGGTATGTGAGTAAATACCTGCACAATCTTCAATAAGTCACCTATGAAAGGACAACACCACTTAGAAAACTAAGCCAGCAATTCTGTCGATGTAAGAGGGTCCCCAACCTGCGGCAAGCACGCCGAAGCCGAGTGAGAGTACTACACGGCACAACGGTAGATGCCTGCATGTTGGCACTAACTAAGTGCACTAACTCATCGGGGACGTTCTAGCAACGCCGACGTGAGCCAGAAGGCACTGTAAAGTTTCACTAGTGATGGCTTTTAAAGAGATAGAGAGATAAATAACTTTTATCACTCGGTCCGCATCATCGTCCGTCGTGTGTTGTCGGCATCGGGAAAATGCCAGCAATAGGGTCGGCGGCCTGGTCCCTCGAATGTAAAGGATGTGGGACGCTAGTAGGAGCCAGAGTGTAGGTTGTGCATCCTGGCCTGGGTGGCCCAGCTCTCCCAGCTAACGGGCATGAAGGGGTGAGGAGGGAAGAGGTCATGTGGTATGGGGATGACTGTGTGTTGGGACAGGTCCAATAGGTGTGGACAACATTGGCATAGCCCCGCACACCTGAAAGGGTAGGTAGCCGCGACGTCGTTCAACACGGACGGTGTCGTTGGGAAGGGTGAGCGTTTGGGTCTGTCTGATGAGGGAAGGGCCCGACGAGAGGAGGGTGCGTGCATATTGGAGTAAGTCACTCAGGTGCATGCGTCGCTGTTTTCAGTGCTCTACACGGTGCGTCTTAACGCAATGGGTGTTCGGCCACGATGGGGGGGGGGGGGGGGGGGGCGCTCGGTGTACATGCTTCACGAACAAGGGTATGAGCTTGCTCATTACCCAAGATTCCCTCGTGACCACACACCCACTCCAGTAGGACATATGGGGTGGGTTGAGTGTGCACTCGAGAAGCTAACGTGCCATAAATATGGGGTGGGAGGGCATTCTGCGCGAAAGCCCAAACGGCATTTCGGCTATTGCCTCGAACAGTTACGATTTGGGAGGTGTGGGAGGGGAGGCGAAAGGCTTCAGTTATGCCGAGGATTTCAGAGTCGGTGGGGGATGGAACTGTTGTGTGATGACGCACAATGTTATCAAAAAGCCCGACAATCGCCCCGGTGGTTCCGACCGGGGTATGAACAGTGTCCACATGGTACATGTCATGCGGGGGAGTGGCAAGGTAGTTGGCTCCGGTTTGGCAGCGTCTCTGGTGGGCTTTCGGATCCATATTTAGGGGCGCGGGCAGGATAGTGAGTCCAGAGATGGCATTCCACGGCAGATGGGTGGGAGGCAGAGTAAGGAGGCTCTGGACATCTTAGGCCAGAGCATGGACAACGTTGCAGCCTCGACGAGAGGCACCGAGGCAATGTTGTCGGGCCTCCCAATGTGCTTGCAGTTTTTCCTCGAGGGTGTTGCATGAGGCAGCCGCTTGGACAAGAATGCTCCGTGCATACCAGGGTACTCCCATTTCAATGCAATGGCATCTACAAAGCGCAGCTTCGAAGCAGCGGTTATGGCTGTTGGTGAGGGCGACAAACGGGGAAGCCATACGTAATGCACGAGCTGATGGTTGCCTCCGCGATCTTGACCGGTCCATGTTCGCGAAGACCCGAAAGTCTTACTGACACGGGTCATCGTGTGGGTGATCTGCCCAACCTGGGTTAGGTTGCGTCCCAACCGGTCAATGTCCTCTCCGTCTCATCGCCACATAAACCCGAGGATGCGTATGGCTTTGCGGCAGGGAATGAGCCTGTCTGCCATGTTCGATTGAATGAGGGCACGGGGGGCTTCAGCTTCGTTCAAGTGGGAGTTAAAGATGGTGACGCCCTCCGACTTTTCAAGAGAGCGAGTGTAGGAGTCGATTATCTTTAGGCCAGCCTGAAAGGTGGATTCTCGTTCGCCCACGAAAGAATCCACCCTTCAGAAGACAGGTCCCATGCCTCTTCTCCACCGAGGAAAAAAGGTATGGGAGTTGTCTTCTAGGTCGCACTGCCTGCAAATAAAGGTCAAGCCAGAGACTTTCAAGTGACTCTCCAGGAGTTCCTGGACTGACTCGTTGCGCACCTCCAGGGCCCTCAATTAGGAACCTCGAGTGGTCCCTTGTTCCTGGTGTAACCCTTAGTTGAGCCACTATGGTTGTCAGCGGCAATATAAAGAGAGGAAAGAAAACTTAGGAGGGAGAAGAATCAGCTGGAAAAGGTAAGGAGGTTCTGGAACATCTTTTTCACAGGTTGAACCAGATTGAGTGTTCAGGAAAGTGTCAAGCTCTTCGTTGCAATGCAGCAAGCACACTGAGTGACGCGAATGTGCACGTGGCAAAAGCGGAGTGTCACCCACCCGGCCAGGACCCCTGTGCCAGCCAGGTTGGTGCCTGAGATGTCCAGGGAGGCCAGCAGGGGCAGGCTCGAGACCACGGCCAGCAGCCACTCGCTCGGCTGCGGGTACTCGCCCTGCTTTTCACGCGACTGCGATACGTCCAGGTGCCTGCAGAACCGGAGGAAGCGACCCGCTACAGTTCTACCGCAGATTGTGCTATAGGGCTGGGGCTCATGAAAAAAGCGACACATTATACTCGAGCATTACGCTCGACTGAGACACAGATCACATTAACAATATAGCCCCGTAGGGAATATATTAGGGATGGGCGAATATTCGGTTATTACGAATAGCCAATCGAATTCTGTTCTATTCGGCACGTGACGTCGTATGTCAACTCCGTGACATACGACGTCACGGAGTTGTGTGACCTCATGACGCCACGCGTTGCCACACAGACAGACGTGCCTATAGCTCATTTGCAACGCATTCTGCGCATCAAGTTTGAGAGATATGATCGAGACAAGTTGAACTATTTTTCTTTCCAGGCCCGTCAGTGCCGACCATCTCGCCAACACATCAGAAAACTACGGCAAAGTCAGCTAATGAAAACAGAATGTCTATCAATAGAAAGCGTGCATCACTGAGCTTCACACTGAAATTGTCCTCAGTGAGAGTGGGTTACTGTAAAATAATGAGCAAGCACTCGGCCCGAAAGTGAAGATACAGTCGCCGACCGATTATTCGGACTTCGCTGGGACCGAAAGAACGTCCGAATAATAGAGCAGTCCGAAAAATCAACAGACTGAAAAACTTGCCTTTATTACTTCCAAGTGGGCTTAAAAAAGATGTAAATAGTGCCTTGGTTCAGGTTACGCCTGCATGCCTTGTTTTAGGTTACGCCTCCGTCTCCGTTCAACAGCTTTCTATTAGCTTGAGAATCGCTGCCTTCTTTTCTAGCGTTATGGTCGAGTAGCAGAAGAACAAACAGATGGGGCCATGACGTCCAAGCCAGCGTTGTCCGAACGAGATCAGAGGCGCAAATCCACGAGCGCAAAATGGCAACTGGAGATGCGAAGGAACGAAAAACAAAGCAAAATGATATTAATGACGATGATGATGACGTGCAGCTAAATGGGAAAAAAAGGGCTAGCATAGCGTCACCTAGCGGTAGGACTCAGGAGTGCTCAAGTAGCGCTGCCATACCAAGCCAATCCATTAGCAGCCAACATAGAATTCAAAATGGCCGCTTCTCGATGTTGTTTTCCGCTGATCGCTCGCGACGATTTTGTCCGAATTATCGAACTTTCGGACTTCAAGTTGTCCGAAACATTGGTCGTGAATATACACTATTTCTATGGCGTAAGTCACGGTTCCGCCTTTAGGTCCGAAATATAGAACGAGTCCGAATTATCGGAGTCCAAAAGAACGGTTCGCGGCAGTAATCGCAAAAACTGGGGGGTTTGGCAACCGAGTGTATCAAACGCACTGCAGCTCTGGGCCTGTGAAGCGAAAGCTCGTGCTGCAGACCCCAGAGATTCTTGGCGCAATCCGCACCCCCGCCCGTTAACGATCTGGACGAGCACCATACAGGTGTGCGTTCGTGCACCACTACTGCGTGATGCACTCCAAAGGGGCCGTGCAACAATTTGTGGACTTCGGTTCAATAATTGTGGGAGTTGCTCCCCAACGCTTTTGGAGTAAAGAACTGAAAACCAATTTTGCCTGCGTCCGTTAGTTCTTTTTTATAAAAACAATTCTCGAACAATTGAAGTTTTGGGTGCCTCCCGATCACTTTTGGCTCTTAGGCCTGCAACTTTTTCGGCAATTTCAGTGTTGCTGGATAAGTTGCTCCCCGGCTTTCCCTTCAACCTCGTGCTGCATAATGAATTGCTAGAATCACGTCTGGCTCGGAACAAACAAGCAACTAGGACCGCTTAGAGACTTGGAAGTGGTGGCAGCCAATCGAGGACGCTATATTTTCCCATGACACCCCCGTGGTGGTGATGATGACAACTAAAGACTTGGGTTTGGTTTGAAATGGTTCAATTTTTAAAATAAGTCATTTCAGAAAGATGAGTTAGTACTTTCAACACCGTTCAAAGATATAAAGAGACATTTACAGTGAGTAGCAGTGTGTCTAAATAGTGCAAGAAAATTAGGATTGAATGATGATACAAATAAATCATAGCAATTCAGTTGCTGCGTGCGAACGCGGGGGCCCGTGTTGCTGGTGTTGCAACGACAAGTTGCTGGGAGAAATTTCTCTGTATGGAGCGAGCCTTACACCGCCTTCCGAGTCACTTGCACAGTGACACGTAGCAAGGTGCACTGGGGACACAGAATATCCGGCTGGGTTCTGTTTCAGAGCCTCCAGCGTATTCTGCCTCTGCTTGCGATTCACATAATGAGCTTGAAGGTTGGTCTGAGTGATGTAGTGAGGGGAAAAGGGCGGGGACGGGGGGGGGGGGAGAGAACCGAAGAGTGCTTGTCTTGTCATAAGGAAGTCGAACTGACGTTGCAGCGACGCGGCAAAACTCGAGAGAGGAATGGTTTTGTTCACCTCGGGCAGATGGCGCCACTAAAACTGAATACAGTACAACTTTGCCGATGATATGAGGCTTTTTACGCATTTACTCGTGTTGAAATGACAATATTCAAATTTAGCAGATAATGGCACATCTTGCCAACTTATTACGATGCACCCAGGTTGCCTTCGCTTCTTAGTTCCCTTGCGGCTGCAAATCGCGAAATATTCCTGCTCTTTAAAAAGAACGAGGTGGTTTCACAATTCCTTTTGGTAAGATAAACAATAAAAAAATTTAAAATGCAAATTCTTTCATAGTTAATATTCTTGCATCGCCCCCCTAAAAGCACCCGGCTAGCAGTGGTACCGCACTGGCGAAATTTCTTGTTTATGGCAGAGACACCGGACGCCATGCCGGGGATGATCAACTTCCTACAGTCTAAATGTATATGCAATGCAATGTTGTTGGGTGCAAGAGCAAAAATGCAGAAGGCGTATATGATGAGGTGGGCTTCACCACTTCGCGCCGGCTCAAGCTCCACCGGTTTTCATTGGGCACGGCACGCGTTTTCGCTAAGCACTGGCGTGCTCAGACGAGCAGCTGACAAGGCAGAGCATCTCGGTCGGCTAGGTGGGTGCAGAAGGCTGCAGTGAGCACTTGGTATGTCCTTTGTTTATTTCTAAAACATTTCAAAAGTAGTAGCAGGTGGGTGCTTTTATGACACGGGCACATGCTCAATATATTACGGTATTATGCAAACATTCTAAAAACTATCAACGTAAGCTCGGGGAATTCACAATTTGTGAAAACTAAGGTACGGTAATTTCAATGTGCTGCCTGAAGTGAACACGTCTTTTTCTTTCTTTGCATCGTTCCTTTACCATATAACATTGTGCCACGTGGCAATTGGCTTGAAGTAGTCACAGGTGCTGGGCAATAAAACGTGCAACCGCTCCTTTGTGGCATAGCACGGCTTCACATGTCCCTCTTTTCCAGGGAAACGGCAGGATGCACTCGGATTGGTTTGTCCCCCCATTCCATACTCTATTTTTCTTTCAAATTGACCGGAGAGGGCTTTACGAGCCAGGGCTGAAAACGCACACCTTCTTATTTGGTCATAGTGCGAACGGAACCACATGCAAATAGGCCCCAATACAAAACACTGTTTTGGATGTTTTAAGAAGGTTCAAACGAGAAGGTCCGAATGAGATGGGGTAAAATGAGAAAGGGAGAAATGCGAATGGGACGACCCTTCTTTTCACTCTTCTTACGCTTCCTTCCCACGATGTACATGTCTCCCGTAGACTCACCAACATCGCCATTTTGATTGCAAAGCGCACCACAGTCCACAGAAAGGACAGAGCGAGACAGGGGTGGCTCACCTGAGCCTGGTGAGTCGGCAGAGGGCTTCCCTGGCCAAGTGTAGCCGGGGCACGTCGAAGAGAACCAGCGAGGCCAGGGACGGGGCCAGGCCGGACAGGCAGGACAGGTTCCCCAAGTCCCCGCAGTGGGACAGGTCCAGCTGGCTCAGGTGGGGCAGGACGCTCAGCAGGGGCCCCAGCTGGCCACTGCCCAGCTGGGGACTGCCCAGGCTCAGGCGCTCCAGCCAGCTCAGGGACGCCAGAGGGGACAGGTCGGGGCCCTCGGGGCTGCCGGGGAGCACGTCACATTGCGTTGCAGCAACATTATGCCTTGCAACAACATTAAGGCTGGTTCACGGTTTTGCGGTCGAGTCTGTTCTAGAGCGCGGCGCTTGCCCGTAACCACCTACGACGAGAAAACACACTGGCACAATCTGTCGGGTAGTCCCGAAGCATTTGCGATCCGCGTATGACTACACTGAAGGTTTTGCAGCATTTGCTGAGATGCAATCCGTGCACAATCTATGATATGATCGCTTATAACATTGTGAGAATTATTCAAAGCTCATAGTGAAGGAATTATACATAAAGAAATTATAAAAATATATATGTTTGTCATTAGTGTTCCAGACCGAACCAACAAACAGTGCTAGCATGCTTTGTCATTGTAAGTGGTCGCAAACCATCTTAACGCCAGTGATTGCGCTCAAATGCAAGCGTGTGAATTGGCCTTTAAACTGTGTTGCAACTATTGCACACTGTGTTGCAACAACATTACACAACGTTACTGCGCATCACGTTTTCTAAGCAGATGCAGATACGTTCGGGCACAGTAGTGTGAGCGTTCCGCGACATGCAGCTTATTCGAAGGCAACTCTGATTATCTTACAATGCAATTCTCTCGAGTATCGCCTACATAGACCACACTTCAAATATTTCATTCTAATTCACCTTAGAAGTGGATGAAACTGGCAAACAAAGCTTGAGGTACGCGAAATTACCAAAATCTGCTAATCCTAGCGGGCAAGCCACGGCAAAGCCAACAGCGCAGTCGCTGCCACCGTGTTGGCACAGCCCACCCTCCGCTACCTACATCATGCTAAGGGTTCTTGGGAGATTTGTTTGCATGTTTTGTACTTTTTTAAACAAAGCCTACAGGCAGTTCTAACAGCGCACCCATCATTGACCACGTGATTCGCGGAAAGCGCATGTGCCTGTCTGCTCCCGTGTGCGCATGAGCCATCGCCGGCAGCGTCCATCGCATACAAGAGAGCCTGTTTGTGACGTTGAGCACAGCATACTTCTACGAACCCGTTGCGACATATTTACGTGTGGTTTACTGAACTTCACTTTCTACTCATGTTTTCAAAACAAGCCCTCGGAAAAACTTTCCTTTTTCTGAGCTAAAACACAAGCTGCAGCCGCAGAACTGAAAGTGTCGTCGAGCGTAGCACACTGCGATCGTAGCAGACGACACTTGTGCCCTTGCACCAGATTGCACCTGCCCGCGTGCCTGGTACGTGACATCACAATTTTTGGGCAATATTGCCTGCCGCAGGCATAGTTTCGGTTTCGGTTTGTGGTGAGCTTTAAACGAGATACTTAGACAAAATTTGAAATGCACCCGTCGTGTTCAAAAATGGGTTGAATATGATCCACAATATCCGTAAATGACAATCATACGTTTGTATTTGGAGCCTGGTGGCTGTATTTTTCGTTATGAACGGCCCACTCTGTCAAACGCTCGGAGAGCAGCCAGCAGAAAGCACGTGACATCCGACGCAATCGTGATGTAGTTCGTCTCGGGACGAGCAAAGCTGCGGCGAGGCTGACGTTGAGAGGATGGCCTAGTCGCTCCAGCCACCGAAGCGGTTGCTTTTGTATGAATTTTAAGTGACGGGTTAATCTTCTATAACTTTGTAGAGGGACAATAGCGACTTCTGGAATACATAAAAAAGATTCTCGGGGAGAGGGGAGTTCCTCCTTCAGCTCTTCTCTCGTCGTGGCCAGAGGCGAGACAGTTATCGTCACTACCTGTCAAGGTTCCTAGACAAGCATCCCAAACGAGGCATTAGCGACACCCACCAGGTGCTATTTATTTTATTTATTTATTTATTTGATACTCACAGCGCCTTTCGGCATTACAGTGGGGGGGTTATACACAAAAAATCAAGTATGAAGTCACAGGTACTACATTGGAAACACTCATAAAAAGACAACCAATCGAACAAAAAGGATTTCGCGATCATGAAACAACAAAGTCACAACTATCGCGACACACGGAGCAGATTGCAACAAGTTTTACAAAAACATTATTAGAATCATGCTATGAACCTTTTCAATCGAATGACGTGACTGTTTCTAGGGCAGCATAAAAAGCATCATTGTCTATAACAGACGCTATGGTTGAAGGCAACCGATTCCATTGGGAAATCGTTTTAGGGAAAAAAGAGCTACTGTATGCTACAGTCTTGCATCTAAGCTCACGCACTTTGTGGGCTAATCGTTTAATTCATTCTCTGCTAATCGTTTAATTCATTTTAAAATTCCTTTTTGTGTCTTTTTTAACAAGATATTGGTGTGTCCGATGTGATACTGCTTTTCAGGGCACGCATAGACCATAAATTAAGCGCCAAAATTTTTTTTGTAGTCGCCCCTTAAATTAAGATTACGCAAAAAATATATTTTTTTTTTAAAGAAACGATGTATAGAACCTTTTATTACTACCTCGGGATATATACTAATGAACCATTACCTGAAATTTTGGAGAATTGACTAGAGTAGCCCCTTAGCCCCTTGCCAATAAGTTCTTTTTTTTTTTCAAGGAACGTACAGCGAAATTTTATATTGAAGATGCAATATGGATAAGAATAAGACAACAACATTTGCTTTCTTTAGGTGTGGTATCTTGGTCTAAGTCAGGACTTCCGCTCTTCTGATTCTCTTCAGTAGTTCCTTACAGTTTCACTGACATGCAGACGCCAAAGTTGATGGAATGCTCGCACGATTCGCATCATTCTCATTATTGTCCATCGAACTATCATACGATTCGAAAAAATCAAACAAGCTGCAGGATACATTGTCAGATATGCCCGAGCGTTAATCACTTCAAAAAGAAAGTATTATATCTCTTCGGTGGCTAAGGCGGACCTCCGTGCCAAAGCCACAATGCTTTGGCGCAACGCTTACAAGCACACACTTTTTTTTTTTTTCTCGGCTGTTTTTTTGTTAAACAGCGAAACGAATGAGCCAACAACCAAAGGTAAATGTAGCAACAGGGGTGATTCTCCCATCTCCCGGGGGGCGCTCTAAACAAGCACTGAAAGTGAAAAACAAGCGACACTCGTGGTCGGACTTTACGGTCCGTGAGGGAAAGCACGAGCGACGCTCGTTACTAATAGGCAAAAGGTTAAAGCGGCCCAATATAATGCTTTATGTCATGGGCGCCTGGACATGGGTGCAAAGGGGCAGAATCCCAACTTCTCCCCATCGGGATTCTGGGGATACTGACGAGGAGACGTTTGGGTGGCGTACTCTTATGTCGCGGTCACAGTGGTAGCACGTCATTCGAAAGATTGTCTGCAGACGCTGTACGAGGCGTGTTTCTTTCTTAAAAGATGGTCCTGTCGCACTATCCATAAAAAGAATTGTGTGCAGACATGAGGAAAACACACGTAAATGTAGGAAAGAAACATGCTTCGAAAATGCTCGAGGCATGTCCGCACATGCTCGCCATCGTGTCTGCAGCGAATACCGTGTTTGTTTCTTTTTGCGACATACGAGCGGTGTGATTGTGGCTTCATAATTCTCGCCCGTGATGGTGTGACTAGGATTATCAAAAGTGAACAACAAGCTCCATGGTATGTATATTAAGCACGGTGGATCGTATTCACGAAACCAACGCCATCAAAGTTGACAGTGCAAATTACTCTTATTTCCGTTGCTAAAAGCAGAATATGACGAAAGGACTCTAAATCGTCTAAAACAAATTGCATACTCCCCCCCACCACATAAGAAATAGGATTTGCAGCCGTTAAAAAAAAAAGTTATACAGACGCCCATGGTATTTTCCTGAACACAGTTGAGGGACAGTCGAGGAACAATCGAGGGATAATCGGGAGACAACCGAGGGACAGTTAAGGGACAATAAGTTACAGCTGGGGCACAAGAGGACAAGGGACCAGGACCTTGCTGCTAACCATGATTGATCGGCAACACACGTGACACGATTGTAAATGCTATAGAGGTTGCGGCGTTTGCTTCGGAACGTCCCGGCCGATCGAGCGTGGCAATCCGGAGGAGCGGTTAAGGAACGGCCGAGACCCCCACCTCTCGCCCTCCAGCACGTCCCCGGGAAGGGACAGGCAGCGTAGCGTCGGGCCCAACCGGGACAGCAGGGGCAGAACCCCCGGCGTCAGGCCCGAGCAGTGGGCCATCTCGAGCTGGCGCAGCGGCTGCTCCGCCACCAATGCCAGCTCCGCGTCCGACGGGCACCGCCCGGCGAGGTCCAGCCTCTCCAGCCGCACCGTCCGGAGCAGCGCCCCCAGCGGCGCCTGGCAGGAGCTGGCCAGGCATTCCCCGAGAGCGGTGGGCAGCCCCAGGGGCAGCGAGGCCAGTAGGCGCGGCTCCGCCAGGACCCTGCGCGCGCAGAGCTCCACCAGGGAGTCCGCGCCGTGGGGCTCCCAGACGGTGGGAAACCCGGGTAGCCGGGCACCACTCATCTTCGATTAAGGCTGCATGGGCGAAACCTGCATTGCCAACGTTTGCATACCAGTAGGTATGTGTGAACCCCCGCTTGCAAGCTGAAAATTGTTCCGGGTGTATGTGTGTGTAATAAAGCAGAAAGTTGGGCTAGTTGGTTTTGGTTATACATAATGACAAATACACAGCGCAAAAGGACAAAAAGGGAAGAGACACACCGGATAGAACAGAGCGCTGACTCGCAACTAGATATTTTAATAGAATAAAAAAAGAAAGAAGAATATTTTTGGTCACCATAATTCGCACGTGTAACCTGTGCCATGATATGTGGTCGCTATGGCACGTGCTGGGCCTTCATAGTCAGTTTCATGAGCTCCAACTCTTTGTTGGACAACGAGACAGATGGTGTGCTGATGCAACTTGCTCCTCCACTGTGGATGTAAAAAGCTTTTTACATCCACAGTGGAGGAGCAAGTTGCATCAGCATCAGCATCAGCAAGTTGTATCAAATAAAAACTGGTCACCGACTTAATGAGAATGGCAAGGCCTCTTTCTGATGCTTGGCCTCCAGCACAAGCTTGCTGCCTTCCTCGTGTTTTAGCTGTGTGTGTCCTCTCAAGACTCACAATATGCCGAAGCATTAACAAAGGTGGGAGTTTGCACTGGTAGCGGGAAAACTGAAGGGCCTCCCTGTCGTTCCTGTCCCGTTCGTGACTATGATACTAGTTATCTTGGCTCCGGAGAGCCGTGGCACCGCAGAAAAGCAAGTAGCACATACCACGAAGGTCTGCGGCAACAAGACTAATGACGGTGCAATATGTATACGCACTGCCTTTCTAGAATCGACCTTGAAAGTTCTGACGCAGATTGCATTGCAGGAGAAGCAAAGTTGGAATTCACGCCAAGCCGCAGTTGCGTCAGTGTAGTTTCACCCTTCACCTAAAAGCTTACATTTGATGGGGTCCTCTTGAAACAATAAGCTGGTAGGTGTTACTAAAATTCCTGAAACATACACTAACCAGTTAAGAAATGGGTCGGTATCGAAAATGCCGCCACGCCAATTCTCAAAAAAATGTGTTAGCATTGTGCACTGCATTTCTATATAACAAAGCATGGTGAATGCAGCCTCTCGACACCTTTCTGCGGGGTGAACATTCCCGAAACCCCTCTTCTCCCGGGTGCAAGCAGATCAGTTTACTTAGCACGTGCATGAAGGACGTGCGCGCAATGCACGTAAAACAAACAGCCATTATGTTGTGCTTATTTATTCACCGCGAACGTGCTTAACTCTGCGGCAGATAGATCATGCGCATGCACAACCTGTACAATGTGAAGCATGCCAGATATGCCGCCGCTTCAGTGTTATGTATGTGGCAACTGAAGATCAAATCTATAGTGGTGCCGTTGCGAGAAGTGGCCTCGTTATTATCCATGCACAGCGTCAGTCTGTATTGAGACCACATGCGCTCTTGCACCCACTGGTTGGATCCGCCTCTAATGTTAACATTGCAGTCCCCCATGACGTTGAGCGGCATCGTATGTGTCCTACATTAGTTGGGCTGGCACACATGCATTGGGAAGCATCAGCCGTCGCACAAACGTTGAGATTAGTCGTGAGGTATTGTTCTACGGAGGTGCAGCGTGCGACTTAGGCGGCAGGAGCTTCCGAGGGCATTTAAAGCGCATACCCGCACGCACCCCCCCTTCCCCGTTGTTCTAGTAGCTCTTAGAGAGACGCACGGGCTGCAGCTATAGAAGTAGAAGACGAGAAATAAAGGAGGAGACTGGCTCGTGTCCTCAACCTGGCTGGTCCTGTTTCCTCGTTGCTCGCCGTACCCCTAAACACCCAACACAACACAGTGAAGTTCCTAGGCCACATCATAGACCAAACTGGGGTCCACCCTGATGACGACAAGCTCGTGGCAATCAGGGCAATGAAAACACCAGCCAATGTAAGTGAGCTGAAGAGTTTTCTAGGAATGATAAACTATCTCGGAAAATTCATTCTGCATTTAGCCCAAAAAGCACATCCTCTGACGGCGCTTTTGAGTTCAAAGAACGCTTGGGTCTGGGATTGTGAGCAACAGATGGCTTTTGACGCCTTGAAAGTAAAACTCACTTCAACCCCAATACTCGCTTTGTTTGATCCCAAGAAAATAACAGTGATCTCGGCAGACGCCTCATCATATGGCATTGGCGCAGTTCTGCGACAAAAACAGAGTGACGACACGTATCGTCCAGTCGCATATGCGTCAAGAACACTCAGCAACACAGAGAGGCGCTATGCTCAAATTGAAAAGGAAGGGCTGGCCGTGGTCTGGAGCTGTGAAAAGTTTTGTGACCTCATCACAGGATTGGAAGTCATCATCGAAACTGACCACAAGCCTCTGGTCCCAATTTTTTCCACAAAAAGTTTAGAAGACATCCCGCTGAGACTACAAAGCATGAAGCTACGCATGATGAGGTACTCATATGACATCAGACATGTTCCAGGTAAAGACCTCATCGCCGCTGACGTCTTGTCCAGACATCCTCTGGCTGAAGTCCCAAGCCATGAATTGGAAGAAGAGATCGACGCTTACGTTCACGGCATCAAATCCAGTCTCCCCGCTACTGATAAATGACTTCAGCAAATCCAGGAGGAACAAGAAAAAGATGTCACCTGTCAGCTCTTGACCAGATACTGTGCTGAGGGGTGGCCTACCAAGAACAATGCAGATCAGACGTGTAAGGACTTTTGGCAATACCGAACCGATATTTCTATGAATGAGGGGCTTCTAATGAAAGGCTCAAGGATTCTTGTGCCCCAATCCATGAGAGAAGACATCTTGAGTAAAATACACCACGGACATCAAGGCATCACTAAATGCCGGGCACGCGCACGCGAGTCTGTCTGGTGGCCTGGCATATCGGCTCAAATAGAAAACTTTGTCCGAGGGTGTCACCAGTGCATCCAAGAAACGAGCAACAGACGAGAGCCGTTGATGCCAACGCCTTTCCCTGAAAGACCGTGGCAACAAGTAGGCATGGACCTGTTTTACCTCGCAGGAAAATGGTATTTGCTTGTCACCGATTATTATTCTAGATTCCCAGAAGTTGCGCCGCTCACGAGTCTGTCAACAACATCCGTAATCAACCACCTCAAATCTATCTTCGCCAGGCATGGCACACCAGAAACTGTGTTCAGTGACAATGGCCCACAGTTTCAAAAGATTGACTCGTCAGAATTTTTTAAGTTTTCACAAGACTGGGGCTTCCACCATAAAACTTCCAGCCCGAAGTTTCCGCAAAGTAACGGCTTTGTAAAGTCTGCTGTCAAAATAATCAAGCGCAGTATGAAGAAGACCGATGACGCCTATCGCGCACTTCAGTCGTACCGAGCTACACCTCTCGAAAACGGCTACAGCCCCGCAGAGCTCCTGATGGGAAGGCGCATAAGGACCTCACTCCCTACAGTCAAATCTCGCCTAAATCCAAAGACTCCGGATCCCGATCTCCTCAAGAATTGGGAGCAACAAAGCAGGGACAAAGAGAAAATGAACTTCGACAGAAGGCATGGAGTACACCCACTTAAGCCATTGCACATTGGACAACGCGTGTGGGTCTCAGACCAAAGACAAACTGGTCACGTCACGTCGCCTTCAAAAGCGCCCCGTTCATACATGGTTGAGACCGACCGGGGAGTTGTGAGGAGAAATCGAGGACACTTGATTCCAATTCCCATTCCCACGACACATGCACAATCTGCACGTGAAGGATCATCCCTCGCTACCAATAACATGGCTTCCTTGCCTACAACATCTACAGGCCTTCCAACCACGCGGAGCGGAGTGGGCATACTGTAAAACCTGTCGACCGGCTAGGTTCCTAGATATTAAAAGGGGAAGATGTTCTAGTAGCTCTTAGAGAGACGCACGGGCTGCAGCTATAGAAGTAGAAGACGAGGAATAAAGGAGGAGACTGGCTCGTGTCCTCAACCTGGCTGGTCCTGTTTCCTCATCGCTCGCCGTACCCCTAAACACCCTACCAGACTTGGACGTAGTTCAACTACTCTACTCAAACTACTGTAGTTTAACTACCTTTCCGAGTAACTTGGTAACTTTCAATTACAACTTTACTTAAGTAATTAGTAATTTAATTTAACTACGTTTTTCAGGTAACTTCTACTCAAATTATTAACTACTCTCGAAATCTAAGCCTATTTTTTTTTTATAACAAAAGTTTGAGCGCAGAAGTAAATAAGACGTCAGCAGATGAAGTGGCCTTCCCAAACAAGGGGCCCCCTCACATTCCGTTCCCACGCACTTATACTCGGCAGCCGTAGAAACTGCATCACAGGCGTCCTAGGGCCAAGGAGGCGACGAGCAGACAAAACATAACACCGGCGCGCACGAACGCAGGCAGAGATGCTTAACAAGCCTTGGTCGGGTATTGACCTAATCTGGTAATGCACGCAGGCGCCACGCCTCCAGCTGCAACCGTGAAAGACGGGGACACTCCGAGCGTTGGTGTTGTTTTCATGTTGTCTGCCTTTAGTGAGTTCTGACTCAAGTGGTAGGCTCCACGGTAGGCGCCACTGGAATGACCTCGCAGCTGGGCGCCTGTTCTCATGGTCGCCTCGTCGTCAGTGCATACTCCCTTCCGAAGCCGGACTTCCCCGCGCACAAACGCAGACACGGATAATCCGTTCATGGGAGCACGTTCCCGCTTCCCGCTTGTTCATGTAATCCTTCGCGTCCTTCCGACCTTCCACGCCAGGGAGACCTCCTCTTTGTTGAAGACGTTGTACTTGTCACCCTTGGGAAATCCTTTTGTTGGACCCAACGTGACGTAGCATTAACATTGCAACGAGACGCGCAGTTGACGGTCAGGTGCACTCGCTCGGCGAACTCTCCAAACGTCGTGGGAATAAAGAGGAGCCACTCATAGCAATCTCAACTTGCCGAAGAAAAAAGCAAGAAGGAGGAGAGTTCGTTATCAAAGACCCTCTAGCCGAGGCAAGCCTTGCATATTTCTCCTGGACACCAAAGATGCCGGCACTCGCTTACCCGACCCTGCACAGCCTGCTTCTGAAATTGTACGCTGCCTTTGCATCCTGCACCACGGTGGAACGTCTGTTTAGCTTGACTGAGGACGTCATTAGAAAGAAAAGGGGAAAACTATCCGATAACAACTTTGAAAGACAATTGCTTCTGCGAGGGAATAAACAATTTTGGAGGTCATAAATTGACTGCATTTATTTCAGGCTCGCAGGGTTTTTCACTGATCAAAATTGCTGTTCCTTTTGCTGCCACAAAAATATAAAAGGTAACTTCGAAAGTAACTTCAAAGTAACTCGCTACTTTTTTGCAGTAGTTAGTAGTGTACAAAATTACTATTACAAAAGCGTAATTTCTACGCTACTCCAACTACTTTTGGCGTCGATATTCAGTAACTTTACTTAACTACCTTTTTTGAGTAATTTGTACATGTCTGCACCCAACACAACACCCGTCATTTGCTGATGCTTGCAGGTGTTTTGACAGCCGGTAGGTCTGTAGCGCCATCACGTGGCGACGTTGCAAACTTTACTTAGTCAGTCCGAACTAGTCCAAGGTCAGTGCTTGTACCAGGGCACTAACGCTAATGCATTAAAAATTACGACCACTCCTACACTGTGGAAATGAGCATGCGTCATCCGTGTGCTCAATTCATAAATAATGTGCTATCCGCGTTATTTATCATCTAGAAACGTGGATGGCAGATAACGGCTACTGGGTATACTGAGAAATCATTGTCTCAACTATGTGTGTGTGTAAATGGAGAAGGTAGCAGGTTTAAACGACTTTCACAAAGGGCGGATTGTGATGACCCGAAGGCTCGGAACAAGTATCTCGGAAACTGCAAAGCTTGTCAAATTTTTGCACGAGCTGCCGTCATTAGCACCTATCAAAAGTGGAGGAGTGGAGGTGAAACTGTAAGTAGACCCCGAGGCGTTGGACGCCCACACCTCATTAAAAAATGTAGAATGATAGGCTTCTCACTTGGTGAGGAAAAATAGGCAGCTACCTATGGCTCAACTAACGGCTGAATATAATGCAGGTAAAGTATGAATGTATCTGAGCACAAAGCTTATCAAACATTGTTGGATATGGGACACTGCAGAAAATTACCTTTGTGTGTGCCTCTGCGGACACAGCATCATCGTTGCTTATGCCAGAGTCCAACGAGAGCAACAAAGAGAAACTACCGACACCGACACGCCTCAAACATGAGCATCATACACATGAGGGTATCGCTGGCAGGCTTGCAATCACTCGTGCTTACTTCACGAACACCGAGAAACTGCAAGCCTGCCAGAGGTACAATCACGTGCATGCTGCATGTGTTTAAGTCTTGTCAGTGTCGGTTGTTTGTCGCTCTAGTGGGACTCTGGCGCTTTGACTCCAGTGGGCACATGAACATCCGAGTCTGAACCATGAAACAATGCATAAGAGCTGCCTGGTCGGATGAAACAATATCTTTTACGTTCGCCGATGACCGTGTAGGGGTATGCTGTCTTCCAGGCAAACAGTTGCTTGACACGCGTGCCGCTGGACGTACACAGGCTGATGGTGGCAGTATTATGCTTCGGGGGACGTTCTCATGGACGTCCCAGGGATCGGTGGTTGTTGTAGAGCACACTATAAAGGGTCGTTCACACTCTTGCAACCGATTACGACCGAAAGGAACAAGACCGGTTTTTAATCCTCTTACGACGTCTTAGGACCAGCTCCGCAGCAGCACGCCCGGTCCTAAGACGTCGCAAGAGGATTAAAAACCGGTCTTGTCTCTCTCGGTCGTACTCGGTTGCAAGAGTGTGAACGAGCCTTAAGCCTCTTGCAACGTCTTGGGACCGAATGCGCTGCAGCGGGGCTGGTCCTAAAAGATTGCAAGAGGCTTAAAAACCGGTCTAATCTCTCTTGGTCTTACTGAGTAGCAAGAGTATGAACGGGCCTTAAAAGCCCTGGACTATGTCAACATCATTGATGACCAGTTACATGCATTCATGGCTTCTATCTTCCCCACTGGAACTGGAATCTTATAACAGGACAATGCTCCATGTCGCAAAGAAAGAATTGTGCAGGAGTGGTTTGGAGATTATAATGATGAATTCTAGGTAATGTCTTTAACTCATCAGATATAAATCCTATTGACTGCATCTAGGGATATGATGGGGTGCCAGCTAAGAGCTCACAAACCACCTCCTCGTAATCTTCAGAAATTGTGAGACCTGTGCTTGCAAATCTTGTACAATCTGTCTCAGGCTACTTACCAAGAGCTTGTAGAATCCATGCCAAGACAGGTTGCAACTGCTTTGCATGTGAAAGGTGTATAAGCACGGTATTAAAGGGCCCATGAAACGAATTTTGGGCTGGAATAAATCAATTTATATTAGGATTTTACTAATAGCACGTTGTACAGTGGGCGAAAAGAAAAAAGGCAAAAAGTCAAAAGCCTGACTTTCGGTACGAAAATATGAAAACACAGCGGACTATTTCGTACTTCCTTCCCTTCGTAAGCCTTTTCACTGGGATACATCCGCGGTCCCCGCAGCGAGTCACCGGGCCCCCGCAGCGCGTCACCGGGCCCAAACGTATGTCACACGACACCAGACCCGACTTATTCCCTTCAAGCCTAAGCTGACATTGTAGTCGAAGCTACCTGCTTGCCGCACCAGTCAGCCGCCTCCCTTTCATCACCTGACCTCATTCTCTGCGCGTGGGTATGCGCGAGAAAGCGTGATCACGTGTCAAAAGTGTGGCTGGCCCAACGAGCACGTAGCTTCGCAGCACTATCAGCTTCGGGGTGACCGGGGTGGGGAAAGCAACTTGTGTTTGAAGTTTGAGCGACGCGTGCTAATCTTCTAGGGGGAGAATGGCAGTATCCGCATACACAAATGAAAGTCCAAGAAAGGGGGGAATCCCCCCTTTTCGTCTTCTTGAAGTGTTTGGTAGAATGCGCGATTTATGAGTTGAGGAGGAAAGCTAAACAGGAAAAAGTTGGAAAAGCGTTTCATGACCCCTTTAAGTAGGTGGTCATAATGTTTTGGCTGATCAGTGTAATGACCTCTCACCAAAACGATTCGTTCTTGGCCAACTGGTAACTAGGGCGAAGTTTAGATAGTGTATGTAGGACTTCATGACCCCATCAAGAGACATTTGCTAGGTAATATGCCTCAGGATTTTTGCTTGACTGTCAGCAGTCCACCTTTTTAGGAATAAGTGGTGCCACCTGACACAAAACGGGGTTCCAGTATTCTGGGGATGAAACAATGCACAGATTAGAAAGGAAGGGGAAGAAGCGCCATAGATATGTACTTGGGGCAAAGAGACAAGCTGCAATAGGGACTTTCGGGGTGCCCAATCTAGATCAGTGCAGCTCAGTACAGCCAACCGGGTCTTACTTTGTCGGTCAAGGGAGTGCCCCCGCTCGCTTGAGCACGTGTTCGCGTATTTTTATACCAGAAGCTCCTGAACCGGCGACCTTCGAAAATGGTCCATCGCTAAATCAGATGAATCGGATGCGGTCGCAATGGGCCAGGTTGTCTGACAACAAAGTGGGTACTCTGCTAGAGCACACCAACTGGCGAAAGTCGTGCGTCCGTCGACAGACTGATCGCTGCCGAGTGGTCGCGTGGCAGCCCCGCGTGAACGAAGCGACCGTCGGGTGCGAAGAAAGTTCACCGCGCCATCGCAACTGGAAGCTGTCCAGACAACTTGCGTCGATGAGGCCGACTAAACCAGTGTCGGCAAAACGCGCCTTACGCGGCCCACAACTACTATTACGGAGGTAAAAAAGAACGGAACGACAAACCTTCGCTGTCCCTCTGCCCAAACAATTCTGCAGCAGATCAACGCGGGCAGCGGCATCATAACAAATCGGAAGGTGGGACGGTCCCCGACGGATCGCCGGAGTCACAAGAAAACAACAGGCCGTGAAAAAGTCGTGGGATTGGACGTAAAGAAAAGCAGACCGCGTGCTGAGATCGGGTGCCCGTGCAAATGGGCATTCACAAAACTAAAAGAAAAGACGATTGCAACTGCCTGTCCACCCAGTACGGGCTGTGACGCAAATGACTGGTCAGATGCCCTACACGTCGCGCCGAGGTGAACGGGTACCTCTCACCGGCTGACAGTAGCTGACAGAAGTCGGGTGTCGGTAGGCAAGGGACCATACTCACCGATTCTTGAGTCAACGATCGTTTGAGGATCTGAGCTAGGGAGTCGGATTGGTGGATTCCAAGCGGTTGCGAGCGATGCCGAAGCGTGACCGACTCTAAAAGGAGCGATCGGAAGACCCTGGCAACGCTTTCATCGTCTCCTTTCGTGGGGGCTACTACGCTACGCGATACTTTAGCACGCTACCTGTAATACTGACGTAATTAGGTACACTGAAGACTCGGATGAGCTGATCCCAGCTGGGAGAAATAACGTGACTTCGGAGAGCACTCGTGCCGGTAGATGCCGCTGCCTGTTGGTGCGGAAGTTAGGGGCGGAAGTGACGGAAGTGCGGTCCATGACCGGAAAATTTCGTGATCATTTGTGTACTTCTTTCGTCGTAGACGTAAGAATTTGTTTTGGCTTTGCTTGAAGGTTCAGTGAGCAGTTATTTACATTAATGTAAGATTAACAGAGAGATTTTCTCAAATGAAGAATTAGTAAAACAAAAACCGAAACTGAGGAAAAAAAATAAGCTCTATATTTTCGAGATATAATCAATATAATCCTTATTCACACCAGCACCAAGACAAAGGAACGGGCAGGACTGACGCCAAACCAACGTTACTAAACCACTCAGTTGAGAAACTGCTATAGAGACTGCTCTGGAAAAGTGGCCCCGATCTTTCCTCGCGAACCGAGCTAATGGCGAACGCAGCGCCGCCATTTCTCCCACAGCGGCCACTCGATAACCGCACGTTACTTCTATTTTTGGCTTTAATCGGCCATTTTGGCGCCGAAACAGAAACAGTGGAAGAAGGGTGCCATCCCCGTCTCCCCAGCGGACACGCCGCGACTTTCTAGTGAAGTTAAAATGCACCTAGGTCGGGACGCGCTACCTGAAAGCACCGCTGAAGCCATGGCTGTATAAAAAAAAAAAAAAAAAAAAAAAAAAAAAGCTTTACGCGCTTTTTATTTTGTACAGTCAAACCCATTTATAACGAACAGCAGGAAACGCTACGATCAGTTCGATATAGCAAGTAGTTCGAAATAGCCAAAACCATTTACAACGAACTTCCACGATGCGTTCGTTGTAAGGCGAGAGCTTCTCGTTCTTTCCCATCTCTTCACTTCCGCCTAATAACAACGCGCTGTTAAGTTGGTTTTTTTTTTTTTTTTGCATGCGTACAGAGTTTGTTTTTTTAGCTTATCTCCTCTTCTAAATTGACTCTCTTCGTGGGCAAACGCTTTAGGATGAAAAGCTTTTTTATTTTTATTTTTTTCAGCGTTCGTGCAGAGTATATTTTTTAGCTTTCTCCCCTTCTGAATCACTTCTCTTCACTCAAGTTTAATAGCAACTTGAGCTTTTGGAATTTCCTTTCTTTCCTACCTCCTTTTCGGGGGAAGGGACAGGCTATAGAAGGCGATTGTTTGTGCGTTTTTGGAAGTCTTCCCGGGGGGAAAAGTTCGATATAGTCAATATGTGTTTCGTTATAAAAAGTACTTTTTACATGCATTTTTATTTAAATGTTACGTGAGTTCGATATCGACAATAATGCGCAGTACGTGGGTTCGTTCTAAACGGGTTTCACTGTACTATACTCCAATAAATTTCATACAAAAATATCTTTTCCGTTTGTTTTTACGCAAAAACATTCTTTCTAAAAGCTCAATGTGACCACGTAGTACAGACAATGATAAAGAATAGCGCTGTTGTCGTATTTAGCTCGGTCTCGGTGAACGCCAGCGGCCCAGGTTTCGACGGCGAGTTTCCCAACTGAGTGTTTTAGTAACGTTGCTCCAAACCGAACAACTCTTTTTGACTATGACTGAGAAGGATTCTACGTGGATTATCTCTGGGAGGGGGGAGAAAAAACACGTTGAGGGCCGTTTGACGTCCTTCCCCTCCTTCGTTTCCCATGAATGTCGAGCAGAAATGCTTGACTGGTACCCAGACAACACCAAACGTCCCTCGGACGTCCTAAAAACGTGCGAACGTCCCACGTCCCATTGCCGACGTCCTGCGGACGTCCCACGGATGTCCGGGGCGGCATAATCCGGAACACGTCCCAGCGCGACTGTGATCAGGACACGCTTTTTCTTTTTTTTTTTTTTTTTTTTTTTTTTTGACGATTACAGCACCGGCTTCACGCACTGTCACCGCACAAGATCGTGGCTCGTATTGCAATCGTCGCTTTTGGTTCAGCCGTTAGAAAAATCAGTTTCAAGTTATTTTGGGTTTTGATCATCCGCGCTTGCCGTACAGTCGGCGTACGCGCCCCTACAAATTGCACCGCCCTTTCTCCGCAATAAATGTGCCGGCGTGCAACCACGGCGAACGGAGGGAGCCAAAAACAGAAAAAGCGACCTATCGTATTTCTTGAGTCTTGTCGCCAACAGAATCACTCGCGTTGCTTCGCAGACACACCAAGAGCAAGAGCGATAGTAAAAAGCCTAAAGGCAGCTCTTTTAAATTCTCAGGCACACAAGAACAAAAATTATGTTAAAAAATGAACCGCTTTAAATACATTCGAAAGCGGAACTATGGCGAAACCGAAACGGTCCTAAAACTCGGTTGGTTTCTATTTTTAATTTCACAATCATTTTTATACCATATATTTATATATTTTTACAAATTATTTTTTTAATAAAACATAGATAATTACATTAGTGAAATTAAGTAATTCAGGCAGAGCTTTCAATCGCCACCGCTGTGCAATCATCATCATCATTAATAGCATGCGCGCGGGAAAGCTGCAGCCCTGGCAGCCCTACAGCCGACTACAGCCGGGAGTCCGGAGTGCTGCCGTGCTGCCGTGCTACTGCGCTAACCTGACAACTCACTAGCCACCATGGCTGGAGGAAGTAAGTATGATTTAACGTTTTGTTTGGAGCGACAGTCGGGATTTTTACCAAACCGGTCCCCTGATCCGCCACAGCGGTATTGAGGCTCGCGCTCCCCCTTTGAAGCAGCGCGCGGCCAGAGGGCTACCGCGCTCGCAATAGCCAACAGTAACGCTTTGCTAATACTCCGTATTATGTGACATGACTTTAGGCCGAGTAATGAAAGTGTTACAACATTTCCATCGTTCGCAGAGCTTGGCTGTTGCAAGACAAGGCGAACCACTCGAAGATCGTAAATATGGACAATATGGCTGCTCTACCCAGAACAACAGCTTATCGGCGCGTTCGTCGTGCGGCGGAAAGCGATCTCAAACTTATACTGTCAGTTAGTAGAGAAAATGCAATGTGCTCAGCTGAAGCTTTGGATGAGGCTTCTGTAGAAAGGCCCGCTGGGTCGCCGGAACTAGTTGCAGGAGCGCCGCAAAAACACGCGGGATCGCCGGAACTAATTGCAGAACCATCACGTCTCTCGTATCAGCAAGATGTCCCGACAACGTGCTGTTTTTCTGAGACTGTGCCTGATACTCCGGAACCGGTCTTCGGTGCAAGCGCCATTCACTCGAGACGAGGCGTCCCTGTAGATTCGGAAGGCTTGCCTTACAGTCGTGAACACCATTTAGAAAGAGACAATCGAAGGAATGTCGAGTTGGATGAATTGTCTGAATCAGAGGAATCCGACGTTTCACGTTTCAAGGAAAAGCTGCGGCGGTGGAGCGTAGAGGGGGCTGTTCCTCATGATACCGTTACAAAGCTCCTGAAGATACTGCACTCGCATTCTTGTTTCTCAGACCTCCCAACATGTGCCAGGGCACTTTTGTCTACACCAAGAGTCACTGATAATGTGAGGCCCATGGATTCCGGCCATTACTGCCATTTAGGCTTGAGTGAGGGGCTCAGGGCAGCGCTGCAACCTGTGTGCAATATACCAGATCCAATAATCCTTCATGTGAATGTAGATGGACTACCATTGACGAAAAGCACGCGGGATCAGTTCTGGCCCATTCTCTGCCAAGCTGCTAACTGTGCAGGCAGTGACCCATTTCCAGTTGGTGTCTATCATGGCCAGTGTAAGGCTCTTCAGTCAAATGTCTTCCTTAGTCCGTTTGTGTCTGACCTGAAAGGTGTTCTCTCTGAAGGTGTTGCTATTGGCAACAGGGTCTTCCGAGTGCAAGTTGGAGCAATAATCTGCGACGCGCCTGCCAAGTCATACATTCTTGGCACCAAAGGGCACAGCGGCTACTTCAGTTGCTCAAAGTGCACGACTGAAGGAGAATTTGTGCGGGGACGAATGTGCTTCCCTGATCTTGATGCTCCATTACGAACAAATGCCAGCTTTAGGCGTGCAGAGCAAGAGGACCACCACATCATGGAAACTATCTTAAAAGAACTTCCCATAGATATTGTTGACCAGGTGCCACTTGACTATATGCACCTCATCTGTCTGGGTGTTGTGCGCAAGCTTGTACTCCTTTGGCTGAAAGGTGATAAAACCTACCGCATTGGAAGTGCATCAAGAGATTCTGTGTCGGGAGCTAACATTGAAATGAGGCACTATGTGCCATCAGACATGTCTCGGAAGCCACGCAGCTTGTCCGACATTGATAGGTGGAAAGCGTCAGAATTTCGCTTGCTTGTTCTTTACACGGGGCCAGCGGTGCTGAGGTCAAGGATCCCCAAGCCTCTGATGGACAACTTCATGACACTTCACTGTGCAGTCACCATACTTTGCAGCCCATTACTCTGTAGAGAGCACTTAGGGTATGCAGAAAGGCTCTTAAGGCATTTTGTTGAGACCTACATAACACTATATGGTAGACATGCAGTCTCTCACAATGTTCATGGCTTGATTCATGTGGCAAGCGACGTAAGAGTTCATGGACCTCTTCACAACTATAGTGCTTTCCCATTCGAAAATTACATGCGTAAACTCAAAAGCTATGTACGCAAACCAGAAAGGCCCTTGCAGCAAGTCTACAATCGAATCGTAGAAGAACGATTTTTGGTTGCATCTCCTGCTGTCAACACTGGAGAGTCGGCAGCATCGACTCCACCCGTCTCCTCTGTCTCCCTTGGAGGAGAAAGTTTCAAGCTGACAGCAAGGCATGAAGGTCGACCATTGCCGCTCGGATGCATTGGACCTCAGTACAAGACCGTGACGTTTCCTGCTGGCATCACCATCAAAACAAACAAAAAAGACTGCACTTGCATGTTAAAAGACAAGAGTATCATCAAGGTTGAAAACATTGCACGCACTGCAGTGAACTATCAACCAGTGTTGGTTGGAAGGAGGTACCAGAGTCTAGAAGACCTTTACAGCTATCCCTGCAGTTCATCATTGCTGAACATCTTCCTTGCATCTGAACTGTCTGACATTCACTTCTGGCCACTTTCAGAAATTGCAGTGAAATGTGTGAGACTCCCATTGGCAAACAAATTTGCCGTTATTCCAATGGTGCACCTACAGTGAAATTTTTTTATGGCTGCTTGTTTATTAATAATCTAGTTTATGATATTGTTTGTAGATGAACTGGACAAGCTAGTTCGGTTTTAGTATGCTGCATTAAAGAGGGAAAAATAACTCGGTGGACATGCAAATGCTTGCCTTTCCTGCTTCGCTCAGGTGACAAGTTTGCTATTGTAGCATTTCCTGAAGAAGATCACAGCTTGGCCATTATTCACAAAACATGGCTCGTTGAAAGCACTGAAACGACATTTTGGCCTAAGGAAAAAAATCCTAACAAGCGTCGTCGAATGACAATCGAAGGCGTCAAACCACAAGACAGTTGGATGCAGGTCAAATGCCTGATCAAGGACTGGGCTGGTAAGTGCTTTTTTGCTCTAAATTCTTTCCAGTTCTCAATGCGTAAATTTCTTTCAGACACATATGAGAAGGCGCTGGAGAAACTTCAGGCTCTGGAGTATACGTCAGACTTCACTAGTGAAGAAGAGCTAGGTCGTGGCAAGCGAAAACGCCGTCCGACCTTTCCTTTTGACTATGATGACAGCACCGACACTACAGGTTCCGACGATGAATATGAACCACCAAAACCACCCACGCCACCCCAGCCACGGAAGAAAACAGGTATGGCATCGTGCATTGTTGGCGATGCTCTAGGACGGTTGAAAAAAAATAATTCTTTGAAAACATCTAGTGTAACTTCAAACGGCTTACTACCAACTATTCCTCCTTTTCCAGGTGCCAACTTCTCTAAGTCACCTCTGCATCACTCTGGTGTGTATACCTTATGTCTCTTCAGTGCATGTTCAGGTACATGGATTGAGTAAGTGTGACTATTTCCTCTGCAGCCCTGTACGAAACTGTCACGTCCCAAGCCACATCCCAAGCACGTGCCCAGTCTTCACGCATGCAGCCACAGTACATAGGTAACTGCTTGTGCACAAGGTGAGTGTTCTGTAGATAATTTAATTTTGATTCCAGGTCTCGACAATGTCCAGCTTGTACACGCATCCCACACGAACAGGATGATGTCCAGCCCGAGCATCCAGCCTACAGGTAGATCTTGCAGCTAAAGTTATGTTTTATGGATTCGACTCCTTTCTTTCTCACATGTTCTTGAATTTCCTGTTAACATTCAGCATTTTGTAGAGAATCTGTTTTCAATTTCAGGTGATGACTTGGGTCCACCAGTGCACACACCATATGCGAACATTTTGCCCCATTCAAGTATCCAGCCCACAGGTAGATCTTACAGCGGAAGTTGCATTTGATGGATTTGACACATTTTTTTCTCGCATGTTCTCGGATTTTCTTTAACATTCGGCATTTTGTAAAAAAACTCTTTTTGGTTTCAGGTGTCCACAGCGTCCCCCCAGTGCACACTCTATACAAGAGCAGGACACCTCACTCAAGCATCCGGCCTGCAGGTATATCTTGCAGCTTAAGTGGCATTTGATAGATTTGACTCATTTCTTTCTCACCTTTTTTAAATATTTTTATAGCATTCAGCATTTTGTGCAAAATTGCTTGTCAATTTCAGGTGCCAATGATGTCCCTCTAGCGGCGGCAACACTGTGGCAGCAACACCACGGTGAGTTTTATTTTGTGAATGCTAAAGTTTTCATATCCTTCGAAATAACATCAAAGCTGAGAACTGTTATGTACTGACTGACAGACTGGCGCTTATCAGCTCGTGGCCACTCGAGGAGCGTGGGCACTGAGCGCTCGAGGCTCGGGGTGCGCGGGCTGACGAACGCCGGGCTCCGAATTGATTAAACCGATTTGACCAGTGGTCTCCTGTGAACCGACTCGATGTAACAAGAACAGCATTTTATAAAATTTCAGATGCACCTGTAACCCCTATGAACATGTCTCACCCTGGCACTGGACGGGTAAACACAGATGCACAGGTGCCTGGTATGTAATATCTATTTAGATCTTCAATCAGAAACAAATTTTGCGATAGTGGTTTCTGGGCTTCTACTTCTTATGCTACGTGCATGACAAAGACGATTCGGAAAAGGTATTGTGTCTAGAAACGTTTTTTTCTAATGAGTGTGAGTTGTCGTGAGGGGCATGGCTTTCCTAAAACATACAATATATGTCAGGAGCAGTATTTATCTTAGTGTTTTTATTTAAAGAGGCACTAAGGTGGTTTCTGAATAAGATTGTTCTTGATGTTATTTTATAGGTGCCAGTTAATAAATATATCCAGTGCCAAATTACGAAACTGCCTATGTATCTCGAGGCAACAGAAATACATGCATACTATACACACTAGAGCAATGAAAACACTTGAATGTGTGGAGATTTTGACTGTTTGTACTATTATAGTTTGTTTTGAAAAGAAGTCCGATCCACACGTTCAGAAATCACGCCACTCGTTGGCTGCACGAAAAGCCATCGCTAGCAATTGGCTGACAAGCGCCCCTTGTTGGCTGCCTCACAATAATATTCATCTCAGAGAAGGGGGCGTGTAACAATCTTTAATCGTGTTTTTAGTAGGAAAATGGGCCACGCCTGATTGTGTAATTTCGGGTTTTCAGAACGCTTGGAGCACTTAGATTGAGTTATTGTCACTAAAGAACTCTCAGAAACTGCTTTCATACTCCTTTAACTTTGCTATATCACGGAGAGTTACTATTTCATGTTATGTCAACAGTTCTGCAATGAGGATGCTACTGTGGCTGCAAGATGGAGCTCTGTTCTGTCCATTTCAGTGTTTATGGAAAGGATCCTGTTGGCACTGAATTCCATCAAGGTGACACAGCAGACCCACTCCGAGTACTTTAGCTTGCTGCTCAGAAACACCGAAGATGCCCCACTTGATCCAGAGGGCCTGCCGGACTTGCCTTTTTCTACAGTACAGGACTTCGTGCACTTTGACAAAGAGCTGGAGGTCGACAAGAGAGCAAGACTTCGTATGGTAAATGATGGTTATTCTAAACTAAGCTCTGTATTTTGCATCTATGCATGATTGAACTTTTTTTTTTGTTATGAGCAACTGTATTTTTGGAACTCCACCTTGTAAATATTCAGGTGATAAAGGTTTCCTTACCAGGTGCCAGAGTTCAGTTACAAGCATAGCTTATAATAGAACCTCATTAGATGCATGAACACAATTTCGTGTTAGTAATCACATTTCATGACTGAATTCCTGAACAGGTACTTCAGTGTTGTCAATAAAATCTTATTTTTTAAGTTTAGATATACCTAACTTTAATTTGCATCATGTGTATATGTCGGTCACTCTTACAGTACCGAGAAGGCGAGTCAAAATTGGGCGGAAATGATCTCATAGTGCCCATACTTCTAAGCATGTGGTTTTGTTTCTAAGATTTATGTGCATCCGTAGGGAAGATGTTCCTGCTATGCCATCAAAATCGATATCTCAACATAGCTATTAGAACTACGGCACATTTTGAAAATTTTTCAGTGTTTTAACAATGTGAATGCTTTATGTGCCAGTGGTGATAAAACGCTTGAGAACCACTATGCTTATGAAACCACACTAAGATTGTGATATGCTTAAAATTCTAAATGAGTTAGTAGTTTAATGTTAGCCCATATTTCTGATCTGATTGCTGTTTTGATTCTTTTTTACCAGAGACAACACATGTTAGTTCAAGGAGGTGATACACCTAAAGAACGGACCACCCGAATTTTGAGAAGTATACTATCTTCAAGTGTCGCAGCCGAGTACAGCTGGTGTGGCGCCAAGGGAAAACACAAGTTTTCTGATCTCAACATCTGCAAGCTCCTGTGCAGTAAGTTAGATATCTGAACCTGCACAAGTGCAATTCTTAGTATGTACTGAAGTCTAATATAAAAGAATAGTGCAAAACCTTTTTGGAAAATTTGGTATATAACTTGATATAAGAGTGTAACAAATGAAATAATTAGAGCATATTTTCCAGTGTGTAAGTCACTTTTTTTTTCCCAGTGTTACATTGATGTTCTTATACAGCAGAGCAGTTTATAACAGGCACCTGCACTTGTCCCGCCACCAACCACCGAAGAAAAAAAGACATGTTCTTATTTCTTTAAAATGGTACACAGTAACGGTCCTAGATCCATGAGACGTAGCCTTCAGGTACCGTGGATCGGCTTTTCCACATAATGCCCGGGAATGTGATGGCTACCTGTAGAAGGGTTTTGTATCATTTCATAGATGCACGTTTCACTGACAACTTTTTATTGACACACATTTCATTGGCACTGCTTACACAAAGCACATGCCGCTGCATCATCTAGCTGTTCTGGCTACTTTGAGCACCAGTTTTTATTTAGAAGTAGTGCTTGCAACTAGTTTCTGTTCATGAGAGTAGTACCAGTTACTAGCATCTTGAGCTAGTCACTTACTATTTCGCTAGGTGGATTGCATTGGACTTTTGGCTTTATTTTGCTGATTCCGGCAAGCTAGGCTTTCTAACAGACCACGTTGCGCACTGTCATCCCTTGCTTCACTCCGCTTGGGAGTTTAACATCCCCTCCGGCTCCCGCCTTTGGTAAGCCTGTTTGGAATCGCCGAAGGCTTAGCCGGCTAGGATAGTAATGGGGATGGCGGAAACAGAATGTCGGCAAAGAGGCTCCGCTTTATTACATGCCAACAACATCCAGGCCACCAAAGAAGTACATGCAAGGCTATGTCGCGAAGAAGAGGCTGTCGAAGGATCTGTCAATGAAATAGCATTCGATGAACTGATTGCTACTGCTGTAGAGTGACGCAGGCACATCAAAACAAATTTGCTTCAAGGGTTGTGTTTCTCATTTGGTTTGTTTGCAAGAATAATGAAATTGGTTCCTGCTTATGCATACTTCGCCTGAAGTTGTTGATATGGCAGTTAGCTTGACTGCATAATGCAGCTCACATTTTTTCTGCCAGTCTAAAATATCTTGCTGAACTTGACAACAACTTTTTTATATGCAGGCACCCTCACCTACCGTCAAAACTTGGAAGAAGCCAAGGCAACTAAGAAGGACATAGAAAAAGCAGGCATGTCGTGGCTCCGTCATGCTGCTGAGCGGGCAGCGGCAGAAAAAAAGTCCATGGGAAGGAAGGACGGCACACCATTTACACTAGACTAAGAAATCACTTCAACAGGGCAGCCCTTTGAAAGGAACTATGCAAGTCTGTTTCTTAACGTTTTGCACTACAATTTGCAACGGCGGTGCCCGCAGGGAGTGTGGTAATGTATCTGGAGAGCTACATTTTCAAAGAAACAACCTAATTGAGTAAAAGTTTAAAAGTCTGAATGCTTTTCTCTACATATGGTGTTTGCTTGCTTATGGCACACATCTGATTGTTGCAACAGCTGATAAACTGCAGCAGCAGTTCACAAATAAAATACTCGCATAGCATTTTTGGTTTGGAAAAGACCGTCTGCTTTGACCGAGGGGGCCGTATGTCGGCTGTTTCACCAGTCAGACTTGTGACGTTAGGCGAATGCTGCAGATAAGGAGAAGACATTCCTATTTTTTAACTTTCTTCTCAGGTAAAGCCATTCATTGAAATTTGGATGGAAAATTTCACCACCTACGGATACCAGTGTCGTAAATTGTAGCACAGTACATTAAGACAACAATTTATACAGTTCCTTTGAAGTGCCCTGTATGTAAGATGTGCACCAATATTTTTTTGGCAATTCACTATCGATTCAATATTCTAACAGCCATTCTGGCATTTCAGTTTTGTGATACTTTATACAAGATGTATTTGTCACACTTGTTTACACTACTCTTTTCTATGCAGTTCATGCATTTTTTCCTGTATTAAGCAAGTTCAGAGTCACTGATGTCACTTGCTTTTAGTATAAATTTAGCTATTCAGTGCTCGACTGCTATTGTAGACTTTGTGCATTATTTAATGTAGATGTCTGGTCTTGCTGACCTTGGTCACATGGCAATATTTTTTCTAGATTTTGCCAAAGTAATTCTTTTGCACGACTTGCATACAATCATTATACACTGTTGGCCCCTAAGCTGAAAGGGGGTTAGTCATTTTTACTGGCATTACTGTCCTGCAACTTGCATTTTTAGTACTTGGCATGTACTGCTTCTATGCCTTGCCATAACTGTATTTCAGTTTTAGATAATGTGTTATTTTTTTTATAATTAACAACTCTAGTGCAATACTGTGATAACATATTCTATGTTTCTGCACTTCAAAGGAAATGTTTGAGTGATATGCAGAAGTAAGCATTCTAGTGAAATACTGTGATAATATGAGGGGGCATCAAAACGTTTCTGAACTGGCATCCCTGAACAAAAACAAAACAAGTACAGCAGTGTGACACTTCCTGACAAGCTTGCAGTCTGTGCCGAAATTTACTGTGCAGGGCGAGAGTGATCTCTAGCTGTGCTTGTTTGTTCAGCAGGGATTTGCAACTTTCTCACCGTGAAACACAAATGAAAAACTCAAACCACGTCCATACATCATTTTCTGTGAAAATTGAGAAGAACACATTAGAAACTCAGAAACTCCGTCAGCAAGCATTCGGTGACTGATCTAGGTTACACAAATCTGTGAGTGGCATGGACATTTTAAGTGAGGCTGAGAATGGCTTGAAAACAATGAATCAAGAGGATGCCCTCCAACAAACCTAACATTTAAAAATGCAGAAAAAATCCTCGTTAATTCAGTAACACTTTCTGAGAACGATTTCGGACATTGCTGAACAACTCGACATTATTTATGGTTCAGCAATATCCTAAATGCGCTTCCGACGGTCTTCGTGAAATAACATAGATTTTTTTTCGGCATTCTGAAATGTTATGTTTCTCGGAGGGCATTCTCTTCATCGTCTCCAAGGAATTCTTGGCCTTGCCTAAAATGTCCATGCCACTCACTTATACATGTTTTTACTAAATCATGGTCACCAAATGCTTGGTGAGGAGTGTGTGGTATTTTGACATGTTCTTCCCAATTCTCACAGGAAATTTGATGTAAACGTGCTGTTTGAGCTTTTTATTTGCCTTATGCAGTCAGAAAGTTGTGAAATACCTTTTAAACAAACAAGCATAGCTCGGAATTCATTTTGTCACCACACAGTGACTGGCAAGCCTGCTAGGAAGGGTCAGGTGTGTCGCACTGTGGTGCTGCATTTTCTTTTTGTTCAGTGGTGGCTGTTCAGATACTTATTGATGCCACCTCATATGTTATTTCTCTGTCTTTGCTTTTTACATTGAAATAATAAAGCTTTATTTGTTTCGAGACTTGTGTGGTCTTATCCCACTGTAGTGTAAATTAGTACACCAGTATGAAAATATACAATGTCCTATATATGTCCTGATATAGTCCAGGAAACATCCTTTCCTGGACATCCTGAGGACGTCCTTTGGTGTTTCACTTCGGATGTCTTCTGGACATTATTCGGACATCCGCAGGACGTCCCTAATGTCCCAGTCGGGACATCCTTTGGATGTCCAGCGGATGTCTGTGTGTTGTCTGGGTAGGCACTTACCAGCCCTATTTTTCACAGTAGAAGATAACACAGAAAAGGTACGCAGAATGCATCAGAAAAATTAAGAGGAAACGTTCAAGAGGGGCGAGAAAACGTCGAAATCAAAACCGCAAATCATAGGCAGAAAATTTCTAGCTCAAAGGGAAGCGAGAGTCGCACCAGCCGCATCAGCAACATAACGGCGGCCTTAAAGCGTTTTTACAGCGGAGCTGTTAATTAAAGGCTAGTTTCCTCAGGGTCGTGTCCCCCGCAAAGAAATGTTGACACATAACTATGGACAGCTACCGCCATCTATGAGCGACGGTGGCAACCAGACAACCGGTTTACCAAACCGCTGCGGGAAAAATGGTCGCATCGCGATCGCCATTAGCTCGGTTCTCGAGTACTAGAGCCAAGGAGGATGAAGGGTAGGAGAGGGCATGGCGTCAACTGCTCCCTTGACTTAATGCAATTAAATGCAAAGGTGCAAGCGAGCTGGACAAGAATGGCGAAAATAATCCCTGGAGAAGGGGAACAAGAGGGACAAAGGACATACACAAATCTCCAAACACAGCTAGGTGACTTTTGCGCAATCGAAAAAATCTGCCTGGTCTGGGTATCGAACCCGGGACTTCTCCATTACAGGTGGAGAGCTCTACCAGCTGCTACCGACTGAGCTAACCAGGGGTTAGACGTCAGTAGAGCAAACGGGTTTTATCAGCCGCCACCAGTCTAACACCAACAAGAGTTAGAGTGGCGGCGGCTGATAAAACCCGTTTAACCCGTTTGCTCTACTGATGTGCAAGCGTGAAACGGACTATGTACTCAGCGTGTCACTGTTACCGCGAACACGACGTTGTTTGCAGTAGAAAATGGTATTATATAGTTGCACAAAATTTTACCTAATAGACGTTAGTGGCTAGGGTGACCACCTTCCCGCTAGCGCTGACCTTGGGGGGGGGGGTGTAAGAGAAGAACGGCTATATCAGGGTTGGGCAGTATCGCGATACAAATGTATTGCGATAGTATTTCAGAAATACATTTCGTATCTGTATTTCTGTATCGCGATACATTTGTTTCACCAGTATCTGTATTTCTGTATCGAAATACATTTGGGAACGTTTCTTTGTATCGCGATACAATCAGAATGAAATGTATTTCGTTACATTTCTTGAGCAATACTTCTCCCCCCACCCCCCCCCCCCCCCCCCCCCTAACAACAACAACAAAAAAGTCCGAACGCATTTTTTTTTTTACTTCTGGGGGCACCAGGAGTTCAAGACATATTAGAATGCGTCTGCGGCTGCGCCCGTAATATTGCACGGCTCACGGGAACGTCATCAGCCGACGTGAACGTGACCCGGTGGTCTCGTGATCTGAGACCCAGGAAGGAGGCCAGACGTGGCCTCGGGGTGCCGACCCAGACTTCGTACACCTGCGACTAGTCTCGAGCTCGCTGTTTCTCGGAGAGCTCACTCCTGTGCCGGCAATATCAGGTCGCAGCCCACGAGGTCTCTGTTTGGATAATGCTAGGCGAGACTTGGAGGACTGCAATTCATGTGTCGGTGGCGGAGGGTCGGCAGAAAGGACCTTCACAACAGGGATGCCACCATACTGTTTTTTCAACCGTAACATACGATAAGGCACGTGTTTCAGAGTGCTTCAGGTGGTCCACTATTCTCGAAAATTCCAAATGACACTGCCTGCTTGGTCTTCAACGAGAAGTACGCATTGTCCTTCCATACAGCATGCAGCGTGCTAAAGTTTCATGTTCAAGGCCACACCTACAGATCAGGAATACCAGTTCCTTCCACCGTGACGTCATGTGATAAATGTTGACAGGGGCGTCCCTATTGGACAGGGGAATGGTGATTTAGGATGACATAGAATTTATTTAGAGGTCGAAGTCTTTTCGCATCACTCGTTAGACATTGTTGTTGTTGTTGTTTATTGCCCAGAGGAAAGGCCCGCAGGCCTAAGTGGGAAGGGATTAAAGGAAAGCGGAGAGGCCGGCGGTATGGACGAAGTCTAGAAGGCTTCGAGCGCAGGCGTTGTTGGTCGTCCAGGTCTTGTAGGCCTCCGGATCGTCCCACCGTATCCCCGCCTGGAGGACGTAGTGCTCCCGATCCGCCCGTATCCCCGAGCAGGTCCAGATGAGATGGCGAACATCCACCTGGTCCGCCGGAGCGGGGCAGTGGGGGCAGCCGGGAGGGATGCGGCTGTGGTCCCCTCGCCAGGATGAGAGGACTGCCGGTGTGATAGCGCATCCAGTGCGGATGCGCCGGAGCAACACCTCCTGGAGCCGGGACAGACCAGGGGGAACCCGGGCGGTGCACGGTGGTATGAGAGCTCGCGTGCTTGCCCGGATCCTGGTCTTAGTGGCCAGAAGTGTCGCCACGGTGTCCATGCTGAGTGTGTGGCTCTGCAGGTCCTCTGATTGGGCTGCCCGTTTGGCCGCCTCATGAGCCGCTATGTTGCCCTCTGCAGGGCCGTGGCCCTGCACCCAGTCGATGACGACCATGCCCGCGAAATGGTGTCGTAAACGATGGATCTTTTGAACAATGTTCATGGCTTGTTTGGTCTGTTTCAGGTGCCTAATGGCCTGAGCGGAGTCAGTGAAGATGGTCACTTGATTAATGGAGTGATCTTTGGAGGCTGCGAGAAGGGCTTCATAGATGGCTTGTAGCTCAAGCAGCAAAGGAGATGCGTCCGATGTAGCAAACTTCTTCTGGTCGTCAAGGTGGGGATGAGTGCGACTGACGAATGCAGTAGCTCCTCCGTTTTGCGTACATGCAGCGTCCGTGTACAGGATACAGTGATCCGGAGAAGAAGGGTTTGGATTATGGGCCTTGGGATTTTGACGTGCCTTACGGCGGGAGGTCTTATTGGTGGTAAGGCAGGAGAAACTCCAGGGGGGAAGCTGCTGTATCTTCTCAATGTATGACGTTTCCTTATAACATTCTGAAGCGTACAGTTGATGTTTGGCAACCCGGGCTTGTGTGCGTTGATCACATAATTGTCGTAGTGTATTCAGGTGAGCATGCTCCTGTAACAGCTTAATAGGCGTATGCATCGGGAGGCCGGTAATGCTGCGCATCGCTGCCCGGTTGACAGTTTCCAGCGAGTTCCATTGCGTCTCTGTCAGGTTCTGAAATTGTGCTTGGTAGATTATCCTAGGCTGTAAAATGGCCTTCACGAGGCACGTGGCAATCGCAGAACAAGCACCTCCACGTCTCTGGGAGATGCGGTTGATAAGGTGGAGCATAGAGTGGGCTGATTTCGTTAGACATGTCAGGGAAGGTACCACGGTCAATCCTTGATAGATCATTTGTTTTTTTGCCCATTGAAGACTCTTGAGACGTCGTCGTGTTGCTTCCACCCAGTGTCAGGTGGTCTAAAAAAGGGCGACTCCTCGTCGTCCGAAACCACTACCTTCAATGCAAAGTGCCAAGCCTACGGGAAAGTAATTTCTGGATCAAAAAATTCCTCTTCAAGCCTCATCTCAGTTGGCGTCTCAAACAAATTTCAAAAATGTATCGCAGTATCTGTATTTCTGTATTTGTATTTCTGCGCTTCCTAAAATGTATTCCTGTATTTGTATTTCCAAATACTTTTTGCCTCTATTTAAAATGTATTTCCGATACGTATCGCGATACATTTTTACACATATATTTCAGTATCAGTATTTTAGGTACTATTTTAATGTATCCCAGTATTTGTATTTCCATATACATTTTTGAGTATTTCTGCCCAACCCTGGGCTATATATTTCGGATCTGGCAACTGCAAAAAAGAACTTAGTGTGCAGCAGTGTTGCCAACCGTAGGGTAATTACCCTACTTGTAGGGTATTTTAGGCATTTTTGGTACATCGTAGGGCTGTAGGGCCGTCCGGTCATTTCCCCGCCAAAAGTAGGGTATTTTCAGAGTTTGCTTCTTCAACGACGAGCATAATAAAAAAAAAAATAACAGTAAAAAAGCGAAAAAAAAAAGTTTCCGTGCAAGCTTTGCATAGCTTTACAACCGGTGTGCTGCCACACCACGACATCATGCAAAACGAAAGTATGCAAGTTGCAAGACGTGCTAACAAAGAGCACCACACACCAAGTTTGAGAGTATTGGAGAGCTGGAGCAAGTGGGAGAGGTGGGAGGACGTGGAGTTGCACTTAGGAAGTTTGGAGCCAGAATTAAGAGGTATCTTCCCAGTGGAAATGGTCCTGCTAATTTTTCTCTGATAACTCTGGTCCATCCAGTGGTCCTTGTTACACCTGCGAAACACGTGGCACCGCGGGCGGAACCACCCCGAGCCCACCAGAACCGGCAGCCACCTGTTCAACTGGGCTTTGTGGGCTTTTCTACGCGCTGACGTAAGATGTGCTTGCTGCAAATAACCATAGCTGGAACTACCCTCGTTCTGGGCGCTTTTTCGTTATGGCGCGTTGCAATTAACTCTCCTTACCACGCCCATAGAGCGTCGATCACGGATGATCGACAAGTACGGAGACCGATTTCAAAGCTCCTGCGGAGCTTTCGGCACGTTGTGCAGTCGGTAGGCAGTTTGAAGACCGCCTACCGACTGCACAAGTAGTTGGGACTGGAGGCGTTCACTTGAGCGAACGGCGTTTTAGCGAACGAAGCCGAAACCAGAACGTTTTATCGAATGACACTTTAGCGAATACGGAAGAGCCGCCTGTTTCCTATCCTCCTTTAGGTGTAATAGCCTAGTTTGTCGAAATAGAATCCCTAGGCGGGACATCCAAAGAAGCTAATATACCGCTCGGATTAGCTTTCTTTTGCAATGAGTCGCCTTGTTTGTCACCGCGAGTGCTGGTCCCACGTAGCCCAGTTTTTAATTTCGCGACAAATCGGCTAAACATGTTGGTTGGTGATGTCTGTGCGCTCGCTGCATCACTGTTGTGCTGATGCTGTACAGCGCACATGCAAGCTGGTGTTCTAGGATAATGTAGGTATGCGCGTGTATGCGTGCCCTGTCGCTTTGTACTGTATTAATATTACCCTGTATCATCATAATCTATGCAACAGTATTATTTAAGCAAAGATTTGCCTCGTAGGGTAAAATGTAGGGTAAGAAGAAACATTCGTAGGGTAATGTAGGGTTTTCTGGACGCTGGCGTGGGGTATTTTCAAAAAATAGGTTGGCAACACTGGTGTGCAGTCGGGCTGATGGAAATTTACCACGCTGCCTTTTAACCCGAGACTGGAGCAGGTGGAGGAAAATCGTTTTTCCGCCTTCTGCCCCAGTCTCAGGTTAAAAAAACATAATGGAAAAATAACTATTCGAGGAAATTTATCAACATATGCCACGAAATGCGGCTCTGCTAGCACCTTTGATATCCTGTCTTGTCTGTAAGCATATTATACAGCTGCAAATTGTATTAATTGCAACAATTAAGTTTAAATAATTTTCACTACAAGTTGTCTGAGTTGAAAGCATAAAATCGACTGCAACATAACTCAATGCATCAAAAGGATAGAAGAAGTGCAGTAAATCTTTTATGGCTGCTCGTTTCCTTTTGATTCGTATTTTTACCAACATGCTCCTACACAAAATTCTAATTTTACGTTGATTTTGATCGTTGTGGTGGCAGTCTTCTTGCCTGTGTGATGTCTTTACTAAAAAAGAAAAAAAAAAAAGCTTTCCACAGCAATCTTTTTGCATTGACGCAGCACGATTTGAAAATAATTAAAATAATGTATTTTCAACTTTTGGTGAGCCATTGTCTCTTGCAATATTTTGCCACCAAGGGAAGAGATCTGGAGGCACGAAGGCGCAAGCGCGACAGATCTCCTGCAAGAACGACGGTCGTTTCCCACGATGCTTGGATAGAAAATGGTGTACCATCGCGATTCACACATTCACCAGCGATCTCCGCAATTCTCTGTGCCTCGTTGTTCAGCAGCGCCATAAACTGCGTAGTGAGTTTTACGACAATGTGAAATGCGGAACATTTTGAAGATTTGGCAATTTCTTGCAGGTCGCGGGACGGGTGGTCACCCTATTAGTGGCCCAAATGAGCACTTCCAAAGACACTAATAGTTATGGCAGCCTTTTGATTCCATGAGCTAAACATAAAAAAAAAAAATTATGTTTGCTTGGTTGCACTAATAGTTCCGCGCTCTGTACAATAAGGGAGTCTTAGAATAACGCACGCGAGAACTTTGGGCAAGCTAAAATTTCCGTCGAAATAGGTTTTACATCACGAGGCTATTTTTAGGGTAGGTACCCAAGGCGCTTGCATACGGTTTTCTAAAACTCCCTGATAGTGAACTACAGTAGATATTTTTGAGTGCGATAAATCAGACAGGTTGACAAGCATATGATTGCGACTTTATTTTGTGTACAATTTCAAACTCTGAACCATTATTCACACCGGAAAAAACCATAAACCAGAAGATGCCTTCGCCTGTTGAGGAAGTCGAACAGGGAAATCGTGCCATCAAAAAGGTCCTTGCTGACCCACTTGTGCCTCCTGGCCCGCACTGCACCACCATTTGCAAGCTACTGCGGAGATAAACTTGTCGAGGCGCGCCTCATCCCGTTTCATCCGATCAATGAAGCTGTAAATGTTCGGGTGAGCCCTCCCTGACACCGCATTTATATCTTGCGGTGCCAGGACTCTATGTCGTCGTTGGTCCATGGTCCTCGGTTTTCGTCATGGTTTCACTGCTGAATGAAAAAATGGCCATTCGTCCGGATGCCATCAAAATAGTCTAACACAAAGTCATCCTGCGCCGGTGTGACAGCGAGAAGTGCTATGCTTGTTTGCAGCACTGTAGGCACCACAAACACCAGAAAAGCGTGCAGAAAGTAACTGCATGCTGGTAATCAAATCTCCAAGGTTGTTTCGGGAGTGCGAGCAAGGTCACCAAGGAGGACAAACATCGGACGCTTGGATCGACCCAACTGATAACAAACAATGGTCGAAGCGGGAAGGTCGTTTTGGGATAGGGCGAAATGGGAAAAGACGAAAAGTGAAGGTTGTTTTGAAGCGGGTCGAAACGGGAAGGTACAAAAGGAAAGGTTCGAATGGGAACAGATCGAAACGGGAACCACTCAGTGAGACAGGCAGCTCCGACTATCCATATGATTTGCCACAACAAAAAAATATTTTAAAATATTGTAAAAAAAGAAAAGAAATGTGTTTGATTTAGTCAAAAAATTGCGATGGCTTAGCTCGGCTATGCTAGGATATACGTAGCGTGAGCTTATGCGCACAAAATGAGAGGCGCTATCAAGCGGCTCCGGTGCAGCGTCAGACTTGGTTACTGCACAGCGGAGGCGCACAGCTGGGCACGCGGCGACGCCAGTGTGTCTGCCGCGGCTATGATACCACTCCTCTGGAATTGACTCCGTAAGTGTGACGTCATGGGTCCAAACAAACCGTTGCTAGGGTCGTTGTTATGGACAAATACATGTGGCTAAGTTTCGCTACGAAAACCGGACCGTTAAAAAATCGGGAGTAGGGTTTAAACTTCTAAAAATCACAAATAAAGAAAGCTTGAATGTCATATATGTTTCGACAGAAGTGTGCCGGCAATCGCTTGTTTCTGAAATATTTACGACTGCAACTTCCGGTCCTCAAGATGCCTGCAGCAGACGACGAATGCAAGAATGCCGTCTGCCACACGTCCGCCGACCAAGCCGGCGCCGGCGTCTGAATCGGGTGAATAAAGACGATAATCTGATATTGCATTTGGTTGGAATATAATGAGTTTCAGACACTTATAAGAATTCATAATGGGGTGCTATGCAAAATATGGTTTATCGAAAGTCCGTGCGTCAATCGAGATGATCGTCTGCTAAAAGATTGCAATGCACCCATAGGAAAAGCACTTCAGGTGATCGGTAGAGATCCCAAATTTTGTTTGCAGACTCGCGCTATGGGAGGGTGCTTCGTACCGGTTGTAACCATCGCGTGGAGAAAGATTCTTGCAGTTTCTTCAGACTGCCGCAAAACCCCAAAACGCGAAAAAACTGGATGAAAAACATAAGGTGAGTTTATTATAGATTGTACTCTCATTGCGGGTTCGATGGAGATTTGCGATAAGGAAAGAGGAACATTTAAGACAAACAGACATCAAATGTTCCTTTTTCCTTGTCGTAAATTAATAAGCAACACGCTCAACCATCTACCTACATCGATGGAGATCTTCACCGAAAGAGCACATCCACTAAATTTAATGTATACAAAAAAAAAAAGAAAAAATGCGCAATTGCGATAGACATGCAATATTTAAATAACCTGACAACCTCAATATTAATAATAACAAACGACTTACCTCGATGGTGTACGATTTGTTTCTCATGCTGGCTTGCACTACGCCGGTAATGCACTTCAGGTCGTTGTCGTAAATGATCTGCATGACGCGGGTTGATTTTACGGAATTTTCCCCCCTCTAAACAAAACTGGGTTCTTCACACAAAAAAAAAAAAAAAAAATGCACATTGCAAAGGCCTCTGCGGCCTTGGCGATGCACTTGCATGCAGCAAATCTACCGTGTCGTCTGCTACCGAAGCAAAGCGGAGTAGAATACTTCAGAAATGGCTTTCATCGTTGCAATACGACGTTGAGATGACAAGAACATCTTCATGATTAGATATCAAGAAGTTAGGTTGCTTACTGAAAATTATCTACTTACTTATAAGCAAAAATCTAGCCTCATGTGGAGTCTCCATGCATTAGCCCATAGCAACGTCCCTAGCAACGGTTTGTTTGGACCAAGACGCCTTGTTGTGACGTCATCACTTACGGGGTCAATGAGGAGACGGGCGAGGCGAGTGCGGCGGCGGCGGAGCGCTCGGCGGCGGCTTCGCGTGGCTTTCATAATGAGCACGGCTCATTATGAGAGCCACGCGAAACTGCTCTACCTCGGCCAGTGTAGCTAACGCTACAAAAATGAAAATATAAAGATTTCCGGAAAAGTCACTATCATCATCATTACTTATCGACTTTTCGCTCGTCCTAGCGACTTCGCCCAAAAAAAGTCAGAGACACAGCCGGAGCCAGATCGGCCAGATGGAGGGGCAGCGGATCAGCCGGATCGGGTTTAGATCGGATGTGTGGTCGCTGGTGGGGTGTTTGTTATTGTTTTGATTTGTTGGACGACGTTGTCGTAGTGATTATGTTCCGAGTGCGTTAAGATTATCCAAGTACCGTACCGTACTCAGTTGTGTCACTTTTGCACGACAGTTTGGAAGGACGGGAACAATGTTCACGCAAAAGAGCGGACAACTTCCAGAATCCACCCTCGGCCAGTTCCTTGGGCTGTGAGTAACCGAAACACCTGTAGCAGACCGATCTTGGGCACGCAGAGCTTCAAAGGGGACGAGCAACGATTTTTGTGCATGCAGTAAATACTGCTTATTATCGTTCCGTGACATTTGTAACTTACGAAATACGCATTAGGTTTCTCCTATACGCTATAACAATCGCAAAAAAAAAAAAAAAAAAAAAGAAGAAAAGCGAGCATTGTTTACGCGGTTTACGCCCTCAGTTCGCAGCCAGGACGAGCAACCACGTGATGTGTGTTATGTTGTTACCCGAGGAAGCCGGGTGAAAGGAAGAACACAGAGCATCGTTCCAGCGCGTGTATTAGCCGAGTATGCCACATTTCTCGTGCCACCGAGGCACGGCTTTACTGGCATCATCATGATACAAATCCCCAACTGCCCGTTTCGATCTGGATGATCATCGTGCCGGCGTGCGGCCGTGTATCACTACTGCGTGATGTATGTTAAAGACCCCAGGCTAGCAGTTGCACTGCACAGGCTAAATTTATCACCTACAGTAAGTAACAATGCCGCCATGCTCAGGCAGACTAACCTCCCGCTGGATAAACAACTAATTATTTTTTCCATGACACAAAACTCAAAGGAAATAGCGTGACAAGTGTGATACCATTTTGTGAGTAACATTTCACCGGCTTTTTTTTTTTGTTAACGTTAAAGGGATCATGAAACAATTTTTAAATTTTTTCCTGTTTTAGCTTTCCTCCTCAACTCATAAATCGCGCATTGTACCAAACAGTTAGAGAAGACGGAAAGGGGGAAGTCCCTTCTTGCTCGGACTCTCATTTGTGTATTTGGACACAGCCATTCTCCCCCTAGAAGATTAGCCCGTCGCTCAAAATTCAGATAAAAGTTGCTTTCCCCACCCCATTCACCCTGAAGCTGACAGTGCTGTGGAAGCTATGTGCTCTTTGGGCTAGCCACCCTTTTGCCATGTGATGATGCTCTCTTGCCCATACCCACGCGCAGAGAATGAGGTCAGGTGATGAAAGGGAGGCGGCTGATTGGTCTGGCAAGCACGTAGCTTCCACCACAATGTCACCTTAGGGGTGAGGGAATAAGTGAGGTCCGGTTTCGTGTGATGTGCGTTTGGACCCGGTGACGCGCTTTGGGGGCCGCGGATGTATCACAGTGAAAAGGCAGACAGCTTACGAAAGGAAGGAGGTACAAAATAGTCCGCTGCGTTTTCAAATTTTCGTATTGAAAGTCGGGCTTTTGACTTTCGGTACCTTTTCTCTTTTGGCCCACTGAACAATGTGCTATTAGTAAAATCCCAATATAAATTGATTTATACCAGCCCAAAATTTATTTCATGGGCCCTTTAACAGCGGAATCCGTGGACTTCTCTGAGTTGCAGTCAAAGACTGCAGTGATGTTCTATCAGGGTACTCAGGACAGACGTCTTAGAAAGCTATCATCGACGGGTGCGTCATTAGATGACTCTTTGTAAGTTGTCGTGCGTGCTTCTACTCGTTTAGCAGAAGACTTGGTGGAACCATGCAAGTTGTTCTTTGTTCACCCTTGTGGAAGGTGATGTTCTCGAAGATGATCACCATGGCGGTTCCAACGAGTGCCATCGCTGAGTTCCACTTGCACAGATGGCAAACTTGTTGGCTGCAGCACAGCTCCAAGAATCCACAAAGGACCTGTCCCAAAATTTCAGGCAAAGATAGTTTGCCCAGGCTGAGGAAGTGCTCCCTTGCACGCACCTCGATCACAGCATAGCTTTTGTTTCAACTGCCTCAAAAGTACCTCGCTCCACATGTCTGAATACATCAGGCTCGGGGCTGTTTTTAGCTTCCTGCCCATGAGCAGCTCAGTTGAACTGTGACCCGTGAGTGAATGCTTCGTGGATCTGTATGTGAGAAGCATTCAATAAATCTTCGTCTGAAAATCTCCAGAAGATGCTTTCTTCAGTACTCCTGTCACCGTTTGTACAACGCGTTCAGCAGATGCTGGGTGGTAAGGTGGATTCAGCATGTGCCAAATTCCGCTACAGCCCAGAAACTCCTTGTACTTGTCACTTACAAAAGCTGGAACTGTGTCCAAAACCACAATGTCTGTAGTTCATGCGTTGAAAAGACGTTGCGGAGGCACCTGATTGTAGCACCAGCAGAGGGTGAAGATAACTTCAACACATTTCGAAAATGCATCACCCAAGAGAAGAAAGTAGTGTCCCTGGAACGGTCCACCAAAATCAACATGTAGATGGTACCATGGCCCTTCTGTGAATGGCCATTGAGTCGACTGTACTTTTCGATCGAAATGGTAATGTTCTGGGCATTCGCGGCAATTTTGAACTTTTGCTGTGATGCTGTCGTCTAGTCTGTCCAACCACACTTGGCTATGTGCGATGGTCTTCACCTTCTTGCTTCTGGATGGCTTTCGTGCAGCAGATTTAGCACTTGTTCTAGCAGCTTCTCTGGAACGATTACTCCAGATCCCCAAAGCAAGCAATCTTCGTGAACGCCAAGTTCAGTCAACTTTGCTCGAAACGGCAACCACTGAGGTCCCCTTGGGAGGTTTTTTCCAGACCACTGTATATCTCTCGCTCGTGACAATCCTGGGTCGGTTCCGGTATGTCGGGCAACGGCTGCAGCAGAGAACCCGGAGGAACGCCCCTTCCAATATGAAAACATCAGCTGGTCTCAGAACCTGGAAGTTGTACACGGGTAAAGGTAAACGTCTCGAGGCATTAGCATTTCCGTTTCTTGAGCCGGGCTGGTAGACCAGTTTGTACTTGTACGTTGCTAGTGTTGCTGCCCAACGTGTTCCTGGTCATGATCCTCTCTGGGATGGATCTGTCTGGACCCAGGAGCCCAAGAAGAGGTTTGTGATCAGCAATGGCTTCAGACTGATTGCCCCAAAGGTACTGATAAAACTTCGTCACTCAAGGACTTGCGCCGAGGTTTTTTTTTGTCAAGCTGACTGTGGTTTTGCTTAACTGGCAGGAGGCCTCTGGAGGCGAAGGCTCTGGGACGTTCCTCTCCCCTTGAGTCTCGATGAACGAGAACACTCAGAGTTCATAAGGAGATGCGTCGCAGCTGAGGATTATCTCCTTCCTTGGATTGAAATGTTGAAGCACTTTAGCAGATGTCGGGAGCTTTTTGCTTTTCTGAAATGAAGTCTCCTCTCCTTCCTGCCATTGCTCTTTTATGTTAGCAGTGAGAAGGTGATACAGCAATCGAAGAACTGAGGACAGGTTGGGAATTCAGAAAGTGCCGGTAGAAGTTGATGAGCCCAAGGTAGCTTCAAAGTTGCTTGAGGTCAGCTGGTTGCGTTGAAATACATGATGACATGGGTCATGACCTGCAGCAGATTCTCCATTTATCTCTGGGAGACTACAGAAGTTGAGGACACTCCGATAGGTACTGTAAGATCTTTTAAGGGCACCCACCCAAAATGAAAGTCATGAGGTGGGCTATCTTTAAAAATGAGACAGCGAAACTTTATAAAAAAAAATTAACGATAAATATGGGCACCCACTACAAACCATATGACACGGGATCTGATACTGAAGATTGCAGACACAGCGAATTTATGTTTCACAACGTGATGAACACGTGGTAATTTGCTTCAAACGTCTGTGTCATGGAAAAGGACACCGCAGACTGGATGCAGCAGATTCAAGCTTTACGACGCAAGAAACACATGGAAACTGGCTACAAACTTGCATGCCACGAGAACCGATATTGCGCGCGCAGATCACAAACAAAAAATGCAGGAGCTCACTATGAACTTGCGTATTGTGCACTCAGATTGTGGACAAAAATGCCGAAACTCACTGGAAACTCGCTTGTCACATATACCGGTACCGCAGATCGTGCGGTTGATGTTATTTTTATCAAACATTGCATAATGTCCGACAGGAATTGAGGATGGGCAATGTTTCAGAATTTTTACGTTACGGATATTTAGCCAGGAAAACGGGATGGGCAATCTCTCTGGGGAGGGTCACCCTTACAGGATTTTACGGTAGTCTGGTGTATTGAGATAGTCCTTTCAGAGTATTGATGGTGGCAAGCTTTTAGGACTAAGGCTTGAGGGACGCATACCTGTTGGTATGCGTCCTTCAAGTCCAGTTTGGTGGACCTCCTGAAAGTTTGGCCTATAGTTCTTCTAATCTAGGTACTGTACACTTCTCAAGAATAGATGTAGGATTCACGATGACATTGAAGTCCCTGCAGATCCTTGCGCGACCGTTGCGCTTCAGGACAGGCATGCCCACTCCAATGTACAGGGTGTCACAAAAGAAAATTTACACGGTCTTTTTTACCGCAAAAATAAACTAGGCATCGCCGAACGCTCATTCTCCGCCCAAAGGTAGAGCTAGAGGTCACAACCAGATGCCAAAGTTTCAGCCCGATCCGATAACTTAATCAAAAGTTATAAGTGATTTTCTGAAAAGTTCAATGGGAAAATGGAACCCATTTTTGCCTGTTTTCGGTTTCTGGTGCCATAGAGCCCCATGTGTTTGAAAACTCCGTCGGCCGCCATTTTCCCATTGAAATTTTCAAAAAATCACTTATAACTTTTGATTAAGTTATCGGATCGGGCTGAAATTTTAGCATCTGGTTGTGACCTCTAGCGCTACCTTTGCGCGGAGAATGAGCGTCCGGCGATGCCTAGTTTATTTTTGCGGTAAAAAAGACCGTGTAAATTTTCTTTTGTGACACCCTGTACTTGCAGGATGGATGATTCCGTCACGTTAGTGCCACTGTAGTTCCTCGGCTACCTTGTCCTGTAGCGCAAACGGAATGGTGCGAGGTTTGAAGAACTTTGGATTTGCTCCCTTTCGAACTGCGATCTTTGCTTTCACACTTTTAAGCGTGTCTAACCTGTCAGAAAAAATTTCCTTGTGCATTTCCAGCAGTGTGTCCACAATGGGAATAGAAGTAAATACCTTCGCATCAGCCAGACTCATTTCAAAAGCATTGATCCAGTGTCTTCCAAGTAGTGTGGGAGTCTGGTCACATGCA